AGCTTAATTGACTTTTGAATACTGGCAAATACTCGGCTATTCTGTTGCCTCAGTCCACAGGTTCACACGATAAACAGTTAAGAATATTCACGGTGCACTTTTGTATTCAACGCTAGGATACGATACCCAGCAATCCAGAGGTCGGTCGCTTCGCTACCCGCGAGGGGAAATGTAAAGGAAATGTGTTTAGTAAGGGTAAAAAAGTAGGTGTTTGTTCTGATTTTGTTGGAAGACCCTGGTCGTTGCGCCGGACGAATGGCGGCATTCGTCCGGCGCAGTGCCCCCGACCTTTTTAGTCCATTAAATAGTTTAAATACCAAGGTCAGAGAACAGAAAAGAACAGTCCGTCCGATGCAACAGACAACGACTTAAAAAGAACAAGTGATCAAAAACACGTGGCAACACAACAAATGCGCAACGCATAAGCGCCACACAGTGGAATGAACGTAAGACTACGTATTACGTTACAAACGTCATTAGTGTTTCATGTTATCTGAAATTTGAATAAGTAAGTTTCAGTATGGACGTTTCCACCAGAATCGATTTCTTTCCTTAATTCCGTAACAATGACCAATCAGCAAAGAGTTAACAATGACAAAACAATCAAAATTTGTCAACCACTCAGACAGATATCCAAACATCGTTGTAAGCATTGCTTTGTTTTCGTTGTTTTGCGCGTTACTTTTCAGTTTCAATTATGTTTTTAAACACTAGTTCTAAATCAAATACCTTAAGATTTCTAGAAGCTTTAGTTTAGTCGCAATAATCAAAAATTTGTCCCGCAGACGCTGCTACACACTAGCTGAGACTGTAAGCGGTACTAGGTTAAATAAGTTTTAATAAACATGATGTTTTTAAACACGTAAACCAGATTGTAAGCGTCAACTATCCAGAACACTCTCAAAATCAGCATAATTTTTTTGCTATAGTAGAGGGAGAATGCCCTCAGGTAGTGAATGAACGTTACCCCAAAAAGCCCCCATTAGTCGGATGTTTTATTCCTTCGAACCCCAGTCACGACCTGAAGCTGAGAAAAATGTATACTCGGCATAATCCCAGATGCAAAAATATATATATAATATTCTCATACTTTCTACAGTACACACATATTTGATCTTCAGATATAAAGGACTTGCACGGGTCACGTGACTTTTTTTACTGGACGGCAATAAAAACAAAAACGTCCATTTGGCTCCTGTCAGTTGCAAGTCGGATTATACGTTTCCGTTTTGTTTGGCTGTTGAAAATGGTTATTTCGTATTGTTCCATTTGCCGTACGTATAGTATAGACAACGAAATGGATCCTCAGTTATATTCCACTGTTTTCAAAAAATCCGGAACGTCGCGCAATGTGGATATCATCTATTGGCAGGACTGCTTGGTGTCAAGTCCAGAAGTCATCTCGCTTGTGTTTCACTGTTTGCGGACAGCACTTCGTTGATGGTGAGTGATAATGTGCCGTTGTCAATTTTTTTAAATATTCATAAGCCCCCTCATTTCAATGGAAAGCAGATGACAGACTACTGTTATTGGCAGGCCTTAAAATATGCCATATATAGATAGGCATATTTGGCCATAGATATGCCATAAGATATTGTTTCCCTAGTTAGCAGGTAATCCCCCCCCCCCTCCATTTGAAAGGGCTGTGGAGGCAGATACATTTTTTGCTCTAAATTATGGAATGTTTCTTAGATTATCCTATCCTGGCTCATAGATATCTTGATGTTAGTGACTCCAACTGACCCATGCATGCAGTGGCGTATCTAGGGTGTGGCAGCCATGGGCGCCGTTTAAACAGGGGCGCAAAAACGGCGAAAAGCATTAATCATAAAACGTTTCAATGAAATAATTTCAAATTGGGAATAACTAAAACTCGTATTTTTACTCAAATAATAACATAGAAGTTTCCGAATTCATAATCATCATAAATTGTCAAACGACTATCAAGGGGGCGCATTTTTAGACTTTGCCATGGGCGCCATTTTAAATAGATACGCCACTGCATGCATGCCACGCTGAAAATTCTCTTGTGTACCGATAAAATTAAGCAGTTGGAGCCTTCAGCAACCTGTGTACGATGGATTCATGTGAAACACGTAATATGCATTTATAAGCAAAAATATCCCATCCTGAGCAGCACCGATCCCCAACCTCCTGCCTATGGAATCAAAGACATTGGTGTACTGTACTGTGCGCATTCACAAATCTTTGCGAATCAAGTGTGCCTTTTGACTAAGGAAAATTTAGCATTGATTTGAAATTGTCAATCTCAATATAAACCTGGTATCTGGAGATAAAACCAATTGATTTTTTAAAAATACATTTTTGATGTGCTTTATTTTTCAAATATAATTTATTATTACTGTAAAGTGTGTGATACATTTGGTACCATGAATACCATTTGCAAATTAGCTTGGGTTACACCCCTCTCGAATGAAAGTTTAGACTCTCAAGTCATATCTCATAATATTCTTTAAACAAAAGGTTGCGGCTAGCCGGCTACCCATCAGAATTTTCTTTCAGATCACAAAGACGCAATATTAAGCCTCGCTAAGTTTCATTGGCAACTGTATTTGGTTGTAGTATCGGTGTCCAACTTTAGACTGAAATCTTTACTACCAGACCCACCGAAACAAAAAAAAATTTCTTAATAGGGTCGTATTGAAGTTGCTTTCGTTCAAGCACAATGGACACTTTATTTCCACCAATCCACAGTAATCACAAGTTACTTTGTCATTACGTTAAGCACCAATAAATGGATACAGAAGATGTGTTATCAAGTCACGCAAGTTGAGGTCTTGTGCCACTGTGGTCTTGTTGCAACTTATACTTTGCCATCCATCTATTCCATGGTCACACCCACATCTGTAAGATAAAGGATACAGATTCATTTGATATCATGATCCTGCACTAGCTTTGTAATATTTGTTTATTTTGAGTTTTCATAAAATTTAACGATCAAGTGGTGTGAAATTTATGTCCATATCCTACCACAAACACTAGTCGTAAATGAATTTGATTCCGGGTAGCATATCTTTTTTACCAATGACAGTAAGAAGGCATTTTGGGACAGTTGTACAAGCACCTTCAGGATTGCAGGTGCAACAACTAAATCACATGGCGAACCACAGTCTCTCGTACGATTACCATTCTACGTTGGGATTAGTTAGTCAGTTATTTGTTTTCAGAAGCATGGACTTGGATGGTGGAGGTTGGTCGTAACCGATCAGCGGTCGTGTAAACCACCCTCAGTGGGAGGAGAGCTGCAATCCTCTCGCACATAACTATCTAACATGAGATTGGAACCTGTGAAACCAGGGGGATCAGAGATGCGGTGGCGAGCGTATTCCTAGATGGCGAATTCAATTGAATTCTGGTTATTTTTTGCATGACCAATGGTGTTAAACTTTAGTTATCTATTTAACCTCAACCTCTCACCCTTAGTAATAGATTACCTGCTAACTAGGGAAACAATACCTTATGGCAATTGACGATTAATTTCTTGCGCAAGTCAAGTCTGCAAGTAGGCCTAGGCCTACCAATAACAGTGGTCTGTCATCTGCTTTCCATTGAACTGAGGGAGCTTATGAATATTTAAAAAAATTGATAACGGCACATTATCACTCACCATCAACGAAGTGCTGTCCGAAAACAGTGAAACACAAGCGAGATGACTTATGGACTTGACACCAACACCAAGTAGTCCTGCCAATAGATGATATCCACATTGCACGACGTTCCGGATCTTTTGAAAACAGGTGGAATATAACTGAAGATCCATTTCGTTGTCTATAGTACGTATATACGTACAGCCAACTGAACAATACGAAATAACCATTTTCAACAGCCAAACAAAACGGAAACGTATAATCCGACTTGCAACTGACAGGAGCTAAATGAACGTTTTTGTTTTCATTGCCGTCCAGTAAACAAAGTCACGTGACCCGTGCAAGTCCTCTATAAGCAAAAATACCGCAAATTAATTTAAACTTGGATAGCAAATCGGATTTGAGGACTCTGTTCACTTCCAATATAAAGAAAAATAAACTATCAATCAACGTGTGCGGTTGCCAGACCAAACTCGCTGTCAAACCGCTTGACTCAAGCGTCGGTCGCGCGTCTTTTCATCCGGTGTCTGGGTTGTCTTTTTAGCGTAATGTATTATTATTAAAGTAGAAGTATAACTATAAAACGTTTTGTCTGTATAGTTATACGCGAGAATTACTAGCGTTCATTATTAGGTACCAGTTCGCTCGCTGAATCGACAAAACTCTTCTCCGTGACCTACTGACCTACGGTACCATCAAACTATACGGTACCGGTACCTGTATACCAGAATACAGGGTTATAATTTTATTTTAAAAAGTGAAAACCGCACCATTCAGCTATTATAACAGTATTTCCGTATATGGCATGAAATCGCTGTGTTTTTAAGTTGCTGCTATTTCTATTTTTGTCGCACGTCAGTAAATAGCTGTTCGACAATGACTCATAATAGACACGCGCATCTTTTGCATTGACGTGAATGTTACAGCATTGTTTTACGTATGAGTCAACATTCGCCATACTTTGCAGCGTGAATACAGCTACATGGTATTAAATGTATAGGTACCTTATGCTGGTATCGATAAATGATGCGGTTATCAGGTTAAATAAATTTTGAAGTATCCATACTACTGTATTACATAGATTACTGTGTTATGAAGCTGGCGTTAGATAAGCTAATTCCTGAATTCTGTGATTTGAGTATTCAAAGAGATGTGGTTATGTTTACTGTTGTGATTTAGAATGGCAATTATCATAACAAACTAATAAATGAAAGGTTTTAGTGCTGTATATGCACAGATGTAATGTTGGTTATGCTATTGGTTTTACCTTCCCTCATCAAGTCTCGATACTGCTAAACATAATATAATTTGGTATTAACAATTTAAGCTCACTATAGCAGTGATTAAAATAAACATGATTTCATCGATTTCTGGGTAATTAAGATCAAATATTACCAAAAATGAATTTGTACAATTGCTTTCAGTTATTGTAAAACATAAATAGATTATATTATCACAATTATAAAATAGTTACGAACAGAGGTGATGGCTACAAGTGAACGAATGTTAAATTACAAAAACCGAGCAAAATCTGACAAAGACGAAGTTAGACGTAAACGTGAAGCTGAAGGAATACAACTCAGAAAGCAGAAACGAGATGAACAAGTATTTAAAAGACGTAATTTGACCCCTGAAGATTTGATAGATGACCCCACTGCTCAAATAAATTCTGATTCCGAAGAGAAACGCCCAACACTTGAAGAACTTAAGGTGTTTTACCAAATTTGTTATCAAAAGAACATGCTGAGCAATTGTATATTACACAAGAAGTACGTAGAATGTTATCGAAAGAGCCCAACCCCCCTATTGATGAGGTAATACAGACAGGAGCTGTCCCAATCTTTGTTCAAATGCTTCATCGTAACGATAGTCCTGCTTTGCAATTTGAAGCAGCTTGGGCATTAACGAATATTGCGTCCGGTACAAATTGGCAAACTGGTGTTGTAGTAGAAGCAAATGCTGTTCAGTCATTTACTTCTCTACTTCATTCTGGCCATGTAGAAGTACAAGAACAAGCTGTGTGGGCTTTAGGTAACATATCAGGCGACGGACCTCAATTTCGTGATTATGTTTTGAACTGTGATGTCTTGCCATCTTTGCTTAAGCTTGCACTTATACCAAACAGACCCTCTATGACAAAAAACATAGTTTGGGCAATTTCAAATTTATGTCGTGGTAAAGTTCCACCTCCAGATTTTGAAAAAGTAAAACATTGCTTGCCAGTATTAGCAAGATTGTTATTTCATTCGGATGCTGATATTTTGACTGATGCTTGTTGGGCTTTATCATACTTATCAGATGGTTCCAATGATAAAATACAAGCAGTAATTGACAGTGGGGTATGTAGAAGAGTTGTAGAATTACTTTCCCATACAGAGCTGTCTGTTGTTTCAAGTGCACTTAGAACTGTGGGTAATATCGTCACAGGTGATGACGTCCAAACTCAAATTGTACTGAATTGTTCAATATTACCCGCTCTTGAAAAATTATTGACCTCACCTAAGGAATCTATAGCAAAAGAATCATGTTGGACAATCTCTAATATTGTTGCAGGGAATAGAACACAAATTCAGCAAGTAATCAATGCAAATGTCTTCTCTACACTTATTTTTGTATTATCAACCGCTGACTTTAAAACAAGAAAAGAAGCCGCTTGGGCAATCACGAATGCAACTTCTGGTGGATCTTCAGAACAAATACGCCATCTTATTAAACTGGGATGTATAAGTCCGCTGTGTGATTTATTATCTATTCAGGAGCCAAAGATATTATTAGTCGCACTCAGTGGATTGGATAACATTTTAAGGCTAGGGACTTTGGACGCTCAAAATCATGAAGACAATCATAATCCTTATGCTCTCATGATGGAAGAATGTAGGGGAGTTGATAAGCTGGAATACCTACAAACACATAGTAATCAAGAGATTTATAAAAAAGCATTTGAAATGCTTGAAACATTTTTTGCTAAGGACGATGACTTGAATTAAATATTCAAAATAAAAATTGTTTCCCTATTGCTGCTGTTGGTATATCTTACACACACCGCTCTGCTCTGTGGTTTGACAGACTTCAAACCCCCTTACTTTTAAAAAAAATGTTGCACAAATTTTGAGCTGTTTGTGTCTTGTAATAACTGACATAAACCTCTATTATTGCTGTTTCGTTCTTAGGTAGTTTCTTTGGTTATTTTTTTATCCTTTCATCCTATATTTTTGTTTTTGTCTTATTTTATTAACAGTATCCAGAATGCCTTTTTTTTTATATTTTTGCTTCATTTTTCCATAATTAGTCAAAGAAGCATTATCATGTTTTATGCTAATTATTAGTATTATGAATGTACATTGGCTTTTCTGTTTTAAACTTTATTTAAGCAAGCACAATACAATAAGCTGTTTAATTGTTGAAAGTACAACAGGCTGAATATGAAAAGTAAAATTGTCAACAAAGAAATAAGAGCAAAGTGATAATATGGTAGCCTGCACATCACAATTCAAAAGCAGGAAATTTAGCATTGTTAGGACTGAGTAAATCGGCAAGAAAGTATGCAGCACCTGCGATTCCTTCAAACAAAGAGTAAGGTCTGTCAGGAGTGTTAAGACCATGTCTTTCTCTATACCCGCAGCACCACAGTCCGAACTGCACAGCTCTATATAAATATTTCGCATCTTTTGTGTATTTATACAAGGCTAGGAATCCGTAACCATTACCAGATGTTCCATGGCAAATTCCATATCCTTTTTTTAAAAGTCCACGATTCCATACAGTGTCAGAAGCTTTACAAGCACTTTCAAGATATTTTTCTTCTCCAAAAATCTCATGCGCTTTCATCATAAGATAAACACCCCCGGGTGCACCATGACACCAATGTATTAATCTGTCATTATCACTGCCAAAGGAAGATGGAAAATTTCCAGATGGGTATTGGATTCCAAGTACAAAATCTATTGTCGATTTAATATCATCTTGATAAGTTTGGTAATTTGTACAGAGCAGGGTATATAAAATCCCAATGTATCCATGTGCTGCACCAATATATTCTGAACCATGCCATGCATAAGACAAAGCTGCAGATTGTTTATTTGATGCAGTTAATTTTCCAGATTCAATTATACTGTGTATGACTCGATTAATGGCTTCATCTTTTATACCAGAATTTTCAACATGTTTTCTAACATAAAGCAGAGAATATAAATACCCAGCCCGCCCATACAGCATTTCGTTATATATTTCTTGGTCTAGTGGTAGCACCGACTCTAACATGGCCAATAAATTATTTACACATGTCTTGGAATCTTCTTTACGACCTAAAGTATGATATACCACTGCTCCAATAGCTAGTGGTCCTGCATCACCACAGAGAAAAGTCATTCTTCTTCCTTTTAAACGCTTCAGAGCAGATGTTATATATTTTTGGGCAGTCTCGATGTACTTTTCGTCTTGAAAAATCTTGTACAAATGCAAGTATAGTAAAGCATACCCACTAATCCCAGTATACACAGATATATCATTCTTTTCAAAAGAATGTGATGCTCTTTCTATGTCATGAACCATTTGCAGCAATGCTGTTTTGAGTTGTCTTTTACAACTTTCTTTAATGTTTGCATTCTCCCCGTTACCTACAATAATATCTTCAAGTTTCTCACAGCCAACAAATTCATTATCAAAAAACCTCGTTTTACTCATCCTGGAGAACTTGGGCCGCGCTGACTGAGCCTAAAGGCATAAAGGGGAGATTTTAGGGTCTGCAGTCTGAACCAAAGTTTCCTTCAGTCGAAGCAAAGTGACTATAAAATACTATAGTCACTTTGAGTCGAAGGGCTTGTTTATTGACACCTTACGGTTATTACTGAAGCTCGTAAATGGCGCCTAGATGGTTGTTTGGATCGTTAATATTTTTTTATCCGGTTCCGGTTTTTATCTGGCATGTCATGGCGAAGACCAATATAAATTACCTTAACTGGTTGCTGCTTATGTTAAACTGAAAAAAAAAACGCGGATAGAAATGCGCACCTAGCATATTAAACCGTCGAATTTCCAAATTTCGCCAAAGTTGGAAAACGATTTCGCGATAGAAGTAAACTCTATTCAGTACAGATTATTATTTTGCATTTTTGACCCAAATTGTCTCTGAAACAAGACTCTAACGAGCACAAACATGTATCAAACTGCGGGTTGAAATGTACCGGACTCAAAAACCCTTTTTAATCACTTTTCTACATTCAGTAATGACAAATATCTTTTTTCCGCAGTGATAATATATTTGACGTTGTATGGCACCGATTAATTTATTTAGACGTCAATATGTTACAAAAGTACATCAATACACATGCAACACGGTCCTTACCAGAGGTCAAATAAACCTGAAATGTACGATTGGAACTAATGGAAAATTTGGCATATATTGTACAGTATATGCAAGCTCACAAGTAAATGATGAATACTTACTATCAATTTTCGAAAACTGATGTATTAGTTTCATACCGGAATCGTGTTCGGAGAAATCTTTCGTTTCCTCAGCTTTACATAAATTAATATGTATTATGCAACCATGGTCTTTATAATAGAAACATTTTGGTTATCATATATTTCACCGTCTGGTGGATAAAATATAGATGTTGACGTCAGCAATTCCAAGTGCAGCAAACCTTCCGGATTTTGCTTCTTTTCAATGTAAATACCTATAGTAGAGAGGAAAGCTTCGAATTTCAAATGGCATATCCGCTTTTGAATATTGGCAATATTCAATTTTTGTCACCCAAACCAGAATTCTTCAGTTTTGGTCCAGTGATTTTTCTGGTCTGTATTTAAAGTCAGTCCACTTTGAACACATCAAACGCTTTTTTTATATAATACTTAAATTAAATTCATATTCTTTACGTTCATAAATACTGTAGTCGCGCCAATACAGTTTATTTATATATATATATTATAAAAGGAACGTTTGGCTAACTATCAATAAGACAGTCAATTCATCCTTTAATTCCTCTAATTTGAGTATTTTTCAAGATATACAACGACGAAAATCTTTCAAAATGCATGATCAATAGTAAATTACTACTGAATAGTGAATACATCGCAAGACTTTATACAGCATCAACTTATAGCCAAACTTCCTAGAACAGTCCTCGTTGCAATCAACACAGAATCTAGGCTACTTCAGATTATGGAAAAATACTACTCAATCGAGTTAAATCTAATTTTGCTGATAATCAATCATGCAATAAGTTCTTCGTGTCATTCTTATGGTGCAATAACAAATAATAGTATTGTGTATATATATATATATATTGTTTGTAGCTATTAAATCTTTACAACATAGTAACGAATGTGTTAGTGCATTTGTATTTTGATAGCATGATTAAGTTATCACTGCAATTTTATTGAGCAAAGAACAAAGGAATTTAAAGAGAAGTATTTTCATTTTCGTAAGCAATATTGTCCATTCCTGTGAACTCGGGTGAATCGTGTTCATGATTTAAGCCATTCACTTCTTTTTTCATTTGATTGCTGGTTCTTCTCTTATTTTTTCGACAAGAGCAACAGTTACCAAACAAACTACTGTATGGCTTGAGCGAGTGCATCCATAGCGGTAGGAACTCCCAAGTTCTTAATTTTTCCGGCAGCCTTTTTGGTATCTTGGATTGCAGTATTGAAAGTATGATTACTGGTATTAATACAAGCGCTACTGCAATGAGAAATCCCCACAAAGCCCATTCGTCCGCGATTGACAATCCCAAGACGAGAGTGGGAATAAGAAAGAAAACAAAAATTAAATAAACGACAGCGAACCAGCGATGTTTCGCTGTTTTGTTACCGAGTGCTTTTGCACCTTTGATAGGTATGTTACGCATGTGCGGTATGGGGTACCAGATCAAAATCCCGGTGATGTTAAAAAAGAAATGGCACAACGATAACTGTAACGCATGATGAAGCTTGTTTCCCGACGACGCAAGTGCGGCGAGCAGACCAGTGGTAGTTGTGCCGATGTTTGATCCCAGTGTCAAAGGAAGCATCCGTTTTAAACTAATGACTCCTATTCCAACTAGAGGAGTTATTGTTGAAGTGAACACTGAGCTGCTTTGCACCAGAAATGTAAGACCAGCACCGACAAGTATTGCCAAGTAACCTAAATATAAAAAGCAGTTGATATAGAATCAAAGCGACAGAAAGGGATCGTTCAGGCTTTGTACGGCCTGCATAAGGCAGTCATTTATAGAAAGGTTGGAAATGACCGGAATCATATAGGTGTGCCATTCGGCGAAGTGGTGGGTATCGGTTGTCCGGTGGACCGAAAGTATTCGGACTCAATTCAAGCCCACCACTATTACACCTGCATGGTCTTACGCGATTGGAGTAAATTGGGATTTTGGTTCTGTCGAACCAGGTTCAATTAACAAAAGCTTGAAATTGAGACATTCGTCCTGCGTTGACAATGTAGTTAGGGTGACGCGCTACTTTCTTTACCGCCTGACACTTTTTGATAAATATTAAAATGTTTCTGAAGTGTATGAATATTCGATGATGGAAATAATAGAGACAGATAATAAACAATTAATTTGAAATAAAATTTCCATAAATTACCAGTCAACCATCCGAATGGATACGGGAAGTTCGTGTTTATAACTTTTTTGATTATCCGTGCAATGTTTCCTTTGAGCATCGATGATAGTAGTTTGACCATTCCAGTGAGGCATATACACATGGCAACTAATGATATTATAAGAAGAATAGCTCCAACCCCAGCGTCAGTTATCCCGGTGTTTGCAAAGAGGAAGTCGTCCATGTCACCTTAATTGAAGGAGAAAATCAATTTATTCACGTCCCTTTGATGGATGAAATTAAGTTATATATACTCAGCGCACAAAGATATATATGTATATATATATCGCCTATATGCAACCCAAATGCGCCAAAAAATTAGACGAATGGAGTTTCTCTAGCTATTTTTAGTTCTCGCTATGTCTTGTACTCTGGATAAATTGCTCTGATCTAAATATTAAATCCACCAGTTGTTATATTATGACCTAACAGCCTTATAAGGTTCACTTAGAGTGAGTGGGGTTGGTAACGTGATATACATATACAGCCAAAAATATACATATAGAGCCAACCAAATATTCATATACAGCCAATTAATATACAAATACCGCCATTTTGGTGATGTACATACACATACAATGTCATATATATATACAGCCAAGTAGATCACTCAATAGACACATAAAGACAGCGAGTGAAAGTGATGCAAAAGTCAATATCATATGCATATACAGCCAAATTTGTATACATATATGGCCAATCGAGTAATGTTCATACACAATCAATGTAATATGCTCCTATGTACTACGCAATATACTTATACAGTCACTCAAGTAATGTACACAATCAGCCAATGTCATATGTACGTATATTCAACCTGGAGGCATTTAAGCGATGTCATAAGCATATACAACAAATTCAAGATATATATATGAAGCCATTCCCATTTGATTATTTCGTGAACAGTTTATTGACAGTAGCCGAAGAATAGTTCTCTGAAAAGAGATTTTCAGCCAGCACATTTCTCATGCCATCCAAGATGAGCTGTTGTTTGATTAGTTTGTGGACAGTTACTTGTGTAATCAACGACCAGCTGTTGCGGGGTATTATAATATTAGAGGTTGGTACCTATTGTATAGTTATCATGTACTACGAACACTGGGTAGTTTTATGTCTTTTTGTCCGCAATCAACATGTAAGTAAAGCCTTACCCCCGCATTCTAATACCTTATCGATCCCTGGCCGCTTTGGAGTTTTTCACACTTTTTAATTGCTAATTATATGGGCGACCCGTAATGTGCATATAATTCGTAGATGCAACCGCGTATACATAAATTGTATTCTTACGGAATGATCTGGCAGTATTTGTACATCACCTTTATTGCTGTATTTGTATATTGCGTTGGCCATATATGACTTGGCAGTATATGTATATTTGGTTGGGTGTATAAGTATATGAGTTGGCGCGATATGCATATTTTTGGCAGTATATGTATGGAACGTTGTCAACCCTATCTCTTAGAGTTAGTCAAACGCCCGGAGGAATTGAAAAACTAGCAAACTAATCTCATACCCGACATTGACTGGTAACTGCTGAGAGGCCGTGGTACGCCCTATGATTATGCCGTCTAATCGGATTTCCTCTCCCTTGGCTAAATTTGTAAATCCTGTCCTACAAATTCATATACTTACACAATCTGGTTCCGACTTTGATTTTATGCTCAACTTCTTCGGTTAAAGAATAAACACTTCTGTTTCCAATGAGATCGGTTTCATTATCCATTATTCTCATTCCAGTATCGTTAAAATACTTCACGCTCTCGTTTCGGTAAATTATTGCATCATCTCGTTCACACCAAATCTAGTGTTCAGATAGAATACTTAGGAAAATTCGTTACATTGCGGGCAATCGGACGCGAAGAAAAACAATGATACTATACGCTTAAAATCGATATCATAATATAACACGGTTAAAAAGTGACATGAGTACAATTCATGGATCTTTTGTAAAAAGCCCCGCCACTTATGCAAAAAAATTGAGATTCGAGAAAAACACTCCCGACACGTTTTAAAATAAAAAATTAGTAATTATCCAGTTAGGCTTGGGGGTCGGATTAGAATTGATTTGAAAACTTGAATTTCCGGCGCAAGCTGTAGTTTAACCAGATAATGACTATTCTATTTATTTTGAGCAGTGGAGGCGGTTGCTCAACGACCTCTACGACCATACATACCTTTACCATACTGCTGTCTGGTTCCAAATATTGATCTAACGCAGCATATGTGATGACTGTTTTATTCACGGAAATAATCTTCGAAGTCAGAGGTTTTGTGAGAACCTGAAATACAGTTTGATTATAGGTTTTATCGAAAATTGAGCAAAAAACTTAATATGGCGCGGCGGTGTGGCTCAACGGGCTAAGCGTTGGGAATACGCTCGCCACCGCACCTTTAATTACACTGCGTGGGTTTGCAGGTTTGAATCCCATGTAGGGATGGTTATGTGCGAGAGGATTGCTGGACTCCTCACCGTCGTTGGGTGGTTCACGAAACCGCTGGTCGGTTACGGCTTCCTCCACCACCAAGCCCATGCTTCCGAAAACAAACAATATAACTAATCCCATACCCAACTTGGAGTGGTAACCGGACGAGGGGTCGTGGTTCGCCATATGGATAAGCCGTCTTATCGGCTTTCCTCTCCCCCGGGATAAATATCTAAATCCTATTCCTATCCCTTAATTCAGTTACTTTATTACTTCAGGTCCGCATGAAAGTACGAACACAAATAGGCATAGTATGAACGAGAGAGCGATGCTCAAATGTCGTTATGTTACCAAAGTCAATTCTACCGTATGTCATATAACTGTGTTTCCATAAATTAAATAAACCAACAAAATTTGAGTTGAACAGCCACCGCAGGACTCGAAAGAAAATAAAAATGAATGAAAATTAAAAAATTATAAAAATTAACCAAAATTCCGTGAATAAATTTTCTGAGACTGGATATTCGATTGAAGTACATCGAACAAATTGACTCTTTCTGTTCACTGACCCGTCCGATTATACCAGTTTGTAACAAAAATAATGCGATTATTGAATTAGAACAGCTATGACAAATTTTGTTCAGAATTGACATAATGCCTATAGGCGACAAGCTTAAAAATAATTTCATGTTTTTGCAAATTTCTTTTCTAAGCTAACGAATTAATCCGAGTCCACGCCGGCAGGCACGCAGTGATTTTTACCTTCAACAAATCTGGTGGTTTCTGTCCTGTTTCAATTGTAAATCCATACAAAATTGCACCAGTTAGTTTTTCAAGATAATGAAAAATAAGTTCAATCGGCAGAAGAACTAAAACACACAACAGATTGAAAATATCATGAATTGTAGCTCCTGCGAATGACCTATAAAAGCAATGAATAAGGATTTCTGGTTACAGTAATATTACGCTCTCAAAATTGTGACTTTACGTGTTTGGTACGAAGACTAACTAATGTTATCATCTCTGCAAAACTGTTTTGTTCATTGGGCCTATTAAAGCAATGCACAGCTCTACTTTTGCTGGGCCTACCGGTTGGTTACCAAGATATGTAATACAAAATGTTTTTATTTAATAAAAAAAATCTAAAATTTGTAGTACTATCAAGTTTTGTGAATCTTGTTATTGGCATCCAAATTGTAAATCAAAATGATGCTAAACCGAATTGGATGGCTATTTTATTGCACTCGGTATCGCTGATATAAGTCGAATAATCACTTATGAGATATAACAACTATAAAAAAAATTTTGCAACCAAACCTTCGAAATTCTTCTCGATCGGCCGACTGAGTGAGCGACACAATGGTATTTGTGACAGACGTGCCAATGTTGGCTCCCATTATAAGGGGAACTCCACTCCTAACGCTGATCACTAAAAGATGAAAAAAATCGAGTTTAGTCAGATGGGGAAAATGCATAAATAAAATCGACTGATCGAAGGTCGGAAAACTAGTTCTGACCACTAAGCGAAATGAGTTGCAATATGTATGTATGTACGACATGTATGTAATATGTATGTTTTTAAATAAGTCATAGCTTCCATTGTTAACTAGAGAAAATCTGTAATCTAATTGTATTTTCCACAACCCCATAAACAAAACAAAAAACATAAACAATTTAGCAAAAAATTTTTAGTTCACGTTTCTGATCTGTTTTACCGACGTTTATACAAGATAATTTGTTTACAAAAATCGCCGACCCAATTAGCTTGAAATTTTAGGTTATATAATTCTTTGACGGTACAGTTAAAAAACTCGTAATAATAAACTCAAATATTACAGTGTTTGATAGTAAATCTATTTCTCGAACGATAAAGTGTGTGGCTTCTGCCCTGGCTATACCGCTACCCGAACTATTGTAGCGTAAAATTTTGGTTTAAATATGGTACGGTGAAAAGTTCATGAACAATCAACCGTATTTCATAGTTTTTAATTTTAATATGTACAAATATTCATCTCCATCAACCTAAAATATTACATGATTTTGAAGCGAATTATGTACCATATGAAACGTGCAATTCAATCCTATTTGGGAGCAAACTTTTTTGTTGAAAACAGTACTTTTTTAAGCAGCTTTCTATGCAAAATTTTTGGGAATTATCTTGAGTAATGTATAGATTTTGGAATATAGCTCGTTAGCTCGTGCGATGATTTTAATAAAATGAAACTCGAGTAAATAAACATGTTCTCAGGTATTATTTGACGTAGGCCTACGTTTCCCGGAGATTCGATTTCATTGTTTATTTCCGCAACAGTGAGCATTCAGCAATAAGTCAACAATGACGTAATAATTAAATTTTGTGTGGCCGCTCAGACAGATATTTAAGAATGGTTGTGAACATTGCCTCGTTTTTGCGAATTTTGTAACAGTTTTTAGTGATCTTTCCAAAAAATAGTTGAAAATCGAATACCTCTATTTCCATCATGTCTTCCGAGGTGCTTCAGTTTAGTTGTAATAATCAAAAATTTAGTTCTTTAAAATCTGTGATAGACTGAACTAAAATTAGCTGTCAGTAATTGTAAGCGACACGTAGTTAAATGTTTTTGAGAAAAATTATGGTTTTGAAGCCAGTTTTTCTGCGCAAACTGTCCTAAACAGTTTTAAAGCAAGTTAAAAAAATTTGCAACAGTAAAGTATAGGGAAAATTGTTTTCAGTTTAAGCTTTGGAAAACATCCATTGACATGATTATCAGATTATGGTCAATTGTCTGCGAGCCATTCTCGGGAAAAAAATCATTTTGATTTGCGTTTGTGCATTGTTCATACTTGTTATTCAAGATTTTATCGGGTCTAGTCGTTATTACAATCGTTTTCGTTTGCTCGGCAATACGATAAGTAATATATTTTATTAAAGCATCAATGACGGACTCTCGAAACACAGTTATTTTTTACTTGTAATATGCAAAAAAAACGATATTTCTGTATATTCCTTCGAAAGTATAACAAACACATATGCCAGCTAGTGCCTGCTAACCTGAGGCAATGAATTACGTCATTTGTTTGTCACAATCCATAACTGTTGAAAAGTAGAGCAAAAGTTGTTTTGACACTCTAAAGCAGGCCTGGGCAAGTTGCGTCCCGCGGGCCACATCCGACCCGCAGCAACGTTTCATCCGGCCCGCAAGCAGGTTTCCAGATTTAGACACTTTTTTTCATGGGCATATAAAATATACTTTAACTGTGAACAGAAGAAATTTTTAGCATAATGAAAAAGTCGGTAATAACGTTCTACTATTTTTTTTAAATTGTCGATTGTTTTCGTCAGTGTGATGTTTTATTTAGACCTTGAACACCTTTACGTCGGTGAATATTCTCTTCAAATCACAAACTCCTTTCGACATACATATATGTCTTGTATACGGAACTGTGAAACCACTGAGAAAAAAGAATTATTATATAAATATCGGCGACGAGGTGCTAAAGATAAACAAAGGAGTGATCTTTAACCAACCTAAATCTAGAATAAAGAGCGGCAATACAAAAATACTAAAAATGAATGAACAGAAGCAGCACGATGTTTGGCCACCGAAGGCATGGTCCTAATTCCGCAATATTACTCACTCTTCAGCATCAATGAGCATATTTGGTGTTGTTATGCAAGCGTGCCGTTTCTCTGATCCTATGTATTCTCTCGAAACTTTCAGATTTATGTTTTCAACTAGCTTAAAGAATTGTGCTTAGAATACCAACTTTAACAAAGTACAATACTAGGCCTATTTTGTTTTATTTAAATGTGCAATAGAATACAATGTATAAATGTGCAATGTATGTTGACTTCACTTAGTCCGGCTCACCGCTGCATTTTGAATATTCAAGGTGGCCCGATTGCAAAAATAATTGCCCAGCCCTGCTCTAAAGTCACACGCTTCCCATAGAGGGGGGGGGGGCGGCTATTTCTCACAGGGGAGTAATTTTGTCGTTGTTAAGTAAAAAGTTTTGCTTTGTATCGCTGTAGTATTACTAATATTTTTTATTTCTTCATTATTTTCGGGACACTTTTTTATGCACGCATTATTAACTGCCTAAACATACACTGCCTAAATAGTTGGGGACCATTGCTGAAAAGAAACTGTTCGTGTGTTAAGTGCAACATAAAAATGCCAAGTTATATACTCACAATCCACTGACGTCATCGTGATAAAAATTGATGTCGAAGTCGATGAACTTTGAACTAGAACAGTTACCAAGATTCCGATAATTAACCCTGTTACTGGGTTGGAAAGAATCTCGTTTTTCGTGAAAATGTCACCGGCCGTTTTTCCAGCTGCAAAAAGGTCATTATTAAAGCTTCATTCTCAAGCACTGTAAAACTGTTCCGGGTCCCAAAAGTGACATTTCACACATTTTATGCAACCCACATCGCCCCTACTCTTCCCAATTCCCTCATCCAAACCTATTATCCATTACCTATTTTTATTTTTATATATTCGTCCGAACAAAACTCTATGCAAACAGCGTATATGTATGAAAAGTTGTTGGGTCTGAACTGAAATATTCCAAATCTTTCCTATTCAGCATCGACTCACCTAATTTCTTAGATATTGGGTACTATAATTGATTTTCCGTATGAACTGAAGAATCTCTCCCCCAAGTTAGACCAACTGTAGAATCTCCACCCTAACTAGGACCATCTAACCCTAACCCTACCAAATAATCAGTTCAGGTCAAATGAAGGATCAAATGGTATTATCGGCTTAGGTGGGTTGGGGATGGGGTTATTCTTAAGTTGGGAAACGGGATCAACTAAAGAATCTCCACCCCAACTGAAGCCCAAGGTGTGTCAAACCTCCCCGGAGAGGAGATTCTTCAGTTAATCCGATTTTCCTAACGGCCTAACTGACCTGCAGTTAAACCATTTTATTTATGTTGTATTACTTAAATATTCTAATTCTAATTAATAGTCATTGTATAACTCACCTAAAACTTGAAAAGCCGACCCCATCAAACCCAAAGAACAAATGAAGAGGTAAAGACATCCGAGCACAACTATTAGTTTGGTTGTTCCGATGATAACTGCCTGAATTTTCTCTTTCATCGTTTTATCATTCCAACGTTGGTATTCATCTGTTGTAAACAACAAAGATATTTTTAGTTGGTATTTTTTGCAAGACCGTAAAAAATGATTCGAAAAAATTGTTTTACTTACAATCATAGTCTTCCGTTAATTCATATGGATCCAATTCTTTTTCACTTTTCTGCTGTCCGCCTAAGTAATTAAAGTCTCATTCAAATAAAACATAAGGGGTAGAATATGAAGGGCGCCGTTGCGTGAGTAGTGATAGAGACAAGAAAAATGAAATAATCGCGTCAAATCTTCATAATTCAAACCAAGTTGATTCAATTTGAAAACTATTTCAAATTCAAAATTCTAATTCACAGTCGAGACTTCATAAAGTTTATATATATATATATATATATCATAAGCATTTCGCATTAAATTAAAGTTTCTGTCGTGACCACAAGAAGATTTGAGTTGTATATTTGTGGTGGCATATTGTGGATGGAATCTGAACCAAGCTATTTTGTTTTTCAACCCAAAAACGAAAAAATTTGATTCAGTAAATTAAATAAAATATCATTAAAATGAAGAAAAAAAGAAAACATCCCGGCTTTTGCTTGGAATCAAAAGTTCACGAAATGACTGAACGGTCTACTACTTAGCGGCTATCTTACAATAGCTATACGACAAACAAGTTACCTTCGACTCCTGTATCCGCTGGAACTATATCTCCCATCATGTTCCTTAGGTAGAAAAATTCGTTGGAAGGTTCAATTCACTATTTAAATTGATTGCAGCAACTCAAAACTATTTGAAACCTATGCCGTGGTACAGTACTGAAAAATTCAGAACACGCTGCATTATTACAATTACCTCAATATTGTAGTATTTTGCCGTATAACGTGAACCACTTACAACATTCCAAGAAAACTTGACAAAAGCAGGACTACTTGTCATATTTGCCGATTCGTCTAGACATGTGCCGCTATAGACTTAAAAGCAAACCAAAAGCTACTATTCAATGAGGGATGTCATCTAAACCTTGAGATTTAACATCCATAAATTGCATTTGAAATGGTATTTTTTATTGAAATAAGTCACCGTGCTTTCACTGATTTATGGTTAATCAAATGTCCCGTATTATCTGTTCAACGTTTTTATATCGATGAACTTACGTTTACTTTTTGGATTAGTATTTTTATTAATGTAGTTCAAGTAGTAATAGTTCAATTCACTTCAAGTAGCTCGTCTAACAATAAGAGCTATACTTTGAAGTAGGTTTCGGTAATTACAGAAATGACAAATCCCGATCGAAATAGCTAACTAACAGGCGAGGATCGTGCATATTTGCCACCTCACTGAAAATACTCGTTTTTTTATTCTTATCATAAAAATATTGCCGAAATTGCAATGCGAAAAAAAAATTTACGGCTATTTTATCGAATAGCGTGTATTTTAACCAGCGGAATAAAGTGTATTCCTAGTCTTATAAAAACTTCATCTTTTGAAATCGGATTTTTTTTAACTCCGGTGGCGCATATGCTTGCTTTTCGATCGCCATCTATCTCTTTCAATCGGGGCCTCGATTCCTTCCACTCTCTATTCGTTCGATTCTAGATTTAAATTCTTTATCAGACACTATTAGAGAAACATATCCTATTATATAGCGTTGTGATAAAAAAAATTCAACTAAAAATTACAAAAATTATCTTCATATTTTGACAAAATCAGCCTACGAATAATATCCCCCGCAAATCAGCAAAGGTTACAAAATCGTTACGTACCTCCGTAGTATAGCAATGGTGGGAATTCTAACGGCGATTTCTGAGAACTTATCTCTAAGTATGTCTGTCTGTTATACTTCACAATGTCAGGCTTTCCATACGCATACTACACAATTCTAAACGCTAAAATGTTCTGCTGTTTTCCTGAACGAATATCTACACATTTACAACATGCCCAACTTAATAATCTTATTGCATATTTCAATAACAGGTATTCATATATTGTGCGTAATCATTCAACAATTGATTTAGATTCAACTTCGGCTGTATAAATTTATCTATTGCGAAAAAGATAATCTTTTTTCTTTGGTTAGTCACCAAATTGAAAAAAAGATTTACAGAAGAGAAAGTCAATTTGTATTACGCGCGAAAATCAGTAGGCCGATAAAATTTTATGATTCAATGCAAAGATTGGTCAAAATTACCTTGAACTTGTTCATCGCGTGTGATTCATCTTCGGTGTCTGTTGTATCATGTTTCTTGTTAATACATCATGTTTTGTAATTAATACCTATCATATTTTAGGGAAATTTATATTCGTTTTTGAATAATTTTTTAGATGATTTTTTAAATTTTTTTTTAAATAAATATTAGTTTTGGAATCACAAAATTGAAATATGACGTAATTAACGACATATCATGTTTGTTATACACAAATTCGCTATGAACCACGGCAGTCCATTTTTTATTATTCATATTATTGGTCAAATAAACTTTCTAGTTTGGACCCATAAAAGTATGTCTTCTAGAGTTATAATCGTCATACTCTCTTAGATTAAACAGTTTTTATTCCTAATCACAAAAATAATGGCTTCTAATTATGGTGTAAACCGATTACATGTTTGATTGATCGTTCCGTCATCAGACTGCTTCAAAAATGAATTTTCACAGGGACTACATAATGTATTACACTTTAGGTGTGGTTTTTCTTAGGTCTTTAGGCCCCCTAATAATGCCTTCAGATTACTTCAAAATTATTTAAGGTATTAAAAAATTCCCTAATAATTATATATATATATATACACTTGGAAAACATAGCAAAATTGAAACACAATCAAATGTAATCAAAATTCCAATTAGTGCCGGTTACATGAGAAAGCGAAACAAAATCTTAAGTACATTCTTAGTTCAAAGTTTATAATTAAGGTTGCAAAGGCCATTTGTAATTTAGCTCATTCAGAGAGGATTTCGATCCGTGTCGGATTTTCACGAATGATTTAATCTTTTGTAAATGAATATCTTTTGTAAATCTTAGTCTTAGCATACCTTAAAATACTGTAAAATGACTTTAAATCTTTCTTTCCCAATTCTCATTTATATATTGTCATTTTCACTCACTCTTTGAACGTTTTTCGAATAATGCCGGCGGCCCGAAAATGAAGATTTTTATGGAAACAATACAGTAATAATTACATCAAAATTGGTTTCCGAAATCCAATATTATCCACTTGATTTGTATCGAATAATTTATAATAAGAGATACAGATAATAATGAGAAAGCGAAGCGACGATTTGAACTGATCTAAAGACAGCTTATGTCACCCTTGACCTTAAAATTCAATCATTTGTTACGAAACAAAGGACGTCATGATTTGGTCATCTTCGTTGCACGCTTACATCACGCTTTGACAGCTTAATTCGTGATGCTGAAATATAAAACCGTTGCATCGAGTCGATCAATAAAGCACAATTGGTCATTGGTAACTGGATACAGAAATTCATACCAATGTATACGAAATTATACGGAATTTTATGATGTTTCCGGCAAAGGCATACGGCATAGGATTTTTTTGGTATTGCGAAACACCTGACAGTGACCGTATTTAATCAATGGGGTTTACGGATTAAAAAATGAGTAACGTTTGACCGGTAATCATATATGAATTAAATTGTATTCAACATTTTCTTCATACAAGGTTGCTCAGATAAAGGCCCCAAATCCTTTACGATAGAAGTGATGCAAGTTATACCACTGACTATCTAAAAGCGAATGACGGCAGATTGCGGTTGACGTGACACCCAAATATTGTTTAATGGAATATTTCAATTAACATACAATTAATATTATTAAAGAGGGTTAGGTTGGTAAATTTTGCTTCTAATATCAAGTTAATTCGTACAGTAATAATTTTTGTTTGACAAAACTTATTTTAGCTTATCGTATATTTATAAAATCATCTCAAAATATTTTATTTACAAAGACACGTTTTTGTTTATCGCAGGATCAAAACACATAAACAAAGAATTGATAAGTATGAATTGAAACATGCTTGATATTTTCTAAACTGAGCACATTACACACCGCGCCTATATTAAAAATAAACAAAACGTATTGTGTAAGTTTCACATCTTGGCAATTCAAACTCCAAACAAAGAGAGCATTGTCAATTATATTGGCACAAATGTAGCGAATAGGTGGTACCTGTGAAATGAGACCTCACCTGAACACCGATTTTTCTGAAAATATCGGTGGATTAGTGAGACGAATGCAGACCACAGCGTAACGGAATATAGTGTTCCCATATTTTATAAAAAAAAATAAATAAATAAACGTTAGAACAGAATTTTCTTTGGGTGAAATATCGGTGTAATTTTTAAAAATTTTGTTTGTTTTGTTTCAATAGATTGTTCCAGTATATGCGAAGAACGGTCAATACTTTTCCAACCATAGCAACAACAACAAAATCCCCAACAACAACTAATCAATGCGATCTATTAGTCCACTTCTTGACGACTCAAACCCGTTTTCCCGACTAAATACCTTTTTCTTAAAGCCCTAAACTGTAACAGCTCTCAACGTGAATCTAATCTTGTTTAAGAATATAAGCTTTCACGTTGCTAATTATAGGGCGGAATAATGTCGGACAATGGTTATGTTATTTATTTTTAACCTTGTTAGTATCACATCGAATGATTGCGAGAAATTGCGTCACGAACTTAAATGCATGCTCAAGTCACTCAAGGTTTAATACGAAATCAGGGTTCCTGCACGAGTGGCCGGCATGATGTGACGTCATAAGCGTGATGTGTCCAGACTTAATATGGATGACCATTTCCTTTACAGACTGAAGATTACTACATATCATGGTGATTTAAAGAATGCTAAACGTTTTCCATAATAGCAAATTTTGTGTTTATACCTTTCTAAACTTGATGGAATTTTTAGCTGAATTGGATACATGAATTGGTAAGACTATAATACTGATTAGTGCCTCATAATGTTTATAGTGTGCTATTTAAAGCCAAATTTTAGTTTTTTTCCTGTGACCTATCGACTTTTCTGGTTCAAATTATATGCTAGGAACATAACATTCCAATTGCGGCTTTAATTTATGTTTTTTAACGGATTTAAGTAATTTTTTTTAAACGTTTGAATGACAACTTGTTGCTTTTGCTTACATTTTCTTTCAAATCATTATTTTTAAATAATTTTTTTAAATACCCAAGATGCATTTCCAATATTACTCTAATTTTATTATTCAATCACACAAAATCTAGCATTCAGCATCGCATTTTTTGCTCTAGTCCAAATCTTGACTCCAAATCCTAAGCGATAAGCTGCTGCAATAATACTGTATTGAGCTGATTCGCCGTAACCAACTAAATATAGATAATAATCCCTCCTTAGTATACACTTTCATTTTCTGTAATTGTGAGTTGTGACTTATTTGATATCCAACTAAATACATATTCGCAGACTATATAATTTTGCTTCAATTAAAAGGAAATGTATCACAAGAATGATTGAAGTTTTTCACTCTAAATTCCGAGAAAATGTGTTGCTACACATTCTTTTAATGATTATACAAACTTATTTTTATCTGAAATACCAAGAATACCCAAGAACACGCCCAAAGTAAAAACTCTCAATAGTGTTACACACATTAAGTCGTGATTGAAAAACATGTCTGAAGTTTCAACGTGAACGCTTATATTAGAGAATTTCTAAGATATGAATGCGAATATTCACAAAGTATGTTTACACATAAATGTTACTGTTTGTTCATCGTTTTTAAACAGGAAACAGACCTATGATTTTGCCATTACGTATTTTTTTCTTAATGTTATGAAAAAAATCGCTACCTTAATTAACTATACTAAACCAATTACTTAAGAATTTTCAGTGGTTGAAGATTGTGTTTGCCATTTAGAGGCCATTAATTTTATTCACATCAAACATTTCTATGGGCTCTATGGAATTCATCTAATAACTTTTTATTCCGCCCTTCGTGGTACGAAGTAAACTGGAATTTGGAAATTTTACAAAGCATATATATCATATATATGATATTTATTCAACAACAAGCTAAACACAGTCTAATACCGTTTGTTTTATTCCACCCTTTTAGGTACGAAGTAAACTGACGACTTTGGAAATTTTACAAATTTGGACTTTGGAAATTTTACAAAGCATGTCATATGATATTTATTCAGCAACAAACTATGAAATGCTAAATATTGAAAAAGTATCATTTTAAGGTTTATATCTATTCATACATAAAGTTGATCTTTTACAATAGTTTTAAATCACGTTCAAAATATCATAATTTTTAATGCTTGGATTTCTATATTCAAATCACAATCAAGAACATTGTAATACAAAGATCATATGCTTTGTTATACTATTCAGAACCACGAGACGCTTTCCAGACTTTTGCGGTTTGTCTTGGTGATTCCAAAAATCATTGTTTACGACCTATATTCTAGAAAATGAGTATTTGTGATGGAAATTTGTCTCAGGAATTGAAATAATTTTTTTAAAATTAAATCCATCACGAAATAAGTATAAAAACAAGTTCTAACTATAATAAACAAATATTGTTGATCATTTATACTATCAATTGTAAGTGACGTACTTGAATACTCGCTTATTCATTTTGAAAAATTAAACTAAGATAAGATATTTTTTTAGAAATCGGAATGAATTTACAGATTATGATTTAACAGTGAAGGCTACTGTGAGTTTCTATATTTATACTTTTGACATGATTTTCTTCGCAAATCGTGTTGCGAGAAAACTCAGAGGCGCGGCACAAATGGTGCAAGTGGGGCATGACAATTTTGAGTTAATAGGGAGAAAGTGTATATGGTTGCTAATGTTAAATGGGAGTCAAAATATTCGTCAATTCGGAGTCGACATTCTACCGGAGTCTGATTATCCGTACGCAACACAACGTGAATAAATCCACCGTAATAAGGTCTACAAAACCAGATATTAAATTAGTATCCGTAGCGGAAAGCAAATGTATTATACATAAAGAAAACTATTAATATGACGAAAACGCCCATAATCCAGGTTGGAATAGATGTTGGTAATAATAATATGATGTTCTACTATTAATAATACAGTAGGCGTACATTTGTACGTGACAAACGATTCCGAAATACCATTCTTCTACTTCTAAATGAAGGTCAAAATGAAAACCACAGCTTATATTAAGAATTACGCTCCGCAGGCAATTTTCAGTAATCGATACAAATGAAAAAAGCGTGAGAAATCCGAATTTTTGACGTGATAAATTCGTGACTAACTTTAGTGTAGTCAGAACATTGTGATCCACTCATCTCGTGAACAATAACAGGCACAGTTACTGCTATTTATAATGAACTCATACTCAATGAACTGGATTGCTATCTTTTATTAGGTTTCCCTGGAATTGCTGTGCTATGCAGGTCAGTAATTCTGAACCAATTCACTGGTAACTATGGCCATTCACGATATGAGCTAGCAACCGTAGGATGCTTATAGGAAATGAGAAGTTATGGTTAATTCAATATATAAAAAAAATATGATTTCACAAATAAGTCGTCACAATATTATGCCCCGAAGCCTTCCACAATGTGACTTGAATACTAGAATACATCCACTCAAAATCTGCTCAAAATTGGAATTATGTAATTTATAAAAATGAAAATAATAGCTGAATTTCGTTTGTGAAATATTTCAACTGATATAATCACTATCGTCATAAATTAGAACATGATTGAAGTAATGCTCAAATATTATAATTATTTAATCCATGTTCTTATTTTAATGCTGCTACTGTAACTTTTCGCGATTGTCTGACAAAAATATTCAATTTAATATTAAAAGTATTCTTGCCGAGAGGCAAATGAAAATGTATTCATTTTGCAAAAAAAATAATAATACCAGGTTATATTGTTGTTGACATAGAACTTTAATACTGGAATCTTCGCCATCAATTTAATCGCCAATGTGAATCATGATGCTGAGAATAGTTCGGAGGAATAATGGTAACAATTTGCTCAGAACTGACTCGGGTTGGCTACAGAATGGTGTGTCATAATACTGGCGCCTTTGCAAAATTTGTAATATTTAAGAGACTGTGAAATATTTTCTAATAAACTACCGTCTGTGTAGTAACGGAAGACAAATGTTCAAGATGAAATATCAATATTATGGCATTGATTTTCGCTATTATAAGCAATCCCCCGCATATTCCCCCTACACTACTTGATTTTATAAAGTCCATTAGAATACCTAAATGCCTATTCAGAATTGTTTGTTTAAATTGCCTAGCGCAAAATACTCAAATTGTTAAAAGTACAATATACTTCATGCTACACATATACACAACACAATAATAAATGATGATTTCAATTATAATATCTTCTTGAATTCTACTTACTCCCGTTTTAAACAATCAAACTTTTAGAATATCCTAATTAAATCTATTTTATAAACTCTTAAAACTTTTGCTTGTCAAATACTGATGATGTCATCAGCACTCCTGCAAACCAAGCAATATCTTTCATGTCAATCTTCAAACTATTATTGACAACACTCCAAAGCGAATTACCTGCCCAATGTCATTGCAGATAACCGATACAATAAGAAAATCAGTAAATTATGGAACAGTGCAAAGTAATTCGATCACCACCAATCTAAACCTTCCTATGCCAAACTGTATATGTATCCACGGTTTATATGAGAACAAAGATGTACGTTTCGATGGGATTAAATTTCTATGAAATACTGATATTGCTTCAATATTTTTACTTTATGACATCCGGATAAAATTAAATAATTCCGCAAATTGCATGTCCCTTTAATATTTAATGATTACCCGGCATAGATTATTATTTTTTTATTGCAAGGCATTTGGTAATTAATTATTGAATGAAATCATAGCAAAGATGATTATGTTACATTGGGCAGCAATACTCTCGTACCTCAGTTTGCGATCAATATGGTATAGATTATGCCGTCATAATTTCTCTTTGGGCATTGAATTGAAAACAAGATAAAACCACCAAATAAAATAATTTTAAAACTGCACAAAACCAAGAATTAACGTGTTACACAGATTTCTCAGCGGCATTATGAGCAACATGATGAAGTATGCAAATATTATTTTTTAAAGATCGTGTTAACGATGTAGTATATTTTTATATTTTATATAGGAATATTATTATTTGAACCCTTTCATTTAATGCTGTTTATGACTGGCGTTATTATTGTAGTGATCCACACATCAGGCAATCCGCTGCTGTACCTGTAGATCGAGAATCGAGATGGCCAACTAGTCAGAGACCGAGAGCCGCATTTCGTACTTAATTAAGATTACCACGAAGAGCCACATTATAAACAAGACCACACATGAACATCAGATATACTTTTCTTCAGGTAGAAGTGAGGTCAGTAAGGTAGAATGCTAGTTTATTGTGAATGTCACTAACCAACATGATTAGGACATAAATTTACAAGCCATTTATTGTTATGCATGCTTCTTAGTGGGACTTCTGGCGTCACTTGGATTGAACAATGCTCTTTAAATATGACGTGTGTGTCGTAGTAGCTAATCGAAGCGTCACATATGCGTCAGTCAGAACAGATCAATGGTTTGATTTCATGTGAAATTGGCTTTGCCATAAGTCAATGGTCATTTCCCTTAAAACGCATTTCAGTTGGTGTTCTCCATAAAGATCGATCATCTTCTACTCAGTTGCAGCCTCATCTGAGACTAGATGGGAATTTCAAACGATCCGTCTCAGAATTAAATGAATAGTCGACGACGTAATCTGTGACGTTTCATCTGCACTCCAAATATTTCACTCGAACGGTAAACTGCGCACTTGCCTGCCACCCAACTTTATTTTCGATACGACAGTCTTTGGAGTGCAATAAACGCGTCTCACAATAAAGAATTTGATTGTGGCATAATAATGGACAATTGCGGGTTCATGTATCTTCGACCTGGAAGAATAATTCACGAAAAATTATAATATATTTAATCGGAGTAGGATGAATCGTACCTTACAAAATATTTTTCCTCAAAATAACCTAGCCGAAAAGAGCCGCATAAAACGGACGCAAGAGCCGCATGCTGCTCGCGAGCCGCGAGTTGGCCACTCCTGGTATAGATCGTGATGTTTAGGAATTTCTATACACCTCAAATATCAATAAATCAAATCCAAACTAAACTTATTGTTTATTGGAGAAACCGAGTCGTTTCAGTGATTGCAACAATTATCTGGGCTTAGGATGTGAAAACCCATCGTATGGTCATTCATGGCGAAGCTGCAAAACGGAACCAATGGTCGATTCAAAAGAAATCGCTAGTGGGTGATAGATATCAGAAATTTGAAACATCGAAGCACGGATGCCTCTCTTTTTCACTGAATTATATTCGAACAAACAGTTGCATTTTATACATTCATCACGCATTTTACCTTATATGAAACCAGTGAAATGTGGAGAGGCATTGTTCTACATATCATCAAAATCTTCAACTTGACACAAGCACATTACGTTAAACTGACTGGAAATGGAAAAAATAAAACGTATTTATGAACATATTAACGTCAGTGGGATACAAAGAATAGACTTTTGAACGTTTGCTTTACATAAACTCAAGCCCGATATAAAAACTCGGCTCTGACTCACAAATGTGACTCCAACAGGTCTGTATCATCGGTACATCATTTTTTCCTCTTAAGCAGTAAAGGTATGAATCATAGTTAAGTATGTACACCTATTTTACTGAGTGATGACTTTTAAACAACGTTTGCTTAATATAATCCCAAGCCCGGCCTGAAAATCATGGCTTAAATCAGCAATATTATTCCAGTACATTCAGAATTATTATTATTTTGCTGACGCCAGTGGCGTAGCATCCACCCCCGCAACCCCCGCGGCCGCGGGAGGGCCCACAGCACAAAGGGGCCCAAGCGGTTAGAATTTAGAAATTTAAGCCGCAAAACCAAAAGCTGCATTGCAAAACCAGTAATGCACATCTTATAACGTTGATGTTACTTCTGCTCAAATTGTTTTGTTACGTAACAATGTCAGGGAGTCGATTTTCCGCGTCTTGTGGTTTGATCGCGCCGGCAAAATTACGAAGGCTGTCATAATGATGTCGAAAGCAAAACCTCTCAGTGAGGCACAGAAACGCAGAAAAGGGGCAGAAGAGGAAGCCCGTATGATAAAAATTAAAGTAACCAAGATAAACGGCAAATTTTAGGTTACCATTGCCATTTAATAGCGACATGTTATGCTCTTTGACGAAATAAAAAAAAGCGTTGTTTTAGCTTATGTCCGAGAGTTTTTAGGGTCATTTCCACATATTTTTGCGTTTACGAGAGTCTTGCTACGCCACTGGCTGACGCAATGGTTAGTAATGTTATAGTACTGTTTTGGTACCCTATTATCGATCAAACCTAATATGAAGACTTCAAGACGATTTCAGTTCGATAAATTACCACGCATTATTATACTGAAAAAGCACAATATAATAAAGGCGCAAAAGCGAGTTGAAGTAAACAACATGCCCGTGATTCGCAGTCGCCCTCACAAACATACTCATGCATACACAAGCTTATTCATGCCCATGTTTGGATTCATTGGGCCATCGAAATTAATACACAAGGCAATATCGGCCTAAGCTTGGGAACTTGAATGTACTTTCAAGAACACCTTTCAGGAAGCGACATATCATCATATAAATCGAGTTATGATGGTATCCTGATGTGACTAATACCCATTCGCAGGTGATTTGTGGATCAAATAATGCAAAGTTTTAGATTTTTGATGATATAAATGTGAAAATTTATGTCGTCCAAGCATGCGCCATTGGTCAGGTATTTCATAGGACAGGCGCATAATATACACCTATTGTGGTAATTACTAGAAACGTAAATTACTGTATTTAACTAACAGCCTTCAGTTAGACAATATGTTAAATCTGGCATGAGGAAATAGATCGATAACGGATAAGTTGAATATAAACGATGGTGGGCGGTTTGAAAACCTCATTTGTGCAGCTGTATTCAGCAATATGCAGAAAGGTAATTGCATAAATTTGAAGTCATATGGGCAATAAGGAAACAGTGTCATCAATATTGTGGCATTTAGTTTTATGAAGCGACTATATAGACGGCGGAAAAATGGTTCTACATGAATTTTTTCCTCAAGTTTTGATATTTACAAGCATTACTTTCGCTTTAGGTAAGTTTATTTGTTTTTTAATTTCTAAAATTACATTCTAAAATAATACGTTTATGTTTTAATATACAGTAGAAAATATTGTTTCCATCTGTGATAAGAGTGTAGCCTATTTTAAAGCATAGTATTTAACGTCGGCTCACTTTGGACACACAGTAAATGCATTAGGAAGGTCTATTATCCAGATAGCTAGTTTATTTATGTTATATCGACATACATAGTCGCAACAGTGTAAATTAATCATTACGAAGTTTGTGAGCACTTTTATTCGCGGTTAAATGTAAACCATATTTGCAGCTGAATAATTCGTGAAGAAAAATGGTAATCTTTTTTCTGCTCGCCACAAATCTGCGATTAGACACAAATAACAGTCATTCCTGTATTGGTACATGTGAGTCGATGATCTAGCTTAATATTCGGAACTCCCGTAGTATGTATACCAGGCCATAATTTTATTCCGATTTTTCTTATTTTGGTTCTATTACGAGTTCGGGGACTGTCTATGTTAGCCAAGTGAATATACCCCCTGTCCATAGGCTTCCGCCCCCTTACACAACTTGATTTAAAGTAGGCGAACAAAATTAGTTACCTCCATATTGGTTTTGGTACACATACTTCTGGAGCGCCAAATATTCTATCAGTTAATAACAATAGCATAAGAACGGGAGTGCCGTACGAGTTCAGGTTTTGCCGTTTAGATCATACTGACATTGTATTATGTATTTGATGCCGCTGCTGAGTATATCAAAGATACAATGCTGAGAGTGGGCGAATTCGTTCAAACTTGGGCAGAACAATATGAATATCGTAAAATGAATCAGTATACTCAGCAATATAACGGTGTGATCGGAAGTCTTTGATATGGTGATATTCTCAAGACTTGGTCCAATTCACTGCAGTTATTCATTCATATATAATATTACTGAGATAGTGTTATATTGAGCCCACATGATGTGTGTTATCCCAATATGGGCTTCACAAAACACTGGTAAAGCACAGAAAACATAACTACGATTTTTAACACCATATATATATCTCGATATATACAAAAAAGCAGGAACTGCGCCCACGTTGTCATCACATTAGCAGATCACAAGTTGTTATTATTGTAATGTGATTCACAAAGTTGGACCGCTCATCTTTATTCGTCATCTCGAAAACTTTGTTCTATAGGCCTAATGCTTCATCAATATGTAGAGCAGAGCATTTACAGAATTTTTTTTTAATTGTTCTTATAACTTGCCACGGTTCGACGATATTAGACTCTCTTATAGCGTGGTCTCGCATCCAAAACGTGTATTTTTAGGCTAAAAATTCAAACACTGTCTGAGTTAGTAAATTAATGTTCGTTTTTGAAATTTTTCCGGTATCATCGTGGCATTGAATTTTTTACCATGAAGCCTTAATTTATACTATAAATTCTGACCAAAATGCTCTTTTGAAAATATTTTGCCCTTTTTCGCCACTGTCAAATAATAACGGTAGTCATACGGTACTTTACGGTGCACATCTTCGAACGAAAATTATAAACATTAACTTCAGAAACATTCCGATCAAGCAAATAAAAATTGCTGTAGACTTTCAGAAAGAAGAGCTCTAAATTAGAATCTTTTGCGAAGATTTGATCCCAAATGACTGGCAGACTAAATTCAATTCACGTATGCAGATGCAAAGATTCTCAAGTTCAAACATGAATATTCCTGAAACATACAACATGCTTCTAAATTTGAAGTTTTTTTACATGTATTTCGTTACTTTTTGGCATTTAACAGACCCTCCTTCTAATGTTACCGTGACATCTATAATCACCGACACCTTCCGTGTTCATTTCAACCAATCAACAACTGCGATTTCCCACGAAGTCAAAGTTCAAGCAAAGCTGTTATCGGAAGATATTCACCTTGTCAATTCATCGGATAATGCCGTTCAGGTAATCAGTCCTGGATCTCGTTCAGTAGTTACTGTGGTACGAAACTACACGAGACATAATTTAGTTTAGAGAAAACTGTAAAATATGCTACAATTTTTGAAATACTCCTATTATTCAATCCAATCCGTTAAATTCAATCAATGACTCATCACGGCATCATCCGTTCGCGTCCATTTTTTTCAAAGCCTAAAGCCATTTTCATATATATGATATTTACAGAATAGATTTAGTAAATGAACTGATAAATGACTCAATGAACTGATGATATTTAACCGTTTTTGAAATATATCTAAGCTACTTCTTATGCTCAAATATGGTATTTGATGTGAATTTTGGTGGCGCCAAATTCGGGATGTCTCATGATAAATGCAATATTATAAACTTTTTAACAGATTGTTGGGAAGTGTTTACCTAATTAGGTCAATGAAGCCACCACACTTTTTTAAGCAATCTAAGTTATTGGCTAGATACATATTTCCTCGTCTTTCCTCGTCCTCGCCACCAATGAGGACTTGTAATTAACGGAAAAATATGAAAATATTATTTAATTATACGGAAATCAACTTGAATCTGTATTAACTGTTACCAATATTTGGCCGACCCTATACATCGAAAAACTCATAATTGAGCATCAAAATGAATTATAATACTTCAGTTGAATGAAATGTATCCGAATTTTTGAGTATACGTCCGACAATGCATTTGTTGTCTGTTAGCTACATTTTCATATGCAAATAAAAAAAAAGGCTTTAATTAACCTCATACTTTGAGTCAATGGTATCATTGAAATGAATAGGCGGAAGTAAAAACTTTTGAGGGCATTTTGGATATAACAATACAATATACTACTACCACACAATCTCATCAAAATATTTAAAAATCCTTATTCAGATAACTGGGCTCCAGAGCAACGTGATATATGACGTCACTGTACGTTCTCGTGACTCCGCTGGATCAGTGAGCAACTACACTGAAGCAGTTCAAGCAAAAACATGTGAGTCATAAAAACTACCGATGTAAAAATACTCTTCAAACAGCCAGCTATAACGAACCTTTCCGGCGCATGAACGAAGCGAAGCGCTCACTGAAAAATGCAAATCTTCTTTCATTCATTATTCTTATTTCCACAAATAAATTTGCTCTACATGTGCAAAGTGCTTGTATAATAATAAAAATGACTCTTTTTTACTAGATCCGTCAGGTGTACAAGTGATTGTAAGCGAGCCTACTCAAACTGTATTTACTGCATTCTTGGAAGTTGTCGCGGGAGCAAGAGAATGGAGTATTCAGCTACTCAACCAACGAACAAATGTCACACAAGAGGATATTGTCAACACTACTTACAAAATGTATAAAACGAAAATTTTGCAGTTTTAGTCTGAAGTATTTTTTTAAAAATGCTAAGCTATATCAGATTAAATTGATGCAACACGGATAGAAATAGGGTTGTACGGAATCACAATAACTATACACGCTTATATTATACACTACAGCCTTGACTTTATTAACAGAATGGCCCAAAGTTTTCTAAATTGTATAAAAACAAATTCGATAGGCATTCTTAAACCGTCGACTCAAGTAAGTTTTGGATAAATACCAGCTGACGGAGTACAAATATCCAAAGTCACCTTTTTCAGGTTGCAGCATATAATCTATTCTAACGTGACAAATTATGCTGTTGTGTAAATCTTTTTCTATTTGGGTATTGAGTGGTATAATGTATATACATTTTTCTAGTTGAGAGACGAACCAATATGTTGAATATTCAACAGGGTGTATATAAGAAACGTTTAATTTTTGAAGTTAATATTTGTTTTCTTGTAGCTACAAAGATCTAGACGCAGACACAACATATTCAATCAGAGCTCGTGTTTCAAAACTTGACTTCTCGTATTTAAGTGAGACTCAAAGCCCCTATGGTAACTGGACAACAGCAACTACAAGTAATATGTTCATTTCTGTAATATCATTCAGATAATAGAATAAATATAGCCGATGTTTTTATAAATAGTAAGATTGATGTCTATAGCATCATCAAATAATCAAATCTTTGCTGTGGTTGTGCATCTTTCAAGCGAAGGGCAAGAGCAAAAATGCATCATAAATGTTTACTGATCGAGTGTTGTTCATTCCTCTTACAGAAAAACTTTCATTGTTTGGTCGTGTCGTCCTTCTTGGACAATCAGTTTTAACTGTTGATCAAGCAAAGCTACAAGAATGGGAAAAAACTCTATTCGACGAATATGTTAAAATACAACCACAAGTCTTCTCTGTGAAGCAGTTAGAAGACATAAAATCCACTTCAGACGTCTTATTCCATCATGAAATATTCGTGAATGGAACAGCAATTCCGGATCTCACTACGTTTCAACTGAACAATTCTGCAACGATTAAAAATTCGGTTGTGGTAACTGATGGTAAGAATCGTATGTGTCTCTGTGATAAAATCCTATATGTGAACCGACTTACAAATCATATGCTAACCCTTAGTCCAGTAGTTGCCAACCATTTTTTAACATATCCCTCCTTTTGCCTATTTTGGAGCATTTTGTTCTTTTTCACTATGCGTGACGTTCCCGCTGTTCGTTCAATTTTAAGAAATCTATATCTAGTGATACGCGCACTCTGACTTTAACACATTTTGCACCAAATGCAATAATATTGAATAATTATTCAACATTAGTAAATTAGTAAAACTACACAAATACAGGGTAGTAGTATCTCCTAAAAATTTGGCTTTGTATTTGCCCGAGTTTTTCAATATCCTTAGTTCATTTTTTATTAATATAATACTCATTTATGTACATATAATAAATTATTTGAACTGTATAAAAGCGAAAGTGCGACTTGCGCATAACACTAGCTAAAAATCCACCAATGATTAAATAAATAAAGTAGTTTTTATACATGGTGAGGTAGGAATGAGGAGTTTCCAAATACGCGAAAGAAGAAATTTAATGAAAAAGTTCCGGAACCACTGATTTACCTCATGGTATTGTATATTTAAAAAAAAAAACATCAAATTTTCATTCAATTTCAGTGAATAACAACACTCAATATGGAATATATGTGGATGCCGGCGACTTGACAAAAGCATTACAACTTCATCTACACGATGATGTAGCGAAATGTGGAACAGAAAATACAAACGATTGGCGAAGTTTCACCCTGAATCGAAATGATGGGAAGTCATCATCTATCAATCTAATCACTAATTCTGCGGAGCATCGCACAGATACCAACACGATTTTCAAATTTAACGACATAAGTACGACATAAGTATTTTTGGACACGTCATTGGACATAACGATCGTTTTGCATTATTTTTGGACACCTAGTGGAAAACTCAAAAAGTCGCTTTTCTCTTTGATTACTAGACCAATTTCTTCAAAATTTTCAGTGGTTGTAGATGAATTTTTTTCTAGAAGGCTATTACTTTTATTTATTTCAAATATTCCTAATAGCACTGTGGGATTCGTTTTTGAAACGTGATGGATTTGTTTTTATTCTGGCACTCTTCTTTTTGTTCTTTTGATCACGTGCTCATCGAACGTCGGTGGTGGGTAGCGAAATTCTTGCTTTGCTTTGGCGAGCAACGCCGTAGGTACCGGTAGCGTCAAAAGTACGGACTGCCTCGCTCTGATGGACGTGTTCATATATTTGAGCATTGCTCTCTTGTTTATTATCAAAATTATTTTTTATTATCAAGTGTATGGTGTTATGGCGGGCTTGTGAGCGGGAGCCGTGGCATTTTTTCGCACCCATCGTGATTTCTAACCAGTCCCGCATATGCTACATTATATTTAATAATACTTTTAAAATTCAACATAAAAAAGTAAACATCATTTGGAAGTAGATCTAGTCATCGTTTTGCTACGTTTTTTTGTTGTTGTCAACGAGACAAATATATATATATATATAATCTAGTATTTTCTCGACTGTTATATAATTGAAAACAGTTATCTTGTCGAGATCTTATTAATATGTTTATAAATTATCAACTATTACGTTTACCTCTAGAACTCTTTGATCCTCACTCTGAAAGCATATATACCAATATGCAACCAAATAGTTTATACAGCATCGACCAACATTATCTGATAAAAATGTGTCAGTCGAGCGACAAGTCCAGTTATCTGTACTCTCGACGACATGGAGCACTTTTCGGAAACGAAGCCACATTAGCATACAAAAATACGTTTGTACATTCTACAGGCAAGGCGAAATTTTATTGTTTTGTTAAGATTTGTAGATTTAAATTGTCCATAATTTCTTTATTAAATACACACATATAAAATTACTTGGGTCCAGGCCTCTGGCGTAAGTCTTTTACCCAAGCTGTAAGCGGGCACTTTTGGACACATGGAAGTTGGACAAAATTGTAATAAGTCAGATCATGATGTCTGTCATTTTAAAAAATAATAGGCGTTAGCCATATTTGACGCTGTGTAGCTATCTATGATAGACATTGGCTGGTGGGAAGAATTTTTCAATTTAATATGACAATTTCGTTCCAAGCCGCTTTAACCAAAAAAGTCCAGCTCATGCGCTATCCTTGGCATTGGCGATTTTTCATTTTAAAAAACATTTTTATTTTCCAGGCCCGAGTCAGGTTGACGTCAGCAAAATTACGTACGAAGTATCGGGAGATAAGAAATCAATAATTCTCAAAATGAGAGCAATATACAGAGCACATTCTTATAAGTTTTTGATTGACGGAGTTAGTGAGGTCAATTTAGGAAATCTGGATAGCTCAAGATATGTGGAGGTGAGATATTGATCTGAAACACATTATGAGGATATACATTTTCTAGAAGGGAAGTCAGCCGCTTCCATACAAGATACCTCTACTTGCAATTATATTGCCATTCAATATCTAAATTTTGACTCAAATATGCGATTTGCTTTGGTATAAAATAGAACACACCATGTCGGTGTTCAAGTTTTGACCAATTCAAAATAAATAAAAAGCTTTATTTTGTTATTCAGGCCACACTGGGAGGACTTTCTGCATTCAAGGAATATTGTGCTGATGTTTCTTACACAATAAACCACCCGGATTGGACCCAAGGGACAAGTTCGCCAACCTGTTATCAGTTTTATTCAGGTAAACTTCACCATAGCATGGAATTTAGTCTTGGGATATGCTTTGGTTTCGCTGCACCAATACCCAGCAAATCATCTATATATTCAAATGGGGAAAAAAGGTTTTCGACACGATGTCAACCTATGAATTGCTTCGCTAAGTTGTTGATGAGGATGCTGCGTTTGTGAAACATTGCCTCCTAGGCTATATTCTGAACTTCTCTATTCCAGCCCTAATTTTTTTTTTTAGGGGTGGAACATTGTAACATGACATCTGGTACACACCTTTATATGATAACCTGGAATTTTTTGTGAAATAGCGGTAGTCATTAAACCTTCGTGTTCATATACATCAGGGGTCGGCAAACTTTTGTTGCTCGCGGGCCAAAATTAAAGGTTGCAAGTCATTGGCGGGCCGCACATATTTAAAAAAATCTAAAAACCGAAGGAATGCCAATGAATCACATTTTTTCACACAGATTTCAGTTAAATTTCAAGCAGTGCGCAAAAAGTGATCATTCAAATATTTTCCGCGTCGTTAAACCATTTGCACTCACAGCATCAACTTTTTTACATTCTGTTGTCGTTTGTCCAATTATAATCAATTATAGGCTCATTAAACGAGTTATTGTGAGTTATATACTTGTTATTTTATAATATAATTTAGTGTCTCGAAACAAATTCTCTCGCGTGAAGAATCGTCAAAACAGCTGTTTTGTTAATCTAATTTAGTGAAGCGTCGCGGGCCGGAGTTTGCCGACCCCTGATATACATATAGCAATGTACTCTTGCATTATAAATGATATTTTAAGATTTAACAGAAATGTTTAATGGACGCCATTGTTTTACAGGAAGTCCCAATACTACTTCAATCCGTATTGTTGACGTTCGTTCAAACAGTTTCAAGGTGTCGTACCGATATAAAAAATATGCAACGAGTTACATAATCAAGTTAAGCAATGAAACAAAGTTGCGGAAAATCACGACAGACCAAAATTTTTTTGTTGTCAACAGTGGTATTGAAGATGGAATGACGTATAATGTCAGTGTAGCAACTCAGAACCCGTTCGGAGTTTCAGAATTCTCAAATATTAAGAGCACAAGTAAGATATTTCTGACTGAAATTCAGAATAAATGTTCTCTAACGTCTAAATAAACATCAAAATATGTCTTTTGCGTATGTCATTAAACTTAATCATACTATAGGTCCGTGAAATAAGTAATACTAAAATAAACATATTATATATCTCTCTCGAGCAGAGTTACGTAGGGATTTGTAGAGCCTGTACTGGCTGGGCATTTTCGAATACCTGATGATTTCAGAATTGGATCGGATATTATTTTGGAATCGAATCTCGATGATGTCTAAATTAACACAACAACCCTATTATATGCGACTTTTTCATTGTAATGGCCAATAGGTCATCCAGACACATAAATTACTGAAAACGTATCACTCAGTCAGTTCGCTGTCACACATATTAAGAAACTTGTTTCATCAATAATTACTAGGAAGAGATGAGCCATATGTCAGAATGCATTTTACAATATATATATATATATATACACATGTGCAACATATATACATGTGCAACATGGAATTCTGGCGATGTTTCGGAACTGCCTCTGAGAACTATGGCAGAATTGGAAGCAAAACATCGATTTCAACGTGCCGACGGCCCTAATAGATTTCATATTAGTCATGCAATCTAATTGAAATTGAGCTCAGGCCGTATGTGTATTTACGGCTAACTAAATAAATTATCAAATTGACTTGTTGTTAAATTTGTATTATATTGCTATGGTTCAACTATGATATAATATTTACAGAATTCTGGAGTTTCCACGACATTACAAACAATTCAATAAGGCTGAAATGGGACAACGAATCAACGGATTTCAGCTATAATATAGGAGTGTTAGAAACCGGACAAATTTATCAAAGCAACACCAATGATTTCTTGATTTCAAGTTTGGATCCTGGAAAAATTTATGCTATCAATGTAACAGCGATACAGTTAGATGAATCGTCCTTGTTGTTGTTCACAGATAGCCAGATTACTGGTAAATAAATAGTTCAACGATAAAATATTTATATATAGCTTTATCGGCAACTTCATTTTTAAGTTGTTAACGTCAAGAAGTTGTTTTATATCCGGCCGAATGTTTTGATGAAAGCATGCAAGGTTGGTAATAAGCGAGCTTGCAGTAAAGTCAGAACTGGCCCCGTTGAAGACAGTCTGAAAAAAGCTAAAAACCAGCAAACACGCCAACATATATGAATATCACTGGGAGTAAATAAAAAAAGAAGCGGGTATACTCTATAAACTCGGGGTGTCAATTGGCTCGACATTTTCACGAGCAGACCTGGGACGTCGCTCCACTCATCGATTTCATACTAGATCAGTGATTTTCAAACTTTCTTCATATTAGAATTTGTCAAGTCTCGCGCCCCACCTCAAAAATGACTAGCTAACGATAAGCTACAAACAACAGATAGTAAGGCGAAAGTATGTTTTATTCAAAAAACACGATGAAAATACGCGGATGGAACGTAAATATCCAAAATACAGATATGTAAATATCCCCAATAGGCGGGCAAGATCAAATCTAATAAATATTTTCATTTTCAATTAGCTTCACGTCCCCTCAAAAGATTATCTACGCGCCCCTTGTAGGGCGCGCCCCACCGTTTGAGAACCACTGTACTAGATAATATGTGCCACGTATATGCTTAGTAGTGAAGTACGAAGTCGATTCTTTCTTTACATATAATATATATTACCTGAATTCGCGGGTTCCCTTAAAGTATTGTTGTATTTATTTGAATAAAAATAGTAATCTATTGTTGCCGTTTTTAGTGCCTGCGATACCAACTTATTTGCGAATCTCATCTAAAAGCGAGTTCAAGGCGAACATTGAATGGAATTCGATGGACGGGGTTGAAGAATATTTGGTAGATATCAACGGTAAGTTTTCTTTCTAGAATAATATCCGCCTATTATGATTAATTTCCTGCTACCTTTAAGTCTTGACTGCAATATTCCAGGAAGAGGAGTCATTGAGTCAATGAATACATCATTGTTGTCTGCTGACTTCACCGGCCTTCTGTCAGGTGCAAAATATACAATCGGAGTTGCGACTAGAAACGCTGCTGGAAAAAGTGATCGTGCAGTGATAGAAGTTTTAACACGTAACTAAAATGCGTTTATGGTATTTCATCGATGCAGATTAAGCACACTATCCGATACATAAATTTCCCAGTTGGCTGCCTTCTTATTGGCTATTTATCACACACAATATTCATTATTTATAGTGTTTTAATCACAATTATTATTAATTAAGTTTGAAATAAACCAATGCTTTGCATATAAGTCTGCAATTTGGACACACAATTGGCCATTAGCTGGAAATTTTAATATATTTTAAAAGGTAATTATTTAATATACATGAACATCTTACGTTCCGTATACAGATTTTGCTGTTCCCGTCAATTTATCAACGACATTGGTATCAAGCACCTCGATAGACATCAAATGGAGCGGTATAAACGGAGCCAATTCATACACGGTATATTTGCGTGCTACATTTACAATATATTTCCAACAATTTCATATCTTTTTATACATTATTACAGATTAGGGCGGTTGGAATGTCAAACGGCACTGAATTTATTAAAGACGTTAATTCGAGTACCCCATCGGTCAATATACAGAATCTTTTGCCTGGGCTGAAATATACCATTACTGTGTTTGCAAAATACGACGAAGGCGATAGCAATAACTCGGAAACTCACTATCAATTTACAGGTACATTCGTTAGTAATGCATAATTCAAAAAAATGTCGAAAATCACCTCGCTTGGTAATTATTACGTTAACTTTCAGTTGACATAAAGTTTTCAGCAAGTCAACATGAAATAATTTGCAGCCAAAATGAATAAATTTGCAGGAAATTTGCATAACGGTATTCGTAAAAAAACAATAGTTTTGAAATTGGTCTTCGATTTTCATTAATTTCGCGCATACTAGTTACTTTCGCTACAAAGTTTCACTGAATCTGACTCCATGTGTTGTTATACTTCATATTATCTCATCATTTTAGTTCCTGACAAGACCACCAATCTGGCACTAATATCCAGGGAAGAAACCTCACTCGGAGTAGCCTGGGAGTCTGTAGTTGGAGCAGATATCTACAGAGCTACTATACCAGGTTACTTTTTTAAAATTTCAAACATTCGAATTTATTCTCTATTAGCATTTATATGCAAAAGAGCAAAGCTTATGCTGAACACCGCGATTTACAAAAAGAATGACAGAATAGCGTGGCAAATTGCTATGTGGTGATGCAATTTAGGCAAACTTAGTCGAATTTGGGCGAATATCGGGTCAAAATGAACTTTCCCGGCAAACTTGGAAATAAGATAAATAGCTCTCGAGCAGTTTCAACCATCTTTCAAGTAATTAAGATCTCGAGTTGCAAAGAAATCGTCTTTTTCACAACAATTAAACAACAAGTTTGGTAAATGATTCGCCCAATAATCTAAAAAAATGATATTTTGCAAAGTTGAAGTTTTTATTAGTGTACCTCTCCTGATCCTTGGAGAGTACGTTCATGATATCATGAAAATTTAATAGTAAATTTTATTTAAGGTGTGATCATAAACACAACTCAGACTACAGCATTGTTTCCTAATTTGCTTCCAAACAAGGGATACGATGTAGAAATATACGCAATCAACTCCGCGGGGCAAGGATCTGGATTTAGCAGAAAATTTTTCACAGGTTGGTTCACTATATAGCAAGTTTGTTCATTTTATTGACTGTTAGGGACTTAAGGCCGTATTTTTCTTATTTGAGCTACACACTGCTTGAAATATTTACATTTTTCAAAAAAAATCTTAGTCAAAACTATGTAACGAGAGGGTTTTGCGTCATTTTACCGGTAATACCCTTCTGCCAAAGTTAGTTAGCTTATGCAACAATATCGTAAATTTGTGACTAACGTTTGGCACTTTGACTTCTGTAACTTTCGATGATGTTATACCAAATTATCGGCAATAGTATTCTGACGTAAACGATGGGAATATAAGCTCTTTAGTGTGAAAAGAAATCACCATTTCTCGTCCATCGTAGCATTTCTACCGTGATTTCAAAATGTTTACTGACCAGTAAAACTACTGCCTTATTCGATATTTATAAATCAACTGGCATTTTTCAGATCTGTATGTAGCAATTCAATTGTCAATAATGTCATTAGTTACCAATAAGTGTTAAATTTTAGCAAAGTTTGTTAATAATTTTCCAGTTTATAGTTGGAATGTTTATAAACGATATATCGCATACAATTCTTAGTCAGAAATCAACAAAAAGGCCTATTTGGCAGTATACACTATAATTTCATTTTATATAATTTGTAATTTTTCAAATAAGGTAAACCAGGAAACTGCTTTCTTTGATAAATCTTTCTTCTTTCATCTGAACACAATTGAGTGGGAATAGCATATTTGTTCATGAAATAGGAAATTACTCTTTCGAATGATAAACAAAACCAAACCTACGCTGTTCATAAAAACTCAACCTACTTCTGCCACAAAGGTTGTGAGTCTGCATTGACGGAGGCTTGAATTGAAAATACAAATCAATCTAATAAAAAGCCTGGAGGTCCAAAGCAGAACCCCGAGCGCTATGCTGTACTATAAAGCCATATATGCACCTCATGCGTGGTTCGCAATATATTTTTATTTGAACAAACATTAAAATATAACGAGAGTCAAGTGATTCATACCGTCGACTTCGTCACTACTGTCTTTAATATTGGTTTAATTTGTGTTCAGTATTCCAAAGTCCACTCAACCTAACGACGAGCAATGTAACAACCAACTCATTTTTGGTTAATTGGATTGGAAGCACAGACGCAAAAAAATTTGTGGTAAGCAGTTAAGTTGATTGCAAGGGTCGGTCGGAGTGGCAAAATATTTAAACCTGACTCCGAATCCTGAGGATTGATAAAAATTTTAGACTATAATTCCAGCTCCGAACACTGTAAACCGAATTTCTATCAAAAATATTGACTTTTGTTGTTCAGCATTGAAAGACTCAAATTCAGAGGAACTTACGTTTGACTTCGTTTCCGAGATATATATAGAATTGGCGATTTCGAAATCAATTTCCTAAACTCCGACGCCACAGCCATGGTTATTTGACAGTTGATTGAATACAGTCATCAGTTTGCCTTGTCATTTCTCAGAAATTAACTTCTGTCTTTCCTATTTGAGGTCACAACCGCATACGGAAGCTTTCTCGCCAACGCTACTTCAATTACTTCACCTGTTAATGTAACTGGACTAACGCCCGGCACTCTATACAATTTCAGCGTAGTTGCAATATATGAAGAAGGAAAAAGTGAACCTTCTGGGACCGTTCAACAAATAACAGGTATAACAGCTGACAAGCAGAAGTGTATAATTATCTATCACTAAGGCAGACTACTGGGTATCACGGCTATCACTATGCACCATTTTGTGGATTCAGCGACCTAAGTTTTGAGCAAGAATTGCTATATTATTTTTGAATATAGTATTTTTTCCCTATGACACAAACATCCGTGATTTTTAAGATATGCTTCGTATTAACAAGAGAGAAACGCTCATTTATACAGACTGGAACGTCACGTATCATGATCGGTACAATGGGGCCTTGTAGCACCAAGCTTTCTGAAAAGATCGTCAGACAAACATGATGGAATAAAAATTGTAGATTTAGTGTCCAAAATAATAATAACTAAAATTTCTGATTTGGAAACCCAGCTACCTGTAATGGCAATGATAATGATCACGCTTTGATATTTAACCACTGTAATCCCTTGTTAACACCTTTAATTAGTTTCAAGGAATACTCTATTTATATATTTGTAGACCAAAAATTTGAATACAAAAATATTGCTTTTCCAGTTCCTGATGCCCCCACAAACTTGCGTTTGGTAGCAAAAGAGGAAACCTCGCTTACCATTGCTTGGAATCCAACGACTGGTGCAGAATTGTACAAAGTTACGCTGGAAGGTTGGCGAATTTTTTAATAAAGTTTTATTTATATATAATTATATATACATATCAAATTGAGATATTGAATTTGTCGTCTGATATGAAGTACAAGCCAAGAATGTTGGAATACAGAAACTACAATATATATTACTTCAAAATGCGATATTATTTGGTTATATCCAGTAGTGGGATTCAAACGGTTCGCACCGGTTCTATAGAACCGTCTCACGAAATTTTATGAGATCAGCGAACCGGTTGGCATTACTGAAAAAACATGACTTTTTGTAACAGAACCGGCTGAAAAATATGACATTTGTGTGATGGAACCGGCTGACAAAAAAATTCCCACCACTGATTATATCTTTTTTTTCTAATAAATAGAAATAAATTCGGCATGTCCATTTCAAACATTAGGGCGACAAGATTGGCTATATATGTGCATTACTGAAATATCTATGACCCTACGGGAAAATTAATGTCCATACTTTTATTATAATATTTATCTTAGCAGGCGCAGTTCAACGTTCTCAAACTACAACGAATACATCGATGGTATTTCAAAATCTACTTCCTAATAGAGGATACACTGTCAAAGTTTTTGGAGTAAATTCAGCTGGACAAAGCATTGGTGGACAAGATAAATATAAATATTTTACGGGTAGGTTCGAATTAATTCATATATTCGGGGGTATATGTCCACTCTCTTGTCAAATTTCAAACATGACACACTGCACTAGATCACAGTTGGTGAGGAAGGCATGCACAGAGGCAATGACCATCCCGTGCGCAAAAGATTATTTTTGAAATGCCGAAAGTTGCACGCACTTTTTTTGATCAATGATCTTTTGCGACTGCAAACAAAAACCATTCAAATTAAAAATATTTAATATTCTCGGGGCCTGTTTTGGCCTATACTAAGTTACAACTCTTATTTGCAAAATATATATGGCTAGATTTTTAGCATCACACGACATCATTTTGATTTCACTAGGTAGGTGGTTCCGCATTTACGGCGGTGGTTTCTCTAGTGATCTATTAAGTCAAAACTTCTCATATTTTCAGTGTTCCAGACTCCCGAGAACGTTACCGTAACTTCAGTACAAAGCGAATCATTTCTTATCAGCTGGAACGGGAGTACAGATGCGATCAAATTCATAGTAAGTACTGTTATAACGTGTCATAACTATGACACACCCCTCAACTTTAGTCTGAGGTTAGTTTACTTGCTGAAACAGATTAACCCAAAATTCACAATGTGCAATAATTTCGAAAACACAATATCAAAATTGGGCAAAACAATTGCGCCCAGACCTTTGGGTCAAATATGATGGCTATATCCGTTTGAAGTACACTTTCATCTTTTAATTATTGAAAGTTTGAAAGATATCTAGTAATTTCAAAATTGAACTGATTTTCTGCCCAAAAACAACGACATGAACATCAGTTTACTAAAACAATCTATATGTCCAGTTCATGTCGACATGAAACAACCCTTGTAAACGTTCGTTTGTCGAGCAGGAATTTGAATTAATTTTAATTTTACAGTCTTTTAACTTGCTTACAATATTTTTCCCGTTTCATAATTTGCAATAATAATTACCTACATAACATTATAGGTGACAATGACTTCAGCAAAGTTAGAAAGCAACACTACGCACTTGCTGGCTACCGGGTTAAAACCAGGATCAAATCAATCCATTATCGTCTATGCAATATATTCAGAAGGAGAAAGCGGTCCAACGAAAACAATTTACCAGCTAACTGGTAGGTATATCAGTGCTAAAATTATGCAGTATGCAAATGGCTAGATAACATTACTAGTCCCACATTTATTTAGGAAAAAATCGACAAAGCGATCCTTGGGGAAATTTGGTTTAAATAATCTTCAATACCGTGTTTTCCCGAACGTAAGACTGGGTCTTATTTCAATTTTTTTCCGAAAAATAACAATGATTCTTAGTTTCGTGGAATGGCCTCATATTTCCATTTATCAAAAACAAAATTATAAAGTAGAAAATTACGAGATTTTAAATATACAAAATAGGAAAACCGGTATCCATTTACTTAAAAAAAAATAAGACGTTTTTAGTCAAAATAATTACAAAACATAGGTTATCAATCATTTAATACGTGTAGGAGAGATTTCTTGCTATCTACTCGATCAAAGGTCCTATTTTATGGGGAAGGCTTATATTAAAATTATTTTTAAAATTCAGGCTAGGTCTTATCTTCAGGGTAACTACGTCTTATTTTTGGAGAAGCACGGTAGTTCATATTATTCTTTCTTAATGTGGAACAATTTGATTGACATGGATATATTTTAAGATAAGCTGAAGTAACATTTACGTGTTGTCTGCTCGTGTCCTTGTTCAAAGCGAACATATACCTAGACAAACTACCACAAAAAATTAAGATCACGCAGAATCGGTCTGGCAATATTCAAATGTAAAACCATCCGTTTGGGTTTAATAGTGGTAAATACAAATATTAACATTTTCAGCACCTGGTACGCCAACAAATCTGCGATATTTACATGTCGCACAAAATTCGTTAAAAATTGGCTGGAATTTGACTTCTGGAGCCGATTACTACATGGTAAATTTAGAAGGTAATGTGTGTAATAGTTTTTTTATAGAAAATAAAAGTAGTAAAATACCTAGAATATTTCGAGTTTTGAATAAATTTTTTGCGTATTATTTTTAAAACAAAAATAAATAGTAGTTGAACTATGTCTTATATACTGTATAGTCACAAATGTATTTGATCCTTACGTATGAGTGTTTGTTTGTAAAGAGCCGTGTTGCAGAAGACTACATATTCATGATATATTTTTATGATACATGCATAAACATGTAATTCATAGATAGTATACATGTTTAGGACACAACAAAACAGTTATGAAAACCGGAACCGACACTACTTTTTTCAATCTAACGGCCGGAACAAAATACAATGTGTCAGTAAGAGCTCACAATCAAGCTGGTTTCAGTGGAATCGCCAAGACTACATTCGAAACAAGTATAGTATAGTCTGCTCTTCTCACATGAAGCCATTGGTTTGGATTAGAATGTTCACGTTTTTTTTTTTTTTTTTTTTTTGTAAACACACCTACTGCTGGAATATAACATTCTTTAACATTGTTTGCAATCCTCAGAATGGCAATTTCACTTCATCTTTTGAGATTTAAAAATCATTTGCTCGCTTCGTTGTTAGGATTTTGTATTATTGCGTGTCCATTGTTTCAGAATATAGCCTGTTATCAAAGTCTGGTTAAGTATATATATATCAATAACTAACGATACATGAGTGCGATTGAAAAGAAATTAAATAAAATTTCCTCGCCTATATTACTTTTTTTGTGCCCTTCGACTTAGTACTCAATTACATACCATGAATGGAAGTTGAACTAAAAAAAAATCTCAAAAATTATTAAGTATAAATGTCATTACATATATATAATATAAATACAATTATCTTTCTTTCATTTGCAGTTCCGAGCAATCCTATTATTGAAACTAGTTCCGCTAATAACACACATTTATATATCTCGTGGAGCGCACCAAAAGGTGCTACGCAATACAGGGTGGAGGTAACTTTGCCTGGTGGTAGTCCCGTAACTGGTAAGTCAGAAAACAAATGTTAAAATAGAAATAAATAACTCAATATTATATACTGATGTATGCTTTAATCATAATGTTTAAGTTGTAAAGCGCAAATGCAAATAATATAAGCAAAAGAATATGCAAATATTATACCCATAGCATAAGCATCGACCATAATTACAACGCGTTCCAATATAAAGTTTACAAAAATTTTTGATTTTCTTTCATTTCTTAAGTTTAATTCAATAGGAACCGAGATCGCTATTTCGAAATCCGTAACTATGTCACCGCGCACATTAAACTAACTATTGTATTACTATGAAGGAATCACCGGTGCCGGGATTGTCTCCAATGTCTATGCCGTAATAGGAGGTTTGAATCCGAACCTGAAATATGTCGTCCGAGTGTCTGCAATATCTAGCGCCGGAGAAAGTCCTACCAGTCAACCGCTTACTGTAGATCCAGGTATGTTGCCCATGCCCATGTTGTTTATACTTGTAATACAAATCTCCACTTCCATCAATTGAAATTTTCAGATTGCTCTAATGCTGGTGAACAAAATCGGTTACACGTACTAAATAACATGTTATATGCATTACATTCTTTAGTGTGATATTCCAAACACCCTTCAGATTTGTTTCTTTCCTATGGTAGGTGGTTAAATTGCTAATCCGAACAACTCAGGAAAAGACTGAATTTGTCCAAAATCTCGCCTGTTCATACGCAAACTTCCAACATACAGCAATGTCTTTTAAACATTTTCAAATTCATGGACTGGCAATAACTAATATCAAACAAATAATAACTATTTTATATAATAATAACTTACATTTCAGCACCACCGCCACCCAGTAACGTTATCTTACTTGGAAGAACCTCTACATCCCTTAAAATGAGGTGGGATATTGATGCAAAAGCAACTAGATGTGAAATCACAATGAACGGTAATAATCTGCACTTTATTTCTATAAATTATGCATACGTATTTTGATAAACAAAACAAAAATCATACAATTTGCTATACACAACATCATAAACACATACTAAAAAGGCCGTATAAACTTTCTGTGTTCTTATTTTTTGAAGTAAAGTAAAACGACGGAAAACAGTTGCCGCGCATTGCACAATTAAGGCACTCTCTTAAAAATGTTATTTCCTTTCAGGCCAAGTAAAGGTCTTTACAACAAACACGGGAAACTTCAATGATTTAGTGCCAGGAACGAAATATTTAATTGTACTGATAGCCATGGGCTCTGGTGGTCGAAGAAGCAACTCCACCGTTGTGGAATTTCAAACACGTGATTATTGTTTTTATTTTATTTTTACGATGAAGAAAATCGGGAATTCATCATTTCTTTCTAAGGGATGTAGCCTGATTTCTATTTTAAAATTTCTCAGAGTCGTAGTAAAGAAGTTGAATTCCTACTAGTGGGGGGTAAGAATTTTCCGATTTCCATACGAAAGTCACAAATAAAATTTTGGTTGTCAAAATTTCGTTATTCTAGATTCCGAATCCGGAGTCATTGTTAATACACCAGATTCGGTGTACCCAGAAAATCGGTGTCAAGGTTTTTATTGAATACTTTAGACTCTGCAGCCTTGAGGTTTAAGAACCCTTTCATAAAGCCTTATTTTCTTTCATCCCTATTTCTTTTACTTCCATGCTGTTGTAGTTCCCTCGTCCCCAACACCAGAAACAGGCGCAGTTACAACAACTTCAATAAGAGTATCTTGGAAATCGATGAAGGGCGCGGAAAAATACAAGATAAAAGTTACTTCTCCCGGGAAAATTCAACCAGGTTTGTCTAATGATACGCATCGATACAATACTTAAAACCTACCCACTGTAGGTGTTAATTGTAGATAACGGTTATAATTCAGAAAACATTTACGACTAATACTGACATTTCGTGTAGTAAAGGTTTTAATTAGTTTATCATTTTGTCAGTAAAAAAAATATCAAACCTCTTTAATTATGGGACATTAAATCCATACTAAACAATATCTTTAGGATTTAGTGTTAGGCGTCCTAGTATGAAACATCTCCCTTGAATGCGATCTTTCAAAACATTTAGAAATTAAAATATTTTTCGTCATAAATTACATTAGGTGACGTCAGCAATGTGCAATTCATCAATATGTGTACTCAACTTTAAATTTATCTATGTTTTTCTTGATATTGTGCCATATATATCAAGAGCGGCACACTCTTTCTGTACACCTCAGTCCCGAAGCTCATAGCTAATACGTAATATTTTCAACGAATTGGAAATAACGCTTGTTAATGGTTGCTTATATACAGACCTGATAACCAACGAAACAGCGCTTCAGATAGGGAACTTGATGCCCGGTACACAATATACCATCAACTGTACTTCTGTGTTAGGAACTGAGACCAGTAGTCCATGGAAATCCATTCAAGCAGCAACACGTAAGCATCTGTTATTCAGATGTTTCATTTTTTGAATTTTAATAAAGTTAAATTGACATGCGAAATATGGCGTTACAAAACGTGAATTGTCGATGTCCGATCCCGTTTTCAATATACTAGTCAACATGCTATCTGTTATATTTTTAACACTAAAATGATGCAATGCTTGTCGGAACCTTTTGAGAGCATTTTAATTTAGATTATAGGTAAAAAAGTCAAAAACCTCCAGATTTTTTGAGTTCCGGACATCCGATTTTCTATTTATGCATTTGGTGCATAATTATGGCAAACCTCTGCAGCGGAATCAACTTTCCCAGCCAGGCATTGTCAACCAAATACTGGATATGCTACTGGCGTCGTCATAAATAGTTTGCAAAGTACAGAAACCACGTATATGTATAATTCCTAACCTTCATTTTTGTATATCTTTCTACTAGTATGCTTGCCTCCAAGTGGAGTAAATGTTACTTCAGTAACCCACAATTCCCTCTCAATTGAGTGGAACCCATCACAAGGTGCATCAGAGTACAATATTATTGTGGTGAAATTAGAAGTTTCAAAGCAAAGACGTCGTCGCTCAACATCTGGTAGTCCAAAGGTAACGAATACACAAAACAAACCCATTCATCTAATAGGTAGCCTACTAAATACAGATATATATCTTCCGCAATTTTTTGGTAAAGGAATAGGTATTATTTATTTGCTTTTATGGAAGGCCGGCTAGACGCCTTTGGGATAGGGTCGCAGCATGTCCCAATTATTCGGCATTCTAAAGTTTATCGGAAAATACTATAGGTTTAGAAAATTATTAATTGGCATATATATGTTATGAAGTAAAATTTTTCAAAAAATGTGATGTTATTTTTCAGAGATGCTAACCGGTGATTACCATTGAAAAAAATTTCGAGTATGCTAAATTTTTAACTTGATCTTAACCAAATCCTATATCTCAGTCTAGCAATTAGCACAACTTATATCGCCAAATCGAAATACGTATCTTTCATGAAAAATGATATGATCATAAAATTTAATACACAGATCGAGATTACGTCAACATCAGCCAAAGTATCAAATCTTAATCCGGGATCTGATTATAGTATTTCAGTGGTAGCTGTTAATTCAGCAGGTCGGAGTGTCAGTCCGGGAAAATCGATAAAAACAGGTAACTAATAAGTATACCAACCAAGACAGATTGCGCATTTTGTAAATTGCTTTACTCCAACTAATCAATTAAATGAAACTAATCACTTTACTAACTTTGGTATGATCCAATTTATTATGCACAGTTGTTATGATTTCTTTTCTGACACATTTATTAATTCTTCCTTTGTCCTGTAATGTAACCCACCCTAATAGGAAGGTACCGTACCGGTAGTCTCAATGGGTTGGATTTTTATCGAGACCGACAAACTGACGGAGTGGCGAGACGCTGTATTTGCTACGGCATTCACAGCATTGGTAATAATATGGCATAATATGAAGGATCAGCTTACCTGCATATTTTGGTTATTTTGGCCTATATCTCCAGAAAAAAAAAACGTTGAATCTTTCAATCATTAACACATTATTACTTTCATCTGAAATACCGACACAACCAAGCGTTTTCGTTGCAGGTGCAGGCAATCCCGCCAAATTGTTATCCAATGACGTCACTACCTCATCCGTTATGCTTGAATGGGCTGCACAACATGGAGCAACCAGATACATGTACGTTCTGAAATAGTATCCACATTATTAAATTATGCTATTAAATGTTTAATGTGTCATAAGTAGCCTACATGGAAGGAATATGCTACTGGAACCGTTAACCTCGACAATAATAATTTGACAGCGTCCACGATTAACGAATTAGATATTCTTATTCAAGAATTCCCGATAAAGAACGGGTGACTCAAACAATTCTGAACCCATAAATTTCTCAATTTATTGTACATAAATGAAAAAAAAATTTATTACTTGAACTTGCACCTGACAGTCTACAGCACCATGCGCAAAAGTTATTTTATTCTCTGTCTAGGATATGTTCTAAATTCTGTTTATTGAGGTCACCTGAAGATAAAACCGCCTAATCTTTCATATATCAGGGTTTATTATCGAGAAAGCGGATCTGGAAACACAACTGCGATATCAGCCGGTACAGTAGTTAGCCGCAAAATAGAGTCACTCAAATCTGGAATATCATACGAATTTTCTCTCGCCACCGTATCCGTTATTCAACCAGGAGCAAAATATTTTTTGAACACCGCTGATACTCCTAACGTTACAGTTATCACAGGTAACCAATGACCAGTTAAAACAGAGATCACCAACCCGTTGCTCGCAGGTCTGTTCCAAAATAGGCTTAATAACGGCGCTCATAAGTAAGCTACATCAATTAATTTTTGTCATGTTATTCTTGTATAAATCACACACACGTCTTATTTGGGAATAACACAATTTAAATTTCAATGCAATAAATGTCGTACCCATTTATAAAATCCGAGTAGTACATCCACAAACGAGCTATAAAACTTTTTTTTTTTTAATTTCAAGTTCCTCGACCCCCGATTGGGCTGGCTGTCTCCAAATCAATAAAAGCAGTAAAAGTTATGTGGGAAAAATCTGTCGGTGGAGTTTTATATTTTGTTCATGTAAAATGGAGTCTTTCAAACTCTACGTATAATACAACAGGTATTTATAATTCTTTAATATTATTAAATTCGTCGGTATGTTACACGCCAAAATACTACAATTGATGATAGTTGGCTATTCTCGAATGTTGATTATCTCCAATTCCTAATATCTATTGCCTGTATACCATATAATTTACTTCTATACTAGCCATTTATCAAATATAAATGTATAATGTATTTTTACAGGCAACTCATTGAATTTAACAATGGAAATAGAGAAAAACGTTCAATACTTATTTACAGTCAGCGCTGTAAATAGTCAAGGAAGATTCAGCTCGACGTCAGAACCTGTTATTTACAAAGGTTTGTATGAAAGTTGTTCAGACAAAAAATTTGCAAATTGCAAGTTGAATTTGCAAAAAATTCATAAGTCATTAAATTATATGGATATACAGTCAATTCATTTTGTAACCGCCCATTAAATAATTAGTCGACTATGCCTTTATGCCTATATAGCCAATAAAATCAATTACATATACAAAGGCGTTTGAACAAAGAAAAATAGGAATATTACCAACAAATACATGATGTTTGAATGAAGCAGTTTTTGGTTGTATATGCTTATAAAGTCACCTACCACAACGTTACTGACAAACTGTTAGATCACACGAAAATCCTCGCTGTATGATCGTTACCGTGGTTACCTCGCCAGGCGTGCGAGGAGTCATTCTCTTCCATCACCACGAGTGATATATAATAAAAACACCAGGTCGCTAAAACGTACCTAAAAAGCTGATTTCTGTTAGTAATTTTATGCAGCTTTCTTTTTTATGTGTGATTTAATGTTACATTATTTCTATTTTACCTCACTGTTTGTATACTTTCGTATTTTCGGTATGTGAAAAAATAAATTACTGACTGACTGACTGTTACAATGTTATCATGTTTTATTCAGTTGACGAAGAATCACCCGATTCGCAATCTCAGATACCATGGTGGGTGTGGTTGATTGTCTGTGTCGGATTTCTCATAATAATAATTCCACTTTTAATTTTTATGATTGCTAGAAAAAGACAGAAATCTCGTGAACATACTGGGTGAGCCATTTTCAATATTTTAACATGCCTCTATTTGAAGAATATCAAATATAGCGACAACCAAGAACAATATTCATTTTGTTTATAGAATGCTGATTTCCGTATACACATATCCGTAATTATTTCTGAGAAAAAATGCATCAAAAATTCCCTTCGAGCACACAATATATAGTATATAAATTGTATTTTAATTTTCGTTTCAAATATATATATATTACTATTTTACCATTTAAATTCAGTTAATGTAAGACAGCTATATTGGTATTTAGTTATAATTAGTACATTTACCATATTGATATATAAACAAAGTAATATATTCTCTAGATTCTACGATGTTCAAAATGGTAATGGCGGAAATGGTAATTACGAGATACCAATTGTAAGACTCGACATGAATAAATCAGAAAGCGATGACGTAAGTCGATTTTTGTTCGATTTGTGGATTGAAGTAAAACAGGTGAATTTTGTGCTAAATAACGTGTATTTCCTGTTTTTTCAATGCCAATACAAATAGATTTTTTTAATATTTTATATAATTTTCGTTACTTGTGAAACCTGGGCCATGATTATGAATAATCTTAATCTAACTATGCCAGCTATAATTTTTGTAATTTTTTAGTTAAATAATCGAATTATAATAAAATATTTTGTATTCCCAATTCACAGGAAGAAAGAGATGAGCCTCAAACTTCAAATTTCGACCACATGCCCATTGTGACCAGTTCAGACAATGCTCCAATTTTAAGTACGTTTTCTGACGGATCAGCCCAAGGTAAATATTGTCATCGTCTGCCGAAGATTTAACGAGGAAAAATTTTTTTTTAGAATTTTATCTTTTACAAAACTCATTTTTCACCAAGTGAACCGATTGACTTAAAACATATTTCTGACCCACAAGTCAAACACGAGATGGATATTCGTGTGTGGTATTTAAGCGTGCGTCACTAGATTTAGCTATGGTCACTTCAAGATACACTCACCTATGATAGGAAATTTACCAATGAAAACATTTTATTACGATTTGTTAAGAGGTTTAAATTTGTTGTGTTTTTTGATAAAACGGTTTCGCATTAACAATCACACTGAAAAGACATGCGCTCTGCAACAAATATTTGCAGCAACTATTTAATTATATGAATTTTAAATATGAATCTGAAAATTAATATTAAATACCAAAGAAAGCAAGAAAAATTAATTTTTTTCAAGATGCCCCTACGTCCCCACCTCCCGAATCCAATACTGACGAGACTTGCAACGTTTATGCTAACGTGGATGACACATCCGAAGCCGTAACCAAAGAGTCTGATGCCGAGCATGTTTATGCCGAAGCTATGAACAAAGAAATCGCAAAACAAGAACGACAAGATGTGGTTGAACATGCTAACAATTCGACTGAAAACCAGGATGAACCGGCGTATGCCAGTGTAAATAAAAATTCTTCAAAATTCAAAAGAAAAAACAAAACGTCAACATTTAGAAGTCCTGAAAATAATGCAGACGGCGAACAAGGCAGAGAAAATCCTGTCTTTGTCAGTGGTGGGGAGGATGAAAAAGATGGCACCGCAAATAGAGATAATGCACAAGGTGCCACAGAGGATGATGCCACAGTTGCATATGCCACAGTGAATAAGCCTTCAACTAGAACATTTAAAGACACTGTCGTTAGCGATGATAAGTCAAAAGATTACAATGATGATTAAATTATAGGCGATTACGCTACAGTAAATGAGCCTTCTGTCGAAAAACAGAAATCCTAATACAGTATATAAGAAAAATTGGTTTTTGATTTTGTATTCGATTGGCTAAGAGTCATATTTATTCATGTATTTGTTAATATCTCAATTTCAAGAACAAACTAACTAAACGTCATCTTGGTAAGATAGCTGGCCATGATATATATGTTCAGTATCTACTATCTACGGGTATTTTATTTTTACATTCTTCCACAGAGACTGATTTTTATCCCCTTGTGCATGCAATATCAGTCTATGTTGCGCTTTATATCCTACAACAATAATCGAGGCAATTGTGTGCCAGTCAGCTTCTACTTTATATTTGATTTCAGAAAACAGTAAGTATGTTATCATCGTATATTATCAATATTTTTTTAAAAAGGTTGATGGCGAGAATCAGTTGCCGGACTCGAAATTACAGTATATGCTTCTTAGATCTAATACGTTTTAAAACGTGTGTGTGTATTTATTCATTAAACATTTTTCCTTCTTGTGTGGTATGAGTTTAAAACAATTATAAATTAAAGCAATATTTATAGAGTTCGCCTTGTTGTGGAAATCCCCCTCACGACAAGAAGAAGAAATAAAAAATTAGTATGTGAAAATCCAAGCACTTATTGTTTTAAAAATTGTATTTTTTGAAGATGATAAATTATAAAACTTTCTATCATTGAGACTCCGTGGGCTATCTATGTTTGTATTTATATGGAATACCCATAGATTTGATACAGTTAGTTTTAAAACCGTCCGGAAAACCTTACAAGAACAGAATGGTCAAATTGATATAGAGTAGAAAAAATAAGCAATGTTACAAGGAATCATAATATTATTTGCTTTTGAAAGCAAGCTGAGTAAAATATATGATTACAGCGTTATACTTCTAGTTGGTGAAATTTAGGATATTTGCATTTGGGACAAGTGCTGGTCAGTCTAAGACAATAAAGCTAACTTTTGCTGGAGATTTTTTGGCAATCAAGGAACGTAAGTAAACTTAATGAAATATTTGGCTTAGCGTGATGAGTGATGATGTCAAACCAGCTTTTTTCAATCCCGAACTCTCTTGACATTTTTGTATAGAGAAATACTCAAATTCCATTTTAACTAAAAATAAAAATCGTTGGAACATAATGCGCAACCGCGACTATATCCGGCTATGAACTCGTTCAAAGTGGCCTGATGGCCTCATTGCCTGATGACCTCGTGCGTTCTCGCTAAATTGAAAGTTGGGGCAATTGCACTAGTACTTCATAAAATTTCTGAGAAAGTTTATTTCGTAACTGTATTCTATTGTCCAACTTATAATTAGATGGACGCACCTTTTATGAGTTGTGTGAAATTTTTTTGATTCTCCCGGAATAACGACGTCACATGTCCAAGTAATAATTACGGGATTATAATGAGACCGAGATTTACCAATAGATTGTATTTCAAAGAAAAAGATAAACAATGGTGATATTTCTATCTCAGGCTCTCGAATAAATACAATCGCAACATCACACTTCTATATTAGTCAAGAAATAGCTTTTAGGAATGTTCGTTTATTTTGGAGTTTTCGATTTTTGAAGTAGTGTCGCTATGAATTCTGTAACTTGCCAGCAATGTATATTTTGTATTGCTGTTGTGATGCAGTTGTCTCCTCTCTTGCTTGCTAAAAAGTTTGTTTATGAGAGTTTCCATTTCTAAATCATATTCAATATTTGAACATGATCTGATTGATGAAAACAGTTGAAGACTGATTGAAACCCATAACATGAGAATAGTTGTGAAGCTACATTTAAATATTCTAGATTTTTTATTCGACATTTATTTTTATTGTAGATATTGAAATTTATTAATATTCTTGAATAACAGTTGCATTAAAAAAATAAATTTGTTTTCCGGACTAACGAATCGTTGAAACTGTATTTAAGATTGAAAATAAATCGAAAAAAAACAGAATAAAGCTTTTTCTAGTTACAAGGAAGAATACCAATTCTATGGATTGGATATCTGCAAGTTTGCGAATTTTCGTGATTTTTGTTTATGCAAAATTAACTATTGGTCAAGGTAAGAGTATTTATTATTCTGTTAAATATATTGTTGGTACAATTTACAGCTGTTTGCATAAAATATTATAAAACACGAAGAATTAACTTGGTACATTTTCTTTCAAACTATGAATAAAAGGATTCTAATAAGATCCAATTCAATCCAATTTCAACTTTCAAAATCAAATAAAATACTGAATGGATACGCTGTTTTATGCTTGCTTCAAATACATCTGCGTCGGTGACTATATTTTATTAGTCCGTACGTTTTAAAATACCTACTATATGGCAAGCCCTTAACGTAGCATTGTGAATCAAGTGAATGGTAGCATTGTTCTAACAGAGAACTAAGTAAGCTACGTTTACGATGGCCACAGTTTAAATTTAGCAACCGAGTAAAATCACATCTAAAATGCATTGGATTGATCGTAAAGAAAATATATATTATATATACGAAATAGTCATGCGGAGTTAATTTTTCACAAATGAATATCATGTTAATATTTCATAATGTTATTATTTTCAATATTTTAATGTCTAGAACTTCCCCCAGCTCCTGAAAGTTTACAGTTTACAAAAGGAGAACAAACAAGACTTACGGTCACTTTCAAAGGAATTGCAAATGTACCAAAATATGAAGTTAGTGTTCACGCTGTTTATGATGAAACCGATTCGAACGGATGGATCTTGTCACTAGCTGGGGGACCTACAACGTCAACGTTAACATTAAATCAGGTTGAAATTTTTTGTTCATGACAGTTAAATTATTTTAATTTTAGTCAATTTAAACGGCTCATGCCGATCAAACCACGTATCAAAGACTAAAAACGACTGAATCAAAACGTATCATAGTAATTTTTGTTTGACCATAAATAATTCAGATTCTTTGGATATTTCAAACTATATCTATACCAAGGATGGCGGACCACTGGCCCGTGGGCTGTCACTATGCAACCCGCCACGTCAATCGTCATTTGAATGGTTTCCCCTGGCATATTTTACAGCACGTTTGAATTTTCACCCTCTCATTGAAAAAGGTCTGCATTACCTGCTCTATATATACTATAGTATCCTCTATGTCTATAGCCTATACACAGTATGTTTTATTTTTGCTACCTGTCGGGCGTTCGAAAGTGCAATAACATTGATTGGCCACGTAGTTTATTGAAAGTAAACCTATATGGTAGTACGAATTCTATTTTTATTTCAGCTGAATGGATTTCGACCCAACATTCTGTATAAAGTAAAGGTTGCTGGAGTTTTGAACGAGATTGTGGGAAACCAAAGCGAAGTTGTCGCAAGAACAGGTACACTGTATTTTATGACGCTAATGGCATAGTTGCTTATTTGTGGCTGGAGTTCAACAATGAATCATTTCTAATGAGTATAATTTTAATGTTGATACATAATTGGCCGCTGAGGTTTCTCAAAACACTAATACATCAGAAAATTCCTCTAGTCACGAAAAGTAATTTTAATTTCTTCTTTTTGAACAAAGGGACTCCATGACTCATATATAGCGTCAATAATTATATTCTAACGTAACAATAGCCGTTGACGTAAAATTCCTGACGCAAATCTGACGCGTTGATCACGAGTCACTTCACGTCGTTTGAATTCTAACCAGGCTATCATATAATTCATAGCTTAGGTCTATCAACGATAAATCATATCTATTGTTGTAACGGACTTACCAAATTATTTACTGATCATATTGCGTAGTAACTTGCCCAACTGTAGCGACAGGCTTCATGTACAGACAATTTGCGCCTCTCATTCAAATATACAATGATTACGTGCCTAAAACTGTATGCAATTTATAAGATTCCAATTATTTTTAAATGTTAACAACCCAAAGGCCATAGTTTATTTGAATCCTTGGGAAAAAAATTGAGACAAAAATTGAAATGTTTTTCAAGCCTTCAAAAATATATATCTTATAAGACCCATTTCTGTTATAGCGGCCTCGGGTTTAATTCTCAGCCCAGCTCAGATATTACCGACGATAGCTGTTCTTTACGTGACCGAAACTCCTGGTTCTACACTATGTCAGATTGGCTATAAAAAGGCGGGAGACCCGGCCGAAAATGAGCAATTCATTCAATCGGAAGAAGCCTGCAGAGTAGTCATGTAAGATATTATCAATAAATAACTTTACTGGCATAATCGAGTATGGTGATTTCGAGACCAGATTTATTTATAAATCAGCATAACTAAAATTTTATCGAGAACCACGTAACGATAGACAACGTTACATCACTATTGTCAGCATCACAATAAGCATGTACCAATATAACCAGTGGCATTTTGTTTGGAGCTGAACAAAATTACGGATTTTCTGAGTTACTGAATCCGTTTGACCACGTTGCCCAAAAGAATCTATTTCAATAGTTTTCCCAGTAATTTATTAATAAGCCTTCCAGTTTTAAATTCACACTTTATTTAGCATACTCTGAGCTAAATTGAATAAAACCAGCAGACCCACTTTTGAAATCGAACTTGAGACAACTTCGCATAAAAATGTTTGAGGGTTTTGGAGTAGCAAAAAAGATGATGAAGTGATCAATAAATTTTATATTGTAGTTCAACCTAAGATTTTTATTTTTGTGAATTAGAATTCGTGAATTAGATGCAAATACCCAATATGAAGTACGAGGAAGAGTTATAGCTGCAGGTGGATACAGCTATCCGGATAATGATTATGGCTCAGCATTCACAATAACTACTGGTACGTCATGTTGTTAAACGTTGTGTAGTCAATAAGCTTTATTGTGGATATATTATTGACAATGCGAACTGGAGTCTGTGTCGACTGGAATTAATGGACTGGGTTTCAACTGGAATTAATTTTGATTCAAATCTCTCAAAGTCGGAGTTAATTTCGAAACAAGTTTCAAATTGCGAGAAATTGAAAAATAAATGGGTTTACAAATGGCAGAGTTTTTGTTTCAAAAATTTTGTTGTCAGCAGCCTGGAGCTAGATTGGGGTTTAAAATTTTTCCGTTAGGCTTTGCGAATCATACAGTATGAACTATTGGCCCGGAATCGGAACCTCAATCAGATGGTCAATTTATTGTGTTGTTGAAAATGACAACCATGATTTGAGAAACTATATAATTTAACACAATCAACTAAAAGGATATAAAAAAAACGTAAACTTTTTTTCGAAGTTCATCATTGATTTTTCCTACTCAATTCGGCATTTGGCTGTCTGGTTGTTAGCTATGCAGAGTTGAAATCGAATAAACTTTAAAATAGTAATCATACCGTTAAACAAACGATTTTGCATACATTATTTCAATTCCTAGCGAAATTGTCTCTGTTTGCACGAGTTGATCAAAATGTCCTGTATAATGTTGACTTGAGCAATCCGACTTCAGCAACATACATCAGCAGAGAATCCGGTGTCATTGGTACCTTGCAAGGCCTTTATCAATCAAACGGTGCAGACGTTTCAGAGTTGAACGTCCTCCAATTTGAGTCTAAAGATTCAGGATCAATAACAGTTGTTCATCACGAAATATTGATCAGTTCATCAACAGTTCCATCGCTCGCGCCTTACAAATTCACAGACGGTTCTGGGGAATTTGTCCTTGTAGATGTCACTTCTTCCGGTAAGCCATAATTTTTTGAAACCTTGGTTTAATATCATTGAAATGGCACAGTGCCTTGAAAATACAAGGTTTGTGTGCTATAGTCGAGTCTTTGGAAACATAGTTATGAACTTCGACGGACTCATAAAACGAATATATTTGCAATATATATATATATTGTTTTAGTACAAGTCTCAAAAGAGGCGCATTTTAAAACTAGGATAATTCAGAATTTTGATTCTAATTAAATGCGTGCGGTGGCGAGCGTATTCCTAACGCTTAGCACGATGAGCCACACCACCGCGCCTTGTGTTTGATTTGGAATGCTTCGAAAGCTATTTAAACTAATAGATCAAATCCTACTAGACGCATTTAACAATTTTTAGCGTTTAACTCTAACAGCAAGACGGTTCTTCGGGAACATCCATCAATCTCTAAGATCAAATTCCCAGACAAACTCCGAACAGCACTCAAGTTTTCCCGCCAATAAATCCCGCTTTTTTGTACAGTGAAAGCGAACGCGTACTCGTTGATTAGGACTGGTGATAATTATCAGCTGCAGTACAACGACGTTGCAAATACAACTTCTTGCCCATCTTTTGACGCTCGTCAGTTCGTTATTAGTAACTCAATAGATGAAATGAGTAGAACAGCGACGCTACAAGGATTTTCACCGCAAACAACTTTACAATTCTCGATCGTTGGAAGTGGTGAGTTCTGGAGTTGGAGTTTTGAATATACAACTGTTCAATGAATGAATGAAGTTGCAAGTTAGCTGGCGGCGAAGCATTAGGAGTAGATTTATAGTCGAGGGCATGCAGCGATGTTATAATTTATGTAATTTGCGTTCATCGCCGACTAAATTGTAACTAGGCTTCTTTCATGTGAAATTTCTAAATTTTTTCGTATTTTTGTACACTGATCCGATGTAACAATCCATATCCCCATGCGTTGCTGGGCCGGTAGTCTTAATAGCGACTGTTTTAATCGTTCTGGGTTCGCGTTGGAAATTTTGAATAAAAGATATAACATCAGAAAAAGCTTGTTTTACAGTTTTAGGCCCCGATGTAAAATAGGAATTACATCAATTAAATTGTAACCCTGGCTGCTATTTTAACTTTTGTACCTAGCCTTCTTCATGTCTTCAAATAAAACATTGATCGTACGAAAACTGTATATATGGGCCCACGTACAAAACATAGGGTATCTAAGGCGTAAAGTGCTTTTAATTTATTACTGGAAATATCCTATTCCGTATGGGGCTTATCGTTTACAGGTTTAAGCATCGGGTCATCAAATATCTATTTCTTTGAAAATAATTCGGCAAGTGCAATCAGTCAAAAATATTTGTTGAAATCGTGTCCGACAGGATCAGAAAACCAGCTTTATTCGCGATACTTGAGTTCAAAAGCTTCATCGACGACACCTGGATACGAAGATGTATTTGTACATACTACCGGTAAGTTTTTCATTTCGTTTCGCTTTAAAAAACTGGGAGCTGTCGTCGATGGAACTTGATTCAGACTTTCAACACAAAAATTTCATTGGAAGTTATTCATTTTGAGATTTATTGATTTTACTAAGTCGCACATAGGGACATGAAGTGGGGGACAATTACAGCAATTTCTAACTGTAAGCCGTTAATAAAACTCTCCGTCACTGACACCGGACTTTAAATTTCCGACTCCTGAATTATAGTTGAGAAAAATTCTTGACTCCGACTCGACTTTCAACTCCAAAAAAAAATTTGAACATCTAAACTTGTATGCAAGCTTCCTACTTGTCTGTTGAGAATGCTTAGTTAGTTTGATAGTTTTCTTTGAAAATTGTGATAACAACTATTAGCGTGAACTTTCAGCTGCAAAAAATGTCTGTCGTGAAGTTCTAATTTTCTTGTATATTTCATGTATTTTTGAGCCTCCATTTGACGATCGTTAACTAAGTTTCTAGTCAGTTGTATAAATCCGCTTTTCAGATTTATTCTCATTCCCGGGAGTCCGCTCGACTGGAATTATGCAGGGAAACGGATCATTGATAACATTTAAACGTGTATCGAACGCTGTGAAATATTTCATTACATCTGGCGGAACAACTGCAACGTTGGATGAAACAGGGATCGATTCAAGCACTGAGTTTGAGGTTGGTTGAGGGATGGGCATTTTTAGGTACATGATGATTTCATTGTATATTATACGGTAATACAGGTACGAATTTCACCAATCGAAGCCGGAGAGGACATCGGAGCGTCATTGCAAATAACAACCAAACCTTACGACGACCCAAAAGATAAAACTAATCCAATATCTTTAAATACATGTAAGTATATAGAGTATAGACTTTGTAAATGTTTCCGTAGTCCTTCATGATTTCACTTTCAAGCCAGTTTCTTCTTCGCTGAGTGAGATTTTCTGATCATATATTCGTAAAGTGAAATTACTAGCATTTAATTTACAATGTTATATTCTCAGACTGCTTTTATATGGTAAATGCACTCCTTCTCAAAACTGATCAACCAAACCAACAGTAAACTTCCACATTCTTCTCCATGTTATCAATCATGTATATACATAATACATTGCACTCAAGGCATATTATACCTTAGGTTAGGCTACTGCAATTGAAATCTTACTTTCCGGTTTTTCCTTACATAATTATGGCCGCCCTGATTGCAATGATACAGCACGGTTTTCATATGGGTTTGTATACTCATTGATTCTTGCCATTTTTTTAATTAATTTAATAAATTAATACTATTGATTATTTTTATAAACTTATAGTGCCTTCATTGCCAACGGGTGTCACTTGGCCCTATCGCGATCAGAATAATTTGACCTTACAGTGGGATAAAGACGAGGGTGCGGTCGGTTATTATATCCTAGTACGAAGCAATCGAGATACGCCTCTAGAAATGATTCAAGAGTACGAGACCCCTGACCCGGAAGCAAAAGTTGGAGATTTGAAACCCGGAAGATTTTACTTGGTGAAAGTTATTCCTTATAATCACGCTGGAAACGCTTCAAGTGATAGAGCAGGATTTCAACTACACACAGGTGAAAATGTGAAATAATACATAAATGTCTGTACCACTTTGTGTAATTAGGACCAATATTACATCCTTACACTATACTGTATCTGAATTTCAAATAACTCTAAATTTGTCGATGTAGTATAGTTAAACGTTTAATAAATAAATAAAATAAAAAAAGGTTATAAAGTTTGATTTGATATTAGCCACATGAATACAGCACGGATAAACTGTTCGTGAACTAAAGCAGCGCTTATTTATTTGCAAACTCATGATATATTTCAGATTTTTCTTGGAGAGATTTAATAGGACAAATAAGCATTTTACCACAACTTAACAATATTTTAATTTATTTATTTAATTTCGTTTAACACTAATTTTTTGAGCATTTCTATCCCCATATATTCAATCGCTGCTGCATTTTGAGAAAAAAAATTCACGAAACCTAATGTTAGTATGTCCAAACTATAAAAGCAAAATATTTTAAATCACAGTAATAAAGTAATCTTTAGATTTGTGTACCTCAAAATACTTCGTTTAATTTGAGCCCAATTTTTAGATAAAGACGACCCTTTTCTTTTCCGTGATGCTGTAAACGTCAGTTACAATTACATTACAATTGAGTGGACTGGCGGTAAGGAGGCAAACCTTTTGGAAATTCAAGCCATCTTCGGAACAGGTCAAGGCAACGACACAAATAGCACATCAACTGTGAAATTTGACGTCACTGTTAACGTCACGTCACCTTACAAAATGGAAGGTCTGCAACCGGATACCGAATATAACGTAACAATTGTTGCCACGTATGACACAGGACTGACGCAAACTACTTATGAAATCTTTCAAACAGGTAAATGTGAGCAAACGCCATGCGCAAAAATATTCTCAGTAAAAAGATGTTGTATATATATATATATATATATATATATGGATAACTGTACGATGAGTTGAAAACACAACCCACATAAATTAATACACCTTCTCCATTGGTGAAAATGTCCACTAAATTGGGGTAACTAATTTTGTTCGCCTACTTTACATCAAGTTGTGTAAAGGGACTGTAACCTATGGGCAGGGGGTATACTCACTTAGCTAACACAGGCAGTTCCTGAACTCGTAATAGAACTAAAATAAGGAAAATCGGAATAAAATTATGCCATAACCCTTACCTGGTACACACACTACGGAAGTACGCATTCAAATGACTGGGGGATCTTGTATCTGGCCTTATTTCCAGCCTAATGGCCGTAACATCAAAACTTCGGTATCTCTCTGTATTTAGTCCTGAAGTTCAAACCCATTCTCTAGAATGTTTTTACAAAAGCGTTTTTTTTAGAATAAAATGAATAAACATCTCCTCGAAATGTGTGAATGAAATTATTCAATTTTTTTTTTACAAAGATCCGTATATTACTACGACGATGAAAGATACGACTGCAGATGGTGAGCGAGCTTCACATATATTTCCAGTGTTTTTAGTCTTCAAATAAAAAAAAATTGACATAATACAATATATTAGTTTGTCCGCGTTCTAGAATTTGTATGTGGATTATTATCTTATGTAGACAGTTAATACAGCATAACAGATATATCTTGATGTATTAAAATCTTGATTGACTTTCCGTAGTCACATTTTGTTTATTTCTCTTATGTATTTTATTACAGAAACCACCACGCCATTACCTGAGGAAACTACTACGTCAGGTACATTTGTAAAAACGATTTAATTTTTTTTTTTCTGTATTTAATCGACTTTCAACCAAATCACCACAAACTCCTGTTGCGTGAAAGAGTGTATTAGGAATTATCAAGACCTAACCATCTGCCAAACACTCGTAATGAACAACAAGACGCTCCAGCTATGTGAACAGGATTTAGCGAATGGAAAACTACTGTAATCAGTAGTTGAATAGCACAAAATATATGTGTATAATACTTCTTATTGCTTGGTAATTATGTTAAAAATTAAGAACTCCCGTAGTGGGTGTACCAGGTTAGGGTTAGACCATAATTTTATTCCGATGTTCCTTATTCCACTTCTATTACGAGTTCGAGGACTGTCTGTGTTAACCAAGTGAATAAACCCCCTGCCCATATGTTTCCGTCCCTTCACACAACTTGATGTAAAGAAGGCGAGACCTCCATATTGGTACACACACTTCTGGAGCGCCAGAGAAATCTTTGTAGTCTAAATTTGAGTTCTGATTTCTGTGATATTAAAATTCGTATGCAGAATAGATATAATGCAAATGTCTTTTATCCTCAGTTTCAAAGTAAATATATTTTAGAAATCGACACCACAACGGCCGATGTAGTAATGACCACCACAGCTGAAGATGGTATGATATTAGTGAATATGAAATAATCATAAGCTTACTTATTTCATAGATAAACCAGAATTACCAATACGTGGAAATGTAACTTAGTGATAAAGCAATAAATTCTTTGAAAATCAAATTTTAGAATCTTTATTTAGGTGTGACATTTGTATTTGTGTATACCGTCATTTATTGCTAAACCTGCGCCTAGACATTATTTAGTCTTGTGTTAAGTCGCTTAAATTGTCTTACAGACTCACACAATTTGTCATATTTTTCTCTCAATAAAAATAAATTTCTATTCCATATGGTACATTAAATCAGGACACAATTTTACCTTATCAATTATTTTTATTTTTTCTCAGACCAAACAACTTTTGAAACTACAGGTAGGCAGCTGTTTTTATTTATACCTTGAAAACAATTTATGCAATGAAACATTCTTCATTTTAACAAAATTCATAAATAAGAATTAATTTGATTTGGAATAATGACTTTTTGCTATTACTAAATACTGAATTAAATGATTCATTCTATTCTTCAGACCAAACAACTTTCGAAACTACAGGTAGGCAGCTGTTTTCATTTATACCTTGAAAACAATTTATGCAATAAAGCATTCTACATTTTAATAAAATCCATAAATAAGAATTAATTTGATTTGGAATAATGACTTTTTGCTATTACTAAATACTGAATTCTTTGGTTCATTCTATTTTTCAGACCAAACTTCAACCTCGACGTTTGAAGCTACAGGTAGGACTTTCTTGCAGCTATAGTCTCGATAGGGTTGGTAACGTGCCATACATATACTGCCAAGAATATGCTTACACCGCCAACTCATATACATATACAGCCAACCAAATGTACATATACTGCCATACTAATTGACTGTATATGACGTGTATTTTTGGCTGTATTTGTATATCACGTTACCAACCCCACTCGTTAGTATGGTATAACCTGCACCTTTGACTCAATATAAATATAATGACATATACAAAGGATATATGTATGACACTGATCATTTAAAAAATGATTGTTTGGCACATTGGGCATTCTAAATCAACACAGTGAAATTAATGAGTCTATTGCGCTTTGGCGACTATTAATTTTTGGGAAAGTAGAAAATAATATAAATATTTCTGCGTCCACTGTGAGTTATAAATGGAGGTTATAAATGGAATCAATGGTACTTTGCTTGCAATTGGCAACCTGTCATATTTCTAAATGTACCGATGTCACAATGATGTACCGATGTATGTAGTACGAACACGACCTAAGCATCTGTTATTAAAAATTATTATTTCTGTTTTCATATAAACCCATGTATTGATCTCTCCAGATAATAATACTCCAACAACGGCAAGCGATGAAAACACGACAATAGATGAATCGCTTGCCACCACAGGTAACATAACTGTTTTTTTAAACACATTGGTTAAAGAGTTTACTTAATATGTTGGCGGATTATATATCGCGAATTGAAGATGTCGAGATAAAAAGTCACGCGAAAATAAAATATATATCAAACGTGGATTAAGTGACTAACTATATATTGTTACTAAATTTTTACTCCAAATACTGAATTTCACTGTCCGCATGCAGAATATTATTGAAATTTTCAAATGAGAATTCTTTACAACTTTTTCTCACTTAGAGACCCTTCTGGCAACATTTTTTTACTGAGAAATTCTCGCAATAATATCTTTTTTTTTTTGATAATTCGGTTTTTTATATAAACCACACCTAAAGGTTTGTCGGTTCATCGTGTACCGTCGTCAGTTCGTTTAAAAATCTTCCTGCTATTATTATTGGCGACTTGCTTTAACAATAAAGAGAGTTAGAATCAACAGAATATGCTGTTTGGTACAATGTTGATAGAAACGTTCTACCTATCTATATATAATATCTAATTATGAAATTTTGCACATCAGTTTAGATTTTTTTTTCTCAAATTTCAGCAGAGCCAACATCAAACTCATCTACGACATTCACGATGCCAAATGTAACTTCTGAAGGTAGGATATTTAGGTTAGAGTTCTAATCTAAATAATAGCGTTATGTTATGAAATCCAGTATTCCTTGAGCTCAAATCCCCAAAATTTGAATGTCAGGCTTTGTCAGAGTCCAGCGCGTATAAACTCCAAGCGGGAATATGGAGTCGCGAATATTATACAACCGACTCTAAAGAATTTAGAAAAGACCCCCGACTGCGGGTTGAGAAATATTTTGTCTCCTTCTCCGGCTTCCGACTATATAAAAATATTGACTATGGACATATTTTGATTATAAAACTGGAATATTCAAGCCCAGGAATTACAAAATAAATTTAATTTAAATTTTCGCTCAAGACTTGCTTAGTATGCTACTCTTCCTTGAACTTAGTTTTGTACTATTCCGTTTTGAAAAAATAATGTGTAGATAAGAAAATTTGACTGCAAACTTTGTTCGTCGCGTTGTATTTCTAGGTTTATCGCATAAAAGTGAAAATATATGAAAAGATTTTAGTGTGTACAACAGTATAAGGCCACTTTCTAAATTTTTATTCTCTTTTCAACAGATGACAACTCAACCATGTCTAATAATACATCGTCTAACATCAACAATAGCACAGAAGAAAGTGTGACTGGTACAGTAGGTGCGTATGACGTTGCCGCTCCTATCATATTATGTACAAAAGCCAAAGTGTTTGCAAATTTGCAGAATTAATTAACTGATGACGCTAAGTGATATATATCCAAGTGTGAAACCGATGGAATTATGTTTAATATATATATATATATATTAGCAGCAGACCATTGGTAACTGTTTGATGAAATGAGCGCCTTTGAATAGTTTCAGTGCAGTAATAAAATAGAATGTTAATTATATTTCAGAATATATACATATTTATTTTTTGAGCGAGAACTTGAATCTGAAAATATTTTGAATTCAACAGGTTTGCCACCTGCAGAAGGACTACAATTAGGTACGAATTATTTTATTTCTTGTTGGATTTCTATGTTTTCAGACTATATTTTTGATTTTTCTTGTCCAGAAAAAACTTACTCAAAAGTCAAACTCAAATTTCAACTTTGCAGATGTTATGAATTCTTTTGATTTACTACTACACTATGATGTACTCTCGACTGACTAGACTCTACTCAAATGTCTCCCATTTGTCCCAATTGTACGAATCTCACATCATATGCATACCTAATAATAATTTGTGCCACAATATATATATATATATCCCCCAACTCATAACAGGGGGCAAGAACAGGGTGTTTCAAAAATGGGACACGATATTTTTAAGACACCGCATTCGCTGCATAATCTGCCCATAATCCACAGGTACCTGAAGAACCCTATGTTAGTTCTATGAATAATCATATTTCCATCCTTGATAATTTAGAATGGTGGCACTGGTTGCTGATTGGACTTGGAGCAATACTTTTGATGGCTATAATTGCAATTGCAGTCAATGTTGCAATGGGTGGAGCTGCTGCAGGTGGTGCGGTGAGTAAAATTAAAGCATTATGATTACGAATTTTTATAACAAATTTATACGTTTTTATTCAGTAATGCGGTGTACTAATTCTAGTTTGTTTTTGTTTTTATGTTTGGTTTACAAAAAAACGGTACATGAATATTATATTGAACATTAACGAAAATTAATTGTACCAGGTAACCACTGCAATAATCTATGGGTTCCTTATTGCTCCGTTAACTCATATCGTGATTTCGAAGGTTTAACTAATATCTTGTTGCTATGTCACAACCCTTTGCGCGAAGTTTTTTTTCTCTCAGACCCTTTCATAGGCTTATCTATAAGAAACATCCCGTGAGATGTTACAGGCATAAATTGTTATTGGATGAGAAGTGACAGAAAACTACGTCCCATGGACAAGCCTGCTCCTTTACCATGTATTTTTTTAACTATGCAATAGGTGCCTAATACCGAGTCCGGCGTGGAATATAACCACGGGACATGACTGTCCACATTACCTCCCCCTTATATCGGCTTATCTCAACTGGAGTGAACATAAAAAATACCTGGCTAGTTCAATGGTTCCCAACCTTTCATGGCTCTTGGCCCTCTTTTGAAGGCTTTTAGCACTCACGCACCCTTGTTGATTCTTCGTCTGGCATTGTTGGCCCCCTCAAACTGCTCTGTGGCCCCCTTGGTAGGCCATGGGCCTCCGGTTGGGAACCACCAAGTACTAGTATTTGTGCAATACACTGTCGCGCAGGTACAATATACAAATCTTCAATAATCTGTTAATGTTTTGACTTTACATTCATTCAGGGTGGAGGTGCTAATTCCACTAATATAATGAGGGCGATTTTTGGTGCCAAAGGAATGTATGCAGTAAATAAGGGTGGTCCACCGCCCCCTGTGCTAAAAAGCGAAACGTTCCGCGATCAAGACTAGCGAACGAAGCATTAACAGAAAAATCAACTGTGAAAACACATTACGATAATATATTTTTTGTAGCTTCATGTAGAAATTCGCCTCAGTAGAAATATGTATTATTCACTGTACTCTTGGCACTAGAAGTAGACTTTCCATCCTGTTTTTAGCAAAGTTACTAGATCCTGATTTGATGATTATATTTGAACTGAAAGAAGTTAGTGAATTAGCTAGCTCGTTGAATTTTTTACTGGATGGGACACATATTATATATATTTTCTAGCAGGGTAGAGCTAACTATCGTGGATGAGTACAATATTGGATATTCCCCAAAATTTTCTGTACGCTACTAGATGAATATAATCTGAAGTTGCCGGAACTATGTAGCAGAAAAACAGAATCATGTCATAAATAAACGTTGAAACAGCATTATGGCCATAAGCTACATTCTGGAACTAATGTATCAGTTCACCCATGAGTGGTACCCCAAGCGTTGATTTCCTTGTTTTTTTTTCGTAAGAATGATCCAATCGGCAGTAAGTCAACATTGATGTAACAATTGAAATTTAATCAGACAAATATTTAAGTACGGATGTAAACATTGCCTCATTTTCAGTTTTGCGTGTTATTTGTCAGTTTTCGGTTGTATTTTCGAAAATTAGTTGTAAATCGAATAATTTACTTGTCAGCTTTAGTTTAGTCGTAATATCCAAAAATTATCCCCGCAAACGCTGTGGCAGACTTGAATGAGAAATCAGTACCCGTGAGCGGCACGTGTTTGATTGAATTAGAGATGTACCGATACCACTTTTGTCGCCGATACCGATACCAACGAAAAAACGCGATATCGATACTCCGATATTTCAAAAAGCCGATATCCATATACTATGTAATTATTACAATAAGTGTGCAGGACGGACGGGTTCAAACAATAGTCTGTGAACGTTATTCATAGTGCCCATTATAAAATATATTACAAAACATAAAAAATTGATGTTTATGATTTAGATGCATTGTGCACCGACGCTATTAATCCCTGTGTTAAATTCGAAAACTCGTAGCATTGATCTCTCAAGTTAGATTAAATTAACATCGGCCGCATTACAAATTTTTCACTGAGGATTTTATCTCCGTAATAATTTGTGATTTTAAGGATCACCTAACACCTATAAAACATGACAGTGGATTGAATCCCTGCCCTGTGTTGCGGCTTCAAGGCCTACGCTTTTACTTATCACAAGTCTCTTTAAATGTCAGAATCCTAATGATGATTAGGTCCAATTTTTCTTCATATATCTGGACTAGAATGATTGTTCTTTTCCTTTATGCATACTACAGTAAAAAATGTAATCCAGGCGTACGTTTTCTGATTACCATCTCTTATATTAGTCATTTGCTTCATAAGAAACGACCTAACCATTTATTGTGTTATAAAATCACTAGGCTCACAAAGATTAAAATATTTTTAGGATATACGTTATTGCGAATGTCTCACTCGTCTCGGAACAAAAATTTCAATTTTTTTTTGTACTTTTGCAAAAGTTAGAGCTCACTCACAAAATATACCGTATATTCCCGATTTGTTCAGAAAACTCTTTATAAAATATTGGGTGGCTCTAAAAAGAGCCTTTGAATATAGTACGACATGTTTACAACCTCCTCTTCGCTGGCTTCTTCTTTGCTTTTCTTTTTCCAGCTTTTTTCGCGGGCCTACGTTTAGCTTTCTTGGCAGGCTTTCGTCTTTTCGCCGGACTCTTTCTCTTCTTTTTGCCGCCACGCTTCTTGGTAACCTTGCGCTTCTTTTTGGCAGGTGATCGGCGTTTCTTTGTTGCCTTCTTTTTCTTTCCGCCTGCCTTCTTCGTTTTGTCGGCTACGACTTCCTTGTTAATCTTGAAAGATCCAGAAGCACCACTGCCCTTGGTTTGAATTAGAGAATTCTTGGCTAACATAGACTTCAATGCAACCGATACGTATCGATTAGAATTCGATGGTACCGGAAACTTGTCCGCAATGTAGCCAGAAATCGCCTGTCGAGACGCTCCACGGGGCTGTTTCAACTCCTTCAAAGCAGCTACGATCATCTCCGAATATCTTGGATGATCACGCTTCACCCTTGGCTTTCGCGCAGGTTTTGATGTTCCGGACGGGGCCGGAGCCTTTGTAGTTTCCTTTTGTTGTTCTTCCATGATGTAGATTTACCGGATAAAAGCCCTGGTGGGCAACATATTTTTTATGGGCGGACGTCCACGACACGCAAATCAAACGATGACTGCCGAAAGTACCCTGATAAATTTTTTTTCTATAAAATGTTTTTGCACTTATCTATTTTGACGTATTTATGCTGAAAAGTACTACCGGTAAAGTTAGATTTCTGTAATATTTCAAAAAGTGTACTTATGAACAAATCAATTGCTTAATTTTTCATATCTAATTCCAGTTCTATATATTCTAATTTGAGAGTAGAAATCTCACATCAGAAAATTGGTAGGCAAAATGTTAAATTATTTTTGCTATCATGCCTATCTTTCCAAAGCTATATATAAAAATCTAATTTACGTCTCACATTAAAAGGTACTTGCAAGAAAGAGAATGGATATCAGTTTGCCACTATAAAACCGTGACGGAAATTAAGGCTTTTGCCGTCAAAAATTCGGCCCTTTTATTGAGGACAAGAACGAACGGTTTATAAAACAATTGAAATTTTTGGTTGGTTTTGGTTTTACCAATTTCTTCACATTCGAATTGTTAATGAAAATGACTCTTTCGCCTTAATATGTAAAGCTAAATAGTTTTATTTGAAAAATACATCGATAAGCAAAATAATTGATTCATTTGAATCCTTTTGATATGAATCCAAGGGTTTTAGTATGCTTGACGTTTAACCTCGCCAAGTGGTTCATCTACGCTCGGCGTACTAGCAATTTGTAACATCAAAAAGAAACTTTGCAAATTAAAAGTATGGGACACATGAATCAATTTAAATTTGTCATAATACAAGACTTGGTTTTTTCTACATCTGAGTCGGTTGATCTAAATACCTAAAACTTGATCCAGAGGACCAAACTCTACACAAACAATCGCCACACGTGGATTCGTACACTCATCAAAAATTGTCTAGAAATGAACCACAATCCTTACAATGCGAATAAATTCTTCATTTTGAAACCAAAAAATAGTGAAATACATTTTTCCTTTTATTAATAAGTGGAAGTCAGAAACATTTTGCGTAGCCTACAGTTGCTAAAAGGTCATCCATGTAACAATGTGGAAGCTCAAGAAAAATAATGCCCACGCAACTACTGCGTTGAATTATATATTTATGTACTTTGCCAGTATCTTGAGCAACATGACCACTCAAAAAGAGGTTTATATTAATTGAAGTCGGAGCATTTAGTTTTTGTCTGGACAAGTTATATGCATACCTTCGCTTTGACATTCGTACAGAAAATGAATATAACGAAGTAACGATACTCCATGGGGTAAAATTTGTGAACTAGCAACTAGCAGGCTTTTCCAGTACGTTACCCAAACATCTTACTACCGGGCAACCCATTTTATGACGTAATACAGTTTCATAGCAACCAAAGCAAATAGCATTATTTGAAATAATGCGCTAAAGAATGAAGTTATATATGGTACGAAGGTTACGTTTACTTTAATGGTTCGGTAAGATGTTATAAACTTATGATCATGCCTCAAACTGCAACAATGTGTAATTGGTTAGGAAGTGTTGTTTGTGGATATTTTAGCTAAATTCCTGTTGTTAGCGTAATCGAATTCAAATTTTCAGTCGGTCTGCTCAAGATGGAAGATGTCCTTCGAGGGACGTTGCTTTTATTTTTCAAATTTTCTCTCGATTGCTATGTGGTCCGGTATTTTATCAAATATTTGCTGCTAGACCGCATCTGTGTTGCTTGGCCGCCAGTATTTTTTCAGCAAAATTAGTTAGGCCTTGTCGGTACCAATGTACGACTTTCGTTGCCGTCTATTTGAGCATTGTTCATGTTTTATAATTGTTTAATGGTAGGCTATGTTGAATAAACATTAAAGTACATGAACGTCGGGTATGCGATCATCGCTCAATTTGTTTTCACAACTAACCGTGTGCGGTAGTACCGTATTTTAAGGACCATAAGGCACACGGTCAATAAATTAGCTTGACTGGGTTTCTATTTATACATATGGCGCAACGTAGTTTATTGCGTGCGTAAGAGGTTTGTTCATTAAACAATAGGACCGATTCTGGTTGAGGTACTGGCTAGGAAACATTACCTAGGATCTATTTTTGATGGAAATATATATAAAGTGCCTTATGGCCCGTTAAATACAGTACTAGAAAATGTTACTAACGAACTGCCAACTACGAACAAGATGATATAGTCACGTTGACGTCCGCGCAAGAGACAAGAGTGGCATATCGATTGACCAATCGGAGGACGTTTGGCGAGAGTTTTTCTTATGTATGCTCGAGCTGTGACCAAGCCGCAGGCAAACACTGAAATAAGCCGCCCAAACTACCAAGGGAAGCCAGCCACGCGAGGTAGTAAATTCCACATGACTGAAATTCTTCGTCGAAAGCGCTCGGCATTAACTTTGTTAGCCTATCAAACTGGTTCACAGATTATAAGCGAAATGAGGAACATGTTCAGAAGAACAAAGGTTTTTTTATAATATCTGCGACGAGGCAAGACGCAATTAGGCACTAAATCTTAATATATGCAAAACTACTCCATACACGGACGAAGCCAACCAGAGTCCGGACCATTACACCATAGTGCTAATGAAAACTCGGAAGAAACAAAATTGGGTGGCACTGAAAAGTGCCGTTTGATAACGCTGCTCGTAGTATTTATTACTGTTGAGACTGAGACAATTTCTTTTTTGGCAGAAGAGAAGATTGTATGTTTGGCAAAACGCCGCCCTGGGCAATAGTGACACCGTCGAGCAATTTGTTCAATTCTTCATCATTGCGCACGGCCAGCTGAAGATGGCGCGGGATGATTCGGCTTTTCTTGTTATCTCTCGCTGCATTTCCCGCGAGCTCAAGAACTTCGGCGCTCAGGTATTCTAAGACAGCGGCTAAGTATACAGGCGCCCCAGCACCTACTCGTTCGCTGTAATTGCCTTTGCGAAGAAGACGGTGAACTCTTCCGACAGGAAATTGTAGTCCCGCTCTTGTAGAGCGCGACTTACGATTGCGTCCAGCAGATTTACCGCCTTTTCCACGTCCAGACATTTTCGATGATGATTGGGTCTCTGTAAGGATAAATGATATTCGTTGAGGCCTACTCTTACATTTTATACTACATCGCAGGTTTAGATAGACTCCGCCCAGTGTTGCCAAGAAAATATCGTTTCGTTTCCGACCGATATCACCCGGTATGACTATGCCCGGTCCTGATTGGTCGCCATAGATAACGAGTTGATAAACCATTTTCGAAATCCTGTAAGTTGACATGAAATCTTTAATGTTTTTTGTTAATTGAAGGTTTGTTATAGAAAAATAACAACTTTAACAACACGTAGGTCTGAAAGCTGTCGCATGTCTGAAAGTACGTCGATGCCAACTGAAATAACTCTCGGATAGCTTGTCTTGTAATTTCTCTTCGTTTTAAATTGAATTTCTGTGGAATACAGCAATAGGCACCTCTTCAAATTAAGCCGTTTGAAGATTATTCGATGTAATTTTTATTAAACTTTTCATGGTGTCAAGACCATGCCTCTTCAACAAATAATGGGCGACTAACTAATCGCGTACCGGACGAGGGCCGTGGCACGCCATATGAAAATCTTGTCCGAAATCGCTGTTAACCCTTCTTACATTTTTGTAATTATGACGGGATTCTGTACGCATTAAATACTGAGTTATCTGAATCAGCAAATGGCTCTTTATGGAGAACATCCAAATCTTTATCTCAGTTTATTAGGCAGTGCCATACAAAAATGGAATCCGGAATATAAACAATAAGTTAGTAATTCATAATAGTAGTTTGGGTAATTTTATTGAACCGGAGATTCACGAGAACTCTGTTTGATCGATTCTATAAAAAATTTAAGAATAACGAGATCCTATATGCTGAGCTTCGTTATGTGGAACGTTGTCTGTTGAAATCTCCCAGTATCTTTCTTCATTGGAACCCATTTAGACTTTTCGCGCTACAATAAATCTCATTACCCGCTACGTAATATTTATTCACAAAACTCCAGTGAGACCCGAATTCGAGTGAATACTAGTCAAGTCCATGCTTCCGAACACAAATAACTACTGTAATCTCATACCCGACATGGAATGGTAACCGGACGAGAGGCCGTGGTTCGCCATATGGTTAAGCCGTCTTAACAGCTTTTCACTACCTCGCAATAAATATGTATCCTATCCTAAATCCTATCCTAACTCGATAGGCTGATGAAAATAACCATTCTGAAGCTGTGAAATATCTCGCCGCGCTGGCATTATTTAATTAGTGTGCCTACCAGTAAAGACTAAACGATAGCTGCTAAAACAACACATTCAGAAGTCCCTGTTATGAATAAAACAATATAGCAACTAAATTATATTTCAAGAAACATTTAGTGAAGAAAATCAAAGGTGACCAATATGGAAGCAATATAAATATTTATTAACGGTGAAGAAATATAATACAAAGTGCTGATGAAACTTTTCTCACAAAATAAAACAGTTTTACAATATCAAGAATTATGTTGGAACCACTAAAGTAAATTATTGTGTCATGTATTGCAAAAAATCTCGGCCGATATATGAATATATATATTATCGCAGAATCATTTGAAAAATCAGGTGACAGGCGAAAAATCGGGTAACTGTATTGCGCAAATATAGACAGACATAAAACTGTCTATATATTATCTGTAATTATGGTAGAACAGTACAAGAAATCGGTGCACATCGCGTCCTTTAAAAATTACTTAGAAATCCTCTTTAATTTAAAAGTCGGTTTTTCTTCAAATATCAAAATGACACTACCATAGCCTTTTTCATAAAATTTGGACAAACATGCAATATATAAAATATTCTGATTATGGAAACAAATTTATAAGCGATAAAGTTTTCAGAAGTAAAATTTGTCAAATAGAATTTGAGCATAAATGAAAAATTACCCTGGTTTAATTACTATGATGGAAGTGTGCAAAATAAGCAGTGAGGTACATAAATAGAAGTAAATTATTAATAGCTAAATCAGAGAATAATGAATTGTAGATAGTGGATAATTAGTCGATTTGTCACTTATGTTATTGGATTGTAAAAGATGTACGGTAAATTAACATTTGAGTACGCTTTACTTGTCTTGGACATGTGCAAAAAACTACAAGAAAATAATATTAAGGCTACTCTTATACTGACAAAGGTAAATTAAATTGAAATTTAATAGAAGTGATGATTGTTATTTTATATGGAAGTAAGTATTCTTATGAATTGATTATCTCAGGAAGGCTATTGATGTTTAGATGGCCAAGTTATTTTATAGTGGTAGTAAAATATTTATATTCAGCTTTTTGTGACGGGGAGTTAGGATTTCCATTGAATAAGCAAGGATACAAATATGAATGAATTACCCAAACAATTATATATAGCTATATATTTAAATAGGGTATGTTTCTATTGAAAGTCTTTGCTGCAATTTACCTTTTAATATCATACAACGCACATTTTTAAAACAACATTGAGCAAACCAATAGAATTAACAGTAAGCCAACACTTTTTTTCATTTTTGAGATAATGCAACAAACTTTTTTGATTTGAGATAAAAACCTACATACATATTCAGCAATAAGTATTGAAGAGAGATACAATATATACAAAAATATTTATACTGCTAATTATTATGTATAAGGCACCGTTAATTGAAGAATGTGCGGAATCGGCATTGAAAGTGGATTGTCTTCTGTTACTGCATAAAGTGCTTTCATTATACAGTGGTGACCATGATAAATAAGTATCATCAGAGACGAATTCGAAATGAACTAAAATAAAAGCACATTGAACAAATGTTATCGAAATTTTTATTGAAAACTTCTAATTCAAAAAAAAATTCAATATCTAGAGTGGAATATTTTCCAATACTTTCTAACATTTCTGTAATTGCATGATTATAATTAATTGTTACAAGCAATTGCTTATTATCGAGACTGTCAAAATTTATTCATAAAACTGGTTTTCTCTTTGTGGGTATATAAAAACATCAAAGGCAATGGACTATTTGAAAATATGTCACAGGAATACTCTCGTAGCCAATTACTTTGTTAACCAGTTTGAATTGAATTATTTCTCCCACCTCAATCAGATCAAAGGCAGAAAAAACATAGTAGTATGCAATAATAGTTGTATGCTTAAACATATATTGTCATACAAAGCTAAAACATGTTCAGCCCACCATATATATTTTTTATTATTTATACATAAAAGGTAACAAGGAAATGAAATGGGTCATATGACCTCATCACCGCTTTGTTGCATGCACTGTCTTTTGATTATATTTGCTAGGCATTAATGATGACTTCCTGCCATGGTACATTCCATTTATTTGTTATACCATCATGCATCACAAAATGCATGCATGCACAAAAAGTAATGGAGGAAATAACAATCTACCTTGATGTACGCCTTTATGAGTGGCGAATGTCAATATGAATTTTTCCATATTCTATAAACAATTTTGTATGATGGAAAATCGATATGTGTCTGTTTGGAAACAAGTACCTGTTGTAATATTTAACACTTACTTCATAAAATCAGGACATTTCGATATTACATGTTCAAATTCAGCAAATGATAACTGATTATCATCATCAAGATCTGCTTCTATCATTACCTGTAGATATAATATTATATTTTTTTAATTTGTATTATTAGCTTATAATGAGTGAAAGGTAATCAGCCTTTCGCATGATGACCTGGCATAGCTGTTTTCTGATTGTATCAACTAAAACGCTCAAATCTTAAGCCAATCTCTCACTGCCATGTGAGGCTCCACTATAATATAATTCTATATGATACTGGTAGCTCTTGGAACTCCTTCACTTCTGGGTATGTATGATCTTTAATTGAACAATTTTTTTTTTTAATGTATAATTCAATCTGTGACCAGTTGGAATGATATTTTTCACCTCAGTAATTAAGAAACTTTACTTTTCTGAGTGAGTCTGTGTGACCTTTTGAGGGAATTATAAAAACTATAATTTGAGTCCATGAAAACACTTATGAATCATGAATATTTTTCAGTGGACATATTTTATTGGAGTGTTCACTATATAATTACTGCCGGAAGTCTCATTTTACACTGATACAACCATTGTTTGGTCATAAACTTGGTATTGAAAACAACTTTCACAAATTTTGTATGATATGAGAACTGGTTAAACATTAATCCTACTTGCATCACAAGAATGAAATAGCATGAAAATAGAATTCAAAGAACACTTGAACACCACAAGAGTGAAATTCTCATCATAATCTGGTTTCAAAAATTACCGACCAAGCCACTTTAATATATAGTGACAATAGATTAATGGCTTCAATGAGCCACTTCAAAGCAACAAGTGGAAGCATCATGGCATAATGTCCAACAACATAGAATATTTCCAATCTGAGGATTAGGAAATAAAAAAGTACCCTCTACATAAAATTATAAGAATATTATTGCTTTCACACATTCAAAGTCAATTTACATGATAAAGATCTTTTATGAAACCTGTGTATTTAATGCCACCTTGACTATAACATGTTATAATACATACAAAATAGAAGAGGATGTTAGATCATGGTTATATACAGAGACAGGAAACTCATTAATATTTCTCCTTTGTTACTCATATTAATAGCTTGTGTATACCAGATGTTTAAAGCACAGCCAAAAATAGTACACAAATTTCCATGCTGTCGACAAAATCAAAATTATCGTATATTGAACATGATCTATAAATAAACCATACATGATCACACCAAGCCATCAACATTCATAATTGGGTACACATGTACATATATAAATTACATGCTATTTGCATTTAGCAAATATTCTAAAGGATTATTATTAAAATTTTATTCGTTATTACATACATATGTTGGCATTTTTTATAAACTGGATTTTGCGAATATTCCAGTATAAGCTTTTCTATATAATGTTCAATACAATGTACAGGAATGGTTTTTATTGCTCAAGTCTAGACAAACTCTTTGTTTAATACGTTATCAATTTCTAATGAAACAAAATTAAATATTTATTTATTGTCAATAGGTCAATATTTTTGATGTAACATACTAATCACCTACATTATTTATCAGTTGATCCATCTCCTCTTCCGTTAAATTATCATCAGAACCTGTCAGACGATCGACAACATTCTGAAGATCGTCAGAATCCAATAAGTCATCTCCGTTAAAATCTGAAAAATAAGTTTTGCTGATTATTAAAGTGTAACTTAGTGACATAATATGTAAAATTCAGAAAATTTGTTTGAATTATGAAAACTCTATATATTTACAAAGGGAATGCGAAATTTTCAACAATCAAACAATTCTATTCAATGATATTAATAAAGCTTCTGCAACTTAAATATTCAATGTTTTAAATAATTTATTTCGAATGGTAATCGATCTGGTTTTTGTCATCTGCGTGAGCAATATAAAGCAGATACTTCTCTTCAAAATGCTTAAACTTTTAGCCGATATTGAACAAACAGACATAGGTTTTCCATTAAATAATTCTGAAGCTAGGCAATGTTTGCTGAACCTTTTCACCAACTGTGCGGAAACGGACAATAAAACCATCGCTATGCTCCAGAAAACAAGTCTATTATGTTATGTCCACAATGTTGACTTAACTGTTGATGACACATAATCATGGGTTTAGTGACGAACTAAACTGCTATATAAGAGTGTGTGTCTATAAATGTATGGTTTCTTTGAACACTGGTCAGTATGACTTGACATGCCACAATCATGATGTTTTAGCATCTTTACTGTGAACAAGGCTCTGGACATAAACAAGAGTGTTTGCAATTTATATTAGTTTTAACAAAATCCTAAATTAAATATCAAATGAGAAATTAAAGTTCAATTTTCAAAATTCATATATCACCTAACAAAATTAGTACTATTTTTAAAAAAGTTACTTTAAAAAACATAAAAAAATTACGGTAGGTTTTTACACTAGGAAAATTTGGCCTGACCTGACATCAACTACCTTTCATGAATTAGTAACCTTGCAAGGCATAATATATATACATGTTTTCTTATTCTTTTAAATTATTTGTGTGAGAAGAAGCCTTACAAAGGCATTTTTATTATAGAAACAAACATGTTTACTTGAGCTATGCGATCTCTGTGAAGTTCAGTAAATTTAACAAACCATCCAAAGCAATACAATAGGCAATAAATTTCTTACCATAAATTTTGAATGCCCATTCCGCCTTTACATTTCTTGGGGCAAGATCACTAAATGCACTCATCATGTCAAGAAAATCTTCAAACATTAAACTCCCATCTCCATTCAATGCTGTTGAAAATACTTTGCATATTCTATCACTGTATGAGGTAAAAAAAAACTTTGTGATAAAGATTTTGTCATGGGCTAATTTCTCATTACAATAGAGATTTGATAATAACATTAATTGAAGTTGTTTATCCAAAACTCAGCATTGCATCCACCCACTGCCTTGTTGTTGTTCAAATATTTTGTAAAATCAGTGGTGGGTCAAGCTCATTCCCCCATTAAAAAATTACTATGCCTACCCATAATTAGAAATTCAGAAACTTAAATTTTAGTGGCTCTAATATATGGTTTGGAACAGGCTAAATGCTTCATTTAAATCCCGACTACTTTATTTTCATATAAGTTTAAACTACAGAAACTTTCCATTTAGTGACTTAGCATATAGTTTCAACAAACATTCTGGCTATTTCCTTTTGATGCTTATACTATATTCGCCTTGGCTAAGAATAATGCCTGTTTACTCAAGAGAAACAACAGTTAGAGGAAGTGGGAAAATTTCAGTATAAAAAGAATCACTGCATAATTAATACTCACTTGAACGGATTAACTTTCAATTCTGGTATTTGACAAACTTTTTCTAGTGGTATTCTTGCAAATCTATCTTGATTTACAGCATCTGGGTCAACTTCTGCAAACCTTTTGAACACACTAAACAAAGATCCATGAATAATGTGAGATTATCCCAAATGGAGGATTTAAAAGTATTGTTTGGTTAAACTTACAATTTATACAAATAAGTGATATGACAACAAAACTTGATATGAATAAATGTTAGCTGATATTCAGAAAAAGTGTTTAATCAGACCTCCTGAAGTATGCGCACCAATATGGCGCACAACCTGATCTCAGGTTGTGTACTAGATTAGGGTTCAGGTTATGCGATATCTTGGTGTGCATACTTCAGGAGTACGAGTACCGTTTAATCAAATCTGAATGTCAGGTTGAAAACTTTGCAAAGTGATTTAAAAAAAATTTTGACTGATATATGGACTAAATCATTGTATAATCCTGCTTATAGAAATAATAATCATGAGTGGTACTTCAAAGTTTTAGTGCTAGGGACTCTTTTTGTGACCAAATGGCCCAAATTTTTTTGAAGCCCTGGCTGGGCACAATAATTTCCTATTCTTTAAAAATTAGGTATTCAAATCTATAACATAGAAAACCATATACAATTCTGGTATGGAGAAAGCATACAAGCCTTTCCAAAGAAATGAGGATTTTGTGTTTCATTTTATTTTATAGCAATGAATATTTCATTCTATCTTCTTTAGCCTCTGCCATGCAGCCACAAAGTAGCGAACAAGATGAACACATAATATTAACATTTACAATAACAAAAAATATGAAACTTACTGCAGAATCTCTTTTTTGCTGAAAAAAGTGAGGTCCTGCAACCAAAATATTCATGACATTGAAGTGACTGACGATGAATCATGCAATAACATAACTTAGCAATGTGAAATGAAAGCATGCAATGCAATAGCTTACAAATAGTTGGATATTTTTACAACATAAAGATTTATACAAAAAAGGCATGACTTGGGAATTGAATTGTTAAAATTGTATATAATTTGCTTTCGGCAAATTTACTAGTTTTCAAAAAAAAAGTATTTTGTGCTTTACCTACAAAAAATTCTTTGCATCCACTTGACTAATTTATATAATAATTACTGATCACAAAAGTCCTATTAACTGTACTGCCAAACAAAGTTTGCCAAGTAATAGGAAAGCTAACAAATACCATATTAAATGATAATTCAGTGAACACTACAAATTGAGTGAGATTTATTTCCCTCTTATACTCTATAACTGAAATATACCAGCTCAAGGCATTATCACAGATGCTAAACAGATGAATTATTGCATTAAACTCTCATATACAACATAAAATTAAAAGTCATAAAAACATAGGACTCACAGAATATTCTTGTAGTTCATCATCACTGAAAACGCTTTGAGAACCCCCCATTGCTTGAGCTTCTCAACGTAAAGAAGGACAAAACACCCGCCCGAAACGACGTCCACTTACAAATGATTCGTATGTTTACTACGGTCAGCTGATTCGATTCACGGTGAATACAACCGTAAATATATACTACTGTACTACGATACAACATGAATTCAACGGCACAACAAGACGTTTTCGTTTTTGTGAAATATCGCCAGTTTGTTTATCAAATTTAAAAATTTATTTAATTTTACTTTAAAATACATATTTAAAGTTCCAAATTTATAATTTTACTCAAACTAAAAACAAATTTACAGCATACTTTGAGCCCTATTTATTGGCCGGAAGATGGCTCCCTTTCTACATGTATTTATCATTGAGGTGTTGGTATTTATAGTAAAGGATTGGCTGAAGTCAGTTGTCAATTTCCTGGATTTTTGGAAGGTCTTTTACGTAGGCGAGGATGTATTAAAAACAGAATTAGCCCATTTCCAAGTGCTTATTCCAAATATTAATTTACAAAAATGGAAACTGCGGATGTATCACCGATCGTAACGCTTAATGTTGGTGGAACAAGGTGAGTGAAAATATTTTGCTCTAGTCTACTAATGCTCTATTGAACTTTTTCTTGACTTCTGGACTTTATTGCAAGTGATTTCATTCACATAAACAAGGTTATCACTAACGCAAATTCAAAACAATACTGAAAGATAAAATCTCACAGTGACTGCAGAACTAATTGGTATACCGCTACTGTCATAGACTCATAGTCAGATATAGGTGCATGTTCACTAAATGCCATGAGTACTTCTAGTTGGTGTGGCACAAACATTTCTGCATATGTTATTTCTAACCCCCATCTGAATATGTTGTCCAAAAACTATGTCACTACGACGCCACAATCACGTCATAGAGCTTGCCAAAGAAAAGCTACGATCAATCGAAATGGCATCTGTGTCGACAATGACGAACTCGCTAACTCTAGCGATGTAGTCAGGTGGGGGTTAGAAATGCCATATGCGAAACTGGTTATGCCACGCCAACTAGAAGTACCTAACGACGTTTAGTTAACTAACCCCCAGATATATAATGTTCAGATGCACTGCTTTGATAAAATCTAGATTGAACACCAGTGATATACTGACTGGTACATTACAGCATTGTGGCGTTATAACAAAAAGTATAAATGCAAACTTATGAACTTTTTCAGATACCTGGATTTGGCATTTCACTTAACAGCAATATTGTGATTTTTTTGCATGCTAGTCTGCTCTTTTCACAGTTTCATGTGTCAGCTAAAAAGAATACATTTTAGTTTTAATTGTTTCAGATTTTGTACATCAAGAGAGACACTGACATGGATACCAGATTCATTCTTCTGCAGGTAACTTGTTTAATTTTCATTATTTCAGCTGTTATTGTGGATGTGGAGTCAGGAAATATATAACAAAAATTTTAGCATGCAAGTCTTCTTTAATTGAGGTGTTAAAGAAGGCCTGATAAACTTAAATGCACGATTTTTAATGCTTTTTGTGTATCTTTAGACCATTAAAAAGTTGACATAAGGTAATGGATGTGAGAATTTCCGCTTTCAGTGGAAATATCCCAAACCTCAACAAGACAGCCTTAGCTGTTATACTAGTGTTTAGTCACATTTTTTCCATCGAACAACAGGAAATGGTCAAGCTACTTTCTTATGATTGTTTTGTCTACTTGTTCATAATATATGAATTTCCACTTTTCATTTCACAAAGCTGTTCACATGCTTACTAATATACTTTAATGTAATCCATTCTACAGAAAAATATTTTGGGGCATGTGTTTGTACAACTTCCCTCTAAATTACTTTGTTTGTGAAAGGACTCATCTCTTTCAGTTATGCATTATTTAGTTGATTTTATTACACTCCGGCCAAAGTAGTATACTTGTAGTGTTGATTGAACTCAAGAATTTATTCTTCATGTTCTTGTAATTCGGCCCAATCAACAATGGTTAGTGACTGTCTAGAATACCTGACATGTCCTGAATGGAAAGTTATATTCATCATTTTGCACATGATGCAATTTAACGTATTTGCCCATTGAATCAAATCAATAACTAGAAATTTTTTGTCTTGTAAAAAATTTTGTTTGTATTTCCAGCTTGCTAAGTGGAAGAATATCATCATACAAAGATGAAACAGGAGCGGTCAGTTTGTAATCATTTTATACTTTGTTTGTTTCTTTTATATAAAGTTTGATTGATTATTATATATATCTTGTCATTTTTTAGATTTTCATCGATCGGGATCCAGGACATTTCCGACATATTTTAAATTTTTTGAGATCAAAAGAACTTGACGTTCGAGGAATTGATGTTGAATCACTCAGACACGAAGCCGAATATTATGGAATTGTACCGTTAGGTATGTTGATTTCTGAAAATAAAAAATTAAATATTCTAAAATTTTTATCGCATTGCTCATGTATTGACAGGCATTATTCATGGGGTTTTTGGTGAGTACGGCCCAATTCAAAATCTATTTTGATTTTACTCTTTTGATATTATTTTTTGAATACAGCCAGAATAAAAGTTTATACTGATTTTGTCCTGTAGTTGTCATCATTTAGAACGCATTTCTTGTATTTTGTGCAGCTTGTGAAGCTAAAGGTTGGCTATTAGGTCTTAGGCGTCATGTTTGATTTAGGGTTTACAATAGAAAATATTATTTTATCCCTAATAGATTCATGCTTTTTATTCTACAGTATCTCGTCTGTCGGTATGTGCTGAATTGGATCATTCTGGATGTGGGAACGTACTTTTCCATGGAATGATTGAGAAACCAGCTTTTCCAACTCCCAATTCTAGATTGAAACCACCTGTGATCAGTGCACCCAGTGAAACCCAGTCACAAATCCATTCTCATGGAAGGAGAGACGTGGACCCAGGTTTGTGATGATTCTTCTAAATTCATACAAACAATAAGACAATGACCCTTTATTGTACAGTTTCTCCGACCTTAGGTTCGATTAACCCATGACTGTGGATTTGATACAGAGAAAATAAATAGACTGCATCATGACATGAGACTACATCATAGTTAACGAAAATAATGACTTCAGCTCCCAACTTTGATGGGTGTTTTGACTCCAAGAATATCAGATTTAACAACAAGAACTTTGGTGCTTAAAGCTCGAAACTCCGAAGATTTCAGAAATCCGCTTTTGCCTTGTTCATCCATCTTTTTTTTTATTGTCATAAAAATTTTCATTCTTTGATAAAAAAATATTTCATTGCAGACCAACTTATCCAAGATCCACGCAAAGTACTTATCGTCACAGGACATAATAGTTGGATAGCAGTCGCTTATACTCACTGTGTTGTTTGTTATAAAGTGAAAGATAATTGCGGCTGGCATCAGGTATGTTCTATACAGTATTGTTATTATTTTGATCATTTTTGTATATCCATTTTTCCAAATATGCCTAATTAATGAATGGTCTTTGATTGTAATTTGGATTATTTTGTATTCAGAAAATATGAACAAAACAATTTTTAAGTGGTATTGTATTAAGCTTACTTGAAATTCCTTTTTCTTGCATGCAAAAATCATGATTAAAATTTCGAAGGAGGCAAGTAATCAAATAAATTGAACACTCAATTAACAAAGTTAAGGAATACGAAAGTATTTGTCAAATTATTAAAACTGAAATCATTTCCATCAATCATTTTGTTGAGAAATCTGGCCCAGTAGTGATCAATTCAACACAAAATATATGCAATAAGTACCTGTAACTTGAACCATGTAGGCCACCAGGGGCCAAAAATTTTACCCACCTAGACTGGCGAGTGATGTAAGTGTGACGTAAAAAGTGAAGCAAAAGTGGAAAACTAAATTTATTATTAATCACAATCTCAACAAATTCCTTGAGCTATTTTTTAGCTAAAACATCAAAATATGATTTAGTTTGGTTGTGGTAGCATCAGGCTGGGCTTATTGAATTATACAATGGGCCGGATCTATGCTGTTCTCGCAGGTTAAAACCCCATACCCAGCACCTCACTCTGGGTGTAATAAATTGGGTGAGCAGCGCAGAGTCGGAAACTATTTTCTTCCAAACTCCAGTAGATCCTTCTATATCCATAGCTGCTTGTGCAGAGACTAGTTTGGAGTAAAATATGCCATAGAAAAAAATCTTCCATTGACCAGATTGAAAATTTATTCAGGTGTTTGTCAGTCCGTATCTTGATTCTATCGTTGAGCGTGTCGCCATTAATGCTAAAGTACAAGGAATGGCTCCTGATTCAAAAGCCAGAATGGTTGCCGTTGGTTACTCGTGTCATATACGTTTATGGAGTTTCCAAGATGAATTAACTTCAAATGAAATAGGTATGGGAATGAAAATTATTTCAAAAATAATAGTATGCACTGAAGTGGGAAACTATCACAACTGACTATACAGATATTATCTATTATTACCTAAAGCTGACATAGTAATATTTACTATTAATAAGGGAACTCATATTGCTACCGGCTACACATTTTGTGCAAGAAAATAACATTTTCAAAAAGAAAAGTTTATTCTATAAATAAATCAGATAATGGCATTTTGGGTATTTCTGTTATCAGGAAATATAGAAGAAATTGGAAATAGAAAAAATGTTTTTTTTCATATAATAGAGTATTAGAATTTATTTAAATATAAAATAATGCAATGAGTATTTGGAATGCTCAAATTTAAACAATATTGAAATATAACAGGCAATTTGTATATCTTTCTCAGAAATATGAGTGATATAATAAAATTAAAATTAGAACTTGAATATTGAATTACAGAATTAAAATATTGCTTTAATTTTGCACAAGACTTTAGCTGTTTTGTCACTCTATCACCAGATGAAAAGACATTCAAATCTAACCCAAAAATATTGTTGTTTTAGGTATCTTCAATTTACAATCTACCGTGGATTCATTGTTTTTTATCGGGAGCCAATTGGTTGCTCTGAGTGGGCGTGGCGGTCGAGTAGGAGTTTGGAATGCAGTTTCTCAACATTGGCAAGCTCAAGATGTTGTTCCTATCACAAGTCATGATACTGCGGGATCTTTCTTATTGCTTGGTGGTGAAAATGGAAGCATTTATTATATAGGTTTGTGGAAGATTGAACGTATATAGTTTAAAAAACTATTGGTGTCTGCTTGATTAAACCTTTTTTGTTTTAGTGTTCTTCCAAAATTTGAAATCGGAGAAAGTTTTGTATTTGAAGTTTTGAAGTTCTAGGTACAAAATTTTTTCTAGTCATCGTTTGTAGTTGGCAACTCTGTAAAAAGTCTTAAACCCATAGTACATCCAGCATGGGGTGTGTCAAATTTTTTTCCTGCCCGGAAGAAGTTTGTGATGTTCGGGGTGATTTTCTGATAATGATGCCCCTTATACCTAGCTTAAACAAATTATAGATAAAATAAATAAATTGAAGGTCAAGTAAGAGTAAAATGTTTGCATGATTATTATTTAAATCATCAAACTAAGCAACAAACTCACCCACAATGATGTGCTGCCTGGGGCAGCTGTATCTTTGGTCCACCTCTAGACACTCCACTGCAGCCAACCAAGGGTACCACAATTGCTTATATGAATCATTCAGGAAATGGCTTCATTTGGTATAGCACATTCTTAATTTTAGGGATAACTTGGAATAGTTCTATCTGAAAATTTGTCATTTTAAGCACTGATGATACTTTGACCTCTGGAACTATAAAGAATAAAGAGGCATTGTTTATCAGCTGTATTATACATAAACGTAGAAGCAGTTATTAAGATATATATATTCTGCTGTATTATTTTCAATTTTCCCATGATTTTTATTGATTTCTCTATTGAACATGAACCAATTTACAATATACTCCTCATTTTATTTAAAAATAATATTTATTCAATTTTGGCTATCACTGAAATTAATTCATATTTTTTTTTTATGTTTCAGATATGCAAAAGTTTCCCCTTCGTCTCAAAGACAATGATTTATTGATAACAGAACTCTATCATGATTCTTCAAACGATGCAATAACAGCTCTTAGTGTTTATTTAACACCAAAAAGTCAGAGTAAGAGACAGTTATGACTATATATTGTATTTTGATTTTGTTCTAATTACCATCACCGTTTGATTATACTGTATCTTCTCATACCCATTTTATCTGTGATTTTTCTTCATCTTGGGGATATATAGTATCACGAATCACGTTTCACGAGCATCAAATATTATCAATTCTGTGCACAGACCAAAGCTTAATTATAATCATCCTTATAGAACAAGACATGCATATGTTGATGATATGTGATTCGGGAGAATAAAAACCGCCATAAAGATGTTCACAGCCTAAATAGCACGTTGCGCGACGATAACCATCCAGAATTTAAACGACCCTCAACCCCCCAACTTCGTCCCTGATTGCCTGTCACAGTTCTTCCTATTTTACAAGTGGTCCTTTTACCCACCATTGGGAGTTGAAATTTGATTCGATTTTTTATTGCATAAAATATATGAAGGGCAGCACTGCTATAGAGCATGGTCTGTGTTGTATTTTAAAAGCAGCTAAAATTTGGAAACATCCTAAAATTTCAATGTAAACACTAACTTTGAATACAATCATCGCTTTTATAACATCACATTTCAGAGATATTTTACTGGTTTCGTGATTTTCTGTGATATAAAAATGAATTTCAACTGAAAAAGTCAGCCCTCTCAATGAGTGTCAATAGTGATGACCAAATCATTGACCAGTTTGTTTCTCATCTCTCCCAGTATCCATCTTTTCTTCAATTTTTTTTTATGTGCTAAATGTGCATAATTATTACTCACAATTGACATTGAACAAACGTGTATGTTCTTCACAGCTGCATTTGTAGGAAATTGGATAGAAGTTGCATATGGAACAGCATCTGGAGTAGTAAGGGTCATAGTTCAACATCCTGAACTAGTGGGACAAGGATTTCAACTGTTTCAAACCTTCACTGTGCATCTAAGTCCTGTTACAAGAGTTATGTTGTCAGAAAAACACTTAGTCTCAGGTAAATATCTTATTTCTGAATGCAGAATTTTGTTGGGAGTTCAAATGGAAATTTGAGTTGGAGTTGATGCCAGATTCAGATTTTTATTGTGATTATAGAAGTCAAAATTTTCAACGGAAACTTGAAAAGCATTTGGTTGACTGGGCATTCTCAGTAGACAATTAAAAAAGGCAGGCATACACACAGAGAAAACAATCACTTTTGTATGTATGTCGTTTTAAATGTGATCAACATGAAAATATAGTGATTTAAGTAATTTTCCACATGCACCTAAATATTTTTTCAGATGTATTTGGAATAGTGAAGTATTCGGTTTTGGCCATACCTGCATGCACCCAATTTTTTTCAATTCCCTAGTCAGAGAAATCAGTTTTGAAGTGTCTTGGAGTCGGTTTTCAGTTTTGCCAGAATCCACAGGATTGTATGCTGCACCACTCAGTAAAAATACATCAATTTAGATTATGCGAAATTTTTGATAAATATTTTTTTTGTATATAATTCAAAATTTCATTTACTCTACTTTCTTTGAATATTGCTAGGCATAATCAATCTAATGATTGTTTTCTTAGCCTGAATATTTGATAGGTTTGCTTTTAGATGAATTAGATTAATTTTAGTTGGTTCGTGACAAGAGATTATAATTCGCATTAGATAGATTGTCCAATAGAATATGAATGATCTATACCTCTGCTTACATATTCATTTCGATATCTTATGGCGAACCACGGCTTCTCGCCCGGCTACCAGTCAGGTATGGGATTAGTTAGCCATTTCAGATGCATGCACTTGATGCTGGAGGAAGGCGTAGCCGAAATAGGATTATATGAACTACCCTACTGCGGCGAAGAGTGAAGCAATTCTCTCGCACATAATTATCTCTGTAGGGATTGAACCGGTGAACCCATGTAGTGTAATCAGAAGTGCAAGTGTATTCCTAACACAATGCGCCAACCTCTAGTCCAAACTTGATGAATTAAAAGCTTTTGGTAATTTTAAATTCTCAACAGGACATACTTGATAAGATACCCATATTATCAACTGAGTGTGATTTTAATTTATCAGCTTGTCTATTATTTCTAGTTTGTTCTGATAACAATCATGTACGAACATGGAAAGTAACACGATTCCGTGGAATGATATCAACACAACCTGGATCCACACCTCTTGCTTCTTTCAAAGTAATATCACTGGACGCTGATCACCTGCTTTGTAAGTATATTGTCATTTGATATACACTCATGCTCTGAACAAGGGGTCGGCAACCATTTTCATGTCTTGGAGCCAAACATTATACCTGACATGGACAAAGTACGGCCTCAGGCCAAATCCGGCCCGTTGGGCAATTCAATCTGACCCGCCTGATGCTGCCACAACCAAATTTTGATGTTTCACTTAAAAAATAGCTCAAGGAATTTGTTGAGATTGCAATTGAATTTAGTTTTGACACGAGGCTTATTGTTTTACACTTCTGCTTTTGTAACACTGTAAATATTGTTCATAACTTTTGACATCACACTTACGGGCCCGATGACCCGCCGGTCTGAGTGGGCAAAATTTTTGGTCCCTGTGGACCCTATGAGGCCCAATATTTAGCCCCAAATTTTGCTTGATTCATGGGAACACCTTCATATGACATTCGGTACAATTTTGTATGATATCCAGTACAATTTTGTTAACATCTAGCTGTATTTTTGAGCTTCATGCCCATATCTTCAATCATTCCTTTATTGTTGACAGCAAGTTATAGTACTGGTAATGACATTGGACCTCACGGAGAACGAGAAGAAGAACAAGTGTTTATACAAAAGGTTGTTCCTGTGTCTGATCGTCTCTTTGTCAGACTATCTTCCTCTGGACAAAGGTATGGACAAATATTTTGTTGAAAATATACACCCAATTTTGATAATAAAAAAATGAATATTTTTTGAACCCCAAAGAATAGAACCCGTAAATTTCTTAATTCTATGGAATGAAGAAAATTTATTTACACTCAAATTTTTGCTTGTTAATGATGGTACCCAAAAGTTTCCGTAGTTTAGGAGACTTTGCTCAAAAAGTATGTTTCCACCAGAACTTGTTCCAACTTCAACTTTGTTCTGTTCTTTTTTGGGGAGCGGAGGTCACCCCCATAATTTGTCTCTGTCACCCAGATCCAGGTAGTTTGAAAATACGACTACAATTCATTAAAAAAAAAAGACAAACTCTCGATTCCGCAACCCTGATACAATATCAACTTTCTTTACAGAGTAACTGAAGTTGAATCAGTGGATGGATCTATGATAACTTGTTATTGTCTTCACGAATGTGAGTCGTCAACAAGAATGGGTTCACGACCCCGTAGATATCTCTTTACTGGGCATAGCAATGGTGCAATTCAAATATGGGATATGACAACTGCGCTTGAACATTCTGCAGAAAAAGGACCAAGTAGGTTCTTTCTTAAACTCGATGTGAAACAGGCCATGGGCAAGCCGAGAAGCAGCCACTGATACATAAAGGGCTGCTTTTGCTGAAGGACTGAAATTTGTGGTTTGCATTGCCTACCTATGGTTTGAGCTGTTGGTCTTTGAATAGTTTGTACAGTGTTACCTCGGTAGTCGAACATAATTCATTCAGGTTTGGTGTTCGACTACCGCATTGTTAAGAGTCCAAAAACTTTTTTGCTATAAGAAATAATGGTAATTATTTTAATTCGTTCTCACTCATTCCAAAATACCCCGAAATATTAGCAAAACTTGGATTCTATGGGATTTGTTTCTGTGCACGATGACATTATCAAAATTTGCGCACCCTGTTGCATTTCGTTTTCACATTAGTTGTGAAGATTTCCATGCCGATAGTCTACTGTGACAGATTGCATACTCGTACTACTTAGTTTCAGATTTTGTGTCTTTGTGTCCATTTATTTGAGCATCGCTTTCTTGTTGGATGCTCAAGGGGCAGCTGAGATGCGTGGTTCCTGGTTTGGGTGGTTCATTTCACGCGGGGGTGGGCTCAGGCGTTTGCGTACCGCAGCATATTCGACTAAAATTTTTTGGTCGACTATCGAATTGTTCGAGTATCAAGTCGTTCAACTACCGCAGTATTCACTGTTGTAGATTGTAGTATTTTGAGGAAATTGTGTCCATTTTGAATATCTTGGATATTTAATATCGTCGGAATAGTTTATCTGGACCTTTTTTCAATTCAAAGCTATAAAACTCTCTATTGATGAAATGCCCTTAACTTTCGTATACTGTGTAACTACTGTATATTCTTTTATCATCAATATTTGTTTATATTCTGCAATTTTTTAATTATTAGTTAATTTGTTTGTTCATGTATTTGTTTATTTATTTCATGTTTTTCCTCAACTTTACAATTTATATAAATCATAATTAGTTTGTTAAATTGTTTACAGCAATGGTATAAAATGCTCTCGAATTTCGTAATTGCAGTAAAATTAATATATATTTTTCTATCATTTTATTCTTTTAGGATCTCATGGACCAACCGAGCAAGAAATTCTGAAACTTCTAAACCATTGTGATCTCAGTAGATCAGCATCTCCTTCCATGAGTCCTGCTGCTTCATTATTGGACAGATTGTTATTAAGAAGTTCAAACACAAGTCTTAATAGCACTAATACATTAACGTCAGAACATGATAAGTATGTGAATATTTGCTTCCATTCACTTCTTGAGTTTGGGTTCAAACTCGAAATCTCGTGAAAGCCGGACTTTCATGGATTATATTATTTTTTTTAAAGTTATATTTTAACATTACTTTTCTTTTCTGTTTTATAGACCTAGAGAAACTAGTAGTGATGACCAGAAATTGGACGTTGCAATGGGTAATATTCCTGTACCATCTTCAAGAGTTGAAAACATTCCTACACCTTCCACTATGCGGCAACGGACAGTCTCCACTCCAGTTGGTTCTAGCAAGCCATCTATAGAATCCTCTGACACGACTAATTTACGTCGACAGCCATCTGTATTACACAGTCGCAATTTATCGAATACGAGTTTCTGTCAACCTGCGGTTTCTCCAGTAGGTGGCGTAGCATTACCTGGTTTTATCGTATCACAAGGTGGCGAAACGAGCAACGAAACAACCCCTAAACCTGTTGTTCCTAAACCAAGAAAAGATAGAATAACAGACGCTTTTTCGTTCACACGAAAAGGATCCACGATTAAGAAGAAACATGAACGAAGTTTATCTTCTTCCAGTCAACCAAGCGATAATGACACCGATTCGAATGATACAGCGAATAGTTCGGTAGAAACCAAAATCCCGGTAGTGAAACGTCGATTGAGTCTAAAAGGAGTTGAAAGACCTCCTCTGAATAATGACAGGCTATCATTCCCGAATCTTCAATCCATGTGGCGACCTCCTAGCTTCATACAGCCTAGTGACGATTATGAATCGAAAACAAAATCTTTACCCGCCCAACCTAGAGAGCAAGTTACACAAAGCGATACTCAAGAGCCCAATTTTGCCCCACGTAACAGTGCTTCCAGAAACAGCTATAAATCTGCCATTCAAGATTCCCTTGTACCTGATTCACCTATTATGCCAAGGCGTGAAATGTCTTTAAAGACTTCACCTCCAGCGACTGAAAATAAATCAAAAGATACTGGAAATTTAACTGATAATTCAACGTTAACATCATCGCCGTCAAGTTCGGAGAAAAAGGAAAATTGAGATAAATGTAAATTTTGATTAATCATCTCAATAGATGCTATGTCATGCAATTTTTTGGTTAATATAATAATTTATGCTGTGTCATATTGTTATTCAGGAATAGACTGTTGAAATAATTCCAATCCCCTAAATTACAGTTGAATGTTAGTGAATAATACATTTTTTTGTATAGCGCACTACACACAAAATTCCATATTTTTGTTACTCATGTGTAGGGTGTGTTATAGGTATAAAATGTGTAAAATTAACTACAATTTCAAGTTATTTTCAATTAGATCATATCATACTGGAGATAATTTGTATAATCAATCCATAGCATGAAGAAACATGATTATTATCAATGGACTTCAAAAAAAAAAAGAATTTCTATTCTGTTCGTGATGCCTTGCCTCAGTATTTAATCAGTATTAGCCCAATTGTACATAATATACGCCAGTCTTCCAGTTTCCAGGTTTATACTATTTTTTTTTACGAAATTGCAAAGGCATTGGAAGTTTATTCTTATAATTTTGAATCAAGATTTGAAATGTCAATCTGATTCGATGCAGTTTTTTAGTATTCATTTTTTTGTATTTACCTTTTTTATTATTCACGGGATGAAAACAAATAGTTTGGAAATGACCATTGAAAACATAAATCTTCCATGGTAAGATATTATGACATCACAGAGTGAGAATATGACGTGATAATGCCTTTTGAATGTTGGTCGATGACATGTACCCGTGCTACCCCTTAAATATAATATGCATTATGTGTTTAATGGAGATCAATCATTACATATTCGAAAACTTATTCAAACAGAAAGGTATCAAATGAAATATCATGTAATATAGGATTGCGTTTTTGTGCTTATTATGTTTATTAACACAGAAATTTCAATAAATTGTATCACCACCATTTGTGTGTATTGTGCCTAGGTACCTTGAAAGCAGAACAAGACTAGTAGTGGTACATGCAACGGACATGAGCTATGCAGTTGGAAGTTACTGTGAATGCTGGATTACTACAATGGTCACGTTATAATGTCGAGCGCTTGGCAAAATGTGAATCCATCTCCTAATTCTCATCTGCTTTAGCTTACACCTTCGCATACAACGATCACATCTGTTCAAATTTTAGACGCCGAGAGAGAAGTAACAGTGGCTATATCGAATATCACAGCGAGTTTGTAACGGTTTTCCGTGGAAAGATACTGGAAATCATCAAACTAATGACGACGTGAAAAAATCCGTGTTTTGATTCCTACATGTCCCTTATTCTCGGAGCACTTCTAGTTTCATACGCTGAAATGAACACAAAGATTTTGAATATCATTTAGTAATTATGATTGAAATTTATATTCAATCAAAAGCAAACAATTGGATTTGTTTTCGTAATGAGTTAGGTATGATTAGCAACTTGAGTAAAAATGTTTTTTGAAAGCTGGTAAGCGAAAATCTTGTTCCGCAAGGGTGGATAAGTGGTCGACCTCTTGTTAGAGGTATTTTGCCGTTCTGTGCCTAATCTTAAGTCTTTAATGTTACAAATTAATTTGTTGTAACTTGTAACCCATTTGTTGCTTTCTACTTTGACTGAGACACAGTAAACACTTATGTATAATAATTGCAATCGAACTGAACACTCAAAAACTGCACAAATCAGTTGGATTTCTGCGATACAGACTATTTATCCTTACATGTTTTTGCGACGGAGGTCTAATAATAACACTTATAAGTGTACATTTTGTTTTTGAAGTTATATTCAATACAACTTCCAGTAGACATAATTATATAGAAAAATAATATGATATGGGTAAATACAATTCACGATATCCTTCCGATTCCGCATTTCATTTACTCCGGCAGATCTTCAGTAAACAAACAAAATGATCAATTTGATAATAATTGAAACACGTTTTTATTTTCAGTTACAGGGTGAGATACAGTTTTGTTGTCTCTTTATTATGTTCCAACAGCTCATTTTCTGTTGTTTCTTTTTGACATGCTCTTTTATCTTCGCTTGTGACTTTCGTAAAATATTTGGCGCGCGTGGTCCATTTCGACTTAGGGCGTGGTAGCTTCAGGTCGTTTCTGCGTTGGTCTGTACCAGGTAGTAGCACAGTTTTCAGTCGGCGGAGGTCCAGTTTTACGTTATTACTAGTCAACTCCGCTTTTATTAGTGTGTTATCGGCAGTATTTCTTGTTTATTATTATTGTACCGTTGCCAAATATTTCGTATTCAGTGGACAAGATCTCTTCTATGGAAAAACCTACCTTTAAATATCTTAGATAATAATTCCACCGAATAGATTATTTTTTTAGGGAGATTTGCTTGAAGCAAAGCTACGCGCATCCGCTCAGAACTAAAGACTAGTCTTTTGAACAAATTTTAATTTATTTATTCATCTATCTACTTTTTTGCCACCATGTGTGTGTAATATGTTTGTGTGTATATATATATGTTCAAGTATTGCTTCCTATGCTTTTTAATTTTGTGATTAATGTTGTTTTGCTACGTGTCTTTCGTGACGTTAATCTTTGTGTATACACATGGCATCGGGTATCTGCGAATCAAATTTCGCGGTATGATTTGTTACCCTTTTCATTTGTTTAGAAGAACATAATTTTTTCATATTTATCCCGTGAAATGGTGGTAGATATGGCAAGCCTTGGCTTGGAGCCGGTCACCTGGCCGTATCTGGTGTGGTAATAGTTAATTGGTTTTTTGTTTCGGATGTATAAACTTCATAGATATTGGGGGGACCATAATCGGATCTTTTGTACAATGCCCCCGCCAAGGCTGAAAATAAGAAATTTGGTAATGATTCAATTGGGTTATGTAGTTTTTTTGTTAATCAATCGAAGTCCAGCAATCATAATTACCCCACACGGGGTTTTAATCCGCGCAGGGTAATCAGCGGTGCAGCGACAAGCGTGTTCCTATCGCGCATCAAGATGCGACGACCACAAGGTCTGACGCTGAACAACAAGAAACCTGTAATCCAGGTCGAAGTGAGGTGGAACTGGTAATTTTCTTATTTCGTACTACTCGGTAAGTTTTTGAAATTATTTTGCATGGTAAACACAATACATACTTCGTAACATTTTTATCTAATCACAGGTATAATGAGCGACGAAAAGAGTGAAACCACTGCTTAGGATCGCGACTGATCTTTGTAACTGCTGGACAGGTTCGTTGTTTATTAAATTAAACTGAATATTATTTTATTGATTATTTTTAAAAATTTCCATGAACTGTACCAGTGCTTTGCTTAATGGTTTGGGGTGTTTCTCTAATAGTGGTTCTCAAACGGTGGGGCGCGCCCACAAAGGGGGGTAGACAATTTTTTAGAGGGCGTGCAGCTAAGTGAAAAATAAATATTTATTAGATTTGATCTTTCCCGTCGTATTTTGGGTATTCGCATTTATTTATCTTGGATATTCACGTTCCACCTACCCATTGTCAATCCATGTATGTCATTTGTAGCTTTTTGTTAGCTAGTCATTTTTGAGGTGGGGCGCGAGACTTAAAAATTTTAAAAAGAGGGCGCAACTCAAAAAAGTTTATAAATCATTTTTTTTGCATCGAGAGGCTTTATGACTTTCATTCTAATTACAGGGCTGAAGAAAAAAGAACACTTCGTCGCTGAAGATCGCCTCCTTTGTAAGAGAGGGAGGGGCTGGTCGAAGTGATCGAAGATAGATAAAATCGTCGGAGGGTATTAATACATTTTGTTTAATCTTCTCTCTAGTCCTTTTTTTCTTTATTTGTGCTATTTATTTCACCGATAATACATGGGCGCGCCTTTTTGTCAATAAATATGAGCATTGCTATCTTTTGCTTAGCAAAGCATATAAGTTAAGCAAATAAACTCCAGATGTCTTATAATTTTTTAAATCTAATTACAGAACTCTAACGACGGGAAAGAAAGTGAAGATAAATCGATGTTTCGAAATGCCAAATCTGATGATGGCGACTGATCGAAGTGAGTGAAGAGGTGTTGTTTGTTTCCAATTTACCTTTTCTGCTCAATTTCTGACAAGGGCGACCAAACATACGGCACCAACGCAATTCTGGTTAATGGAATATTTTATTTTAAGTCGCGTAATCTAGCGATTCTTCCACGATGCCGAGGAGTCCAGCGATCTTCTCGCTACGCCGCGGGAAATCCAGCGATCTTCTCGCTACGCCGCGGGAAATCCAGCGATCCTCTCGCGACGCCGCGGGAAATCCAGCGATCCCCTCGCGACGCCGCGGGAAATCCAGCGATCCCCTCGCGACGCCGCGGGAAATCCAGCGATCCCCTCGCGACGCCGCGGGAAATCCAGCGATCCCAACGCGACGCCGGAGAGTCCAGTTTTGGGAGTTATATTTTATACCTAACCAAATTACTACTCTTACCTAGGTGACGGACGTGGTGTTACCAACGCTTACCACAAAGCGTCAACCGTCATGCACCTGGTTTCAGGGTGATAATATCAGTACTGCTCAACAAAATTAACCAATCCATTCGAAATTCAACTTAGATGTGCTTTTTTTGCTTAATTTGTGTATGATTGATTTTTACTAGTGGAACACTCGTCTAAAACCTTCATTTATATTCAAGACATATCAAGAGAATATGCAAGATCTAAGAGGGCTGCTGAATGATCACTTGTTCTGGACAAAACTACGTTTGGTGAGTTTTATATTTTCTATTTTCTAGGACGAGATTGTTCATACTTGAATTGGATTTTTGTCAACTACCCGGATTTTCACCTTAGTTCGTTGTTTTGTGTGTTTGTGTGTGTGTGTGTTTTGTCTGGCATTTACCACAATTTTGTTATCAAGAATTGACTTTTATCGAATATCGAAATGTGTGTGTGTGTTTTGTCTGGCATTTACCACAATTTTGTTATCAAGAATTGACTTTTATCGAATATCGAAAATTGCACCAGAGTCGAATTTTTTATCAAAGTCGGAGCCATAATACGTTTTTTAAATGACTGTCCAAATTAAAATGAATGAATGACCAAATTAACAAGATTTTATCTTTTGCAGAACCATGAAAGTATGAAAGAGGCGTATTTTAGATGGAATGCTACATTACGAATAATATTACAAAAAGTAAATTAATTATTAACAGATGTTTATCTCTGATTAAGATACTTTTGCACGGTTTCATAACCTCGTGGGTGATTTTCCATAAACTTTTGTGCAACGAGAATGGGCCACAAGAATCAGAATTCAGTTCAGTACATAAATTTTCTCCTCCAAAATTAATAATAACCCTTGCCTTGCATTCTATTATCTATTATATAGGAAATTTTAATCAAAAGCAGGGACACACTGGCCATGAGCTACGGAGACCATAAATCATTAGTGCAGATTTGTGCGTGAGTAAATATTGATGCACGCGAGACACGTAGTTGTTAATTTTATTACGATCAGGAAAACAGCTACCAGATGATAATGTCCCTATAACTTTAAGTTCTTGAGAAAAACATTTATGCATATTTTTTTTTGTCCGGTAGCCGGCGGTATGTTATCCTTCATCTTCAATGTAATACAACTTTGTTTCGTCTATTCGTCAACTTTTCAACGTTTAGTTCTCATCTCAAGATAAAATTCGACAAAAAATCCAAAGCGATTGCAAAAACTATTTTGTTGCGTCGCTCTGACATAAAACTTGCTTTCACATGTGCAAATTTTAAAAGATCATAAAATAGTGATTTGAAAAGGAAGTAAAATTCCCTACCTTAAAAAACGACGTTCTTCTCTGGCGCAGGGACATCCGTGACATTAATGAATCCTTTGTTTTACTTATTTCTATAAAGATATCAAAAAAGTGTTTAATTATGGTATTATCTCCAGTTGATCACCCCGCCCACGACTTGACTCTCATGCCATTAAATCATATGTTGACTTCAGAAAATAACGTTGGTTTAACGCAAGATAGATTTTTAATGCGAATAATAATATTTACCAATTTCACTGTTTATGAAGTCTTCTTAGATCAGTTGAAGCTCGAGATTTACCGCCATATTACCCCGCACTCAATAAATACAAAAACCCCGACTTCGTACATGCTGAGCCATCAGTCTACATGTACTGTTTATTTTTTCATATTGTTATAGCATATACAATTTTATTATTAACTAATAATTCATTCATTTCAGGTGCCTATGAAGAAACGTGAACAGAGCTTGGTGATGGAAGATGCTGCTGACTCAAATTTAAAATGTGTTTGCAATATTTAAAATTTTTCCTGCTCATTTCGGATAGGATTTTTATATTTATCACAAGCATAACTTAAGCAGATATGACGAACCACGCCTTCTCGTCCGGTCCAAGTACGTTTCGAGTGTGGCATAAACCAGTTTAATTGTTTCGGATACAGGGACTTCTCAAACTTTAGTGTGACCTTGTATGTTCTTATATTGATTTTACTACAGATCGTTCCATCTGTTGGTTAACGGCCATGCGACTGTATTTATGCTTTTCCCAGCATATCGTTATGTAGGCATGTTTTGTGTGCAGTGGGGTTGAAAACAAATTCAAATCATTTTCCTTTACAACCTATATTTGGAAGCTTGGTCTAATTTTAATTATTCCGGATGGTCTGAAATTTGTGACAAACTTGAATGTGCCAAGCAAAAATTCAAGCCGAAGTCCGGGAGTCTTATCCGACTCTTTGTTTTTTCAATGTTAAATTTGTTTAAGACTCCACCGACTAGCTCGCAACAAATTTTATTCTGTCTGTTAGCGTTGAGATAAATTTTACCCATGCACTTTCCGGGGTGAGTAACAGAAATATGGAGATAAGTATTAACTGAAATGAATATTCCCCCTCACCAGCTGCTATTGATTATTTGATTCAACTATATGTTTATTGTGCGATAAACGTTCTATGTGTGCTTTTTCATTAATTTTTTAATAAATATTGGTTGCTAACATTTTTTTATTATTATTATTAATAAATTTACTGTCTTTGCCAATCTACGTACGTAAAGTGTAATTTTTGATATATATTTTTTTTCTCTTGTTTCGTGAATATAACTTCCGAGTGAACTTGAACTTTAATATTTTCGAAATAAAATGTTTCAAACTCTACAATTTCAAAAGCTTTTTACGTGGCTGGGATAGACAGGCAGTAGTATATCGATGGATGACTGCAGGCGCTAGGCGGGGTGGACAGCCAGGAAGAGCGCGTGGGGCGGGCGGGCCCCGCGAGCCGGGTATCCAGGGCCGCGGCCCAAAAATTTTTTATCGCCGGGCAAAAAAAATAAATTTATTATGTGTGGCCATGTATGGGCCGATGATAAATGACACCTTTGTGGTTAGATTTATCTATGGCCATGCTTGATCATGCTTGATCGATGATAACTTTCGAGATTTTGATATTTTGAAGAGTTTGACCTGAGATTTTTGCAGATTTCTGGCATTTTTCGCCACTTTTATAGACCAAAAAACTAACTAAACTCTTCCTTCTCTATCTCTGACGCCCCAGATTGCAACATATATATATATATATCTCAAAATGCGATACCGGATTCGGAACCTTCGACTCTGTACACTCACTTATCACTCAAATCTCAAATGTTGAGTCGTAATTATTTATTGGACGAGAAAAGCAAATAAAATCCAAGAAAGAGTGCCGCCGTTATCCGGTTTAGAAAAGATATCCGGTAATAATTAATAATTACGGGACGAGGAAAAGAGTCGATAATATGAGGAGACGCGAATTTTTTATCCGGGAGACCGGTTACCCTCAATAACAACGGAATAGCGGGCGCCATTTGATCAACCGCAGATTACACTTTACTGGTTACCACGTGCTTGCCCACCAAGTGTCTACTCGCTACTTGCTAAGTCCCATTCTTCTAACTCGAGCACACCATCTCTCAGCCCTAGCTCGGCGGTGTGGCGCATCGTGCTAAGCGCATCTCTATCCCAATCCTATCCTACCTATCCCACCTTTTTTAAAACCGCGGTTTGTAAACTCCTTGCTCTTGAAATAGTGGAACAAGACACAAATCCCAAATTTTCTGTTGTTTATTGTACACATAACGACATAACAAAACAAACACATAAAATTAGCGTCATAAGTGGTGCTTTTCACATGGTTTTTTTACCATGAGCATTAACTTAGCACGACGTTCAAAGGGAATATTGGAAAACATTTGAACCCCAAGTGGCAAGAATTTTACTGTAATCAAGGGTAGGCTATGGAGAAACATCAATATATATTTTTGATAATTGCACGAAAGCCCGGCATGCCAAAAAATAAAGCCACCACTTACTATTTTACTTTCTACAACACAAATCCGTAATTTCACATCTCATGCTGCTATTCCTTTTACAGAATCTAATGAAGAAATGGAGCTTTCCGATCTGAGACCGTCACCTGAAACACGACGAGCATGTTATTCGTTGTCGAACACTAAACCAGGGATGACAAGTCTTAGAAGAGGTTCTAATTGATGTTTACTACGGCTCTACCGACGAGAACCCCAGATTTTATGAATAGTTTAGTAGTTAGTGATTAATCAGTAAGCTTTCTCAGGTTTCTGTCAGTATTTAGAATCTGTTACTATTAAAAGTCTGGAACTTTGGGCGAATCTGAAAGTCGTAATTATGTAAGAGGAGTGCTGGACGCCTCTAGGCCTTAGGTTGGTTCATGTAACCTCTCATCGTCAAAGAGTTTCATTACCATAATGTCCTTGTATAAGGACATTGGAATTACACCTACAGCAGAGGCGTAGCTTAGGGGGGGCAGTGGGGTACATATGTCCCCGGGCGCCAAGGTACAGGGGCGCCAAAATGGGGCTTGCAAAAATTTCACAAGGGTAAAAAATGGTCACAAGCAAGATCGCACCGGCGGCAGACATCTAGTCCTAGTACATGGCAAACTGCACACTTGGTCAGACCACTTACGACTGCCGACGTCATCACGCACATAGCTCGCTCACGGTCAGATTTCCATCGTAATTACATGGCCAAAAAATCTGGCCGGGAAACAAAGCAAAATTTGATTTGGTAACGTTAGGTAACAAAATGCACCGCGTTAATTACGTGGTTCTGTATCGTTAAGTTCTTGCCTGCGCACTCCGATGTAAGTTGATATTAGTACTGTGCTGAAGACAAATGGAAACGGAATTTGGGTGAATGATGTTAATACAGGTTTTGAGTAATACGTGGTTTGGTATTTCGTTGTTGTCAAAGTACCGTACTTTGCGGCAGAGTTACATAAAATATATTATACTGTGCTAAAAGACCCTAATGCCGTTTTCGACAATTCGTCGAGAATGCACAGATTTTGTAAATTTCTACGACACGGACATCAATGGCCACGAACTTTTCACCGAAATTGGAGATTGCAGAATGCTGCTCAGTAACAAAACTGTAGGTCAACCAGAAACTCCTTTGGCTCTTCTTGGTTTTATTGTGTCTTTTGGAGACGACGTTTTACCTAATCTGCGAATCTCTCCACAAATTTTGTTAACAATACCAGTTTCAATTGCAAGCTGTGAACGGTCTTTAAGCAAATTGAAACTTATTTTGTCGTATTCGCGTGCATCAACGGGACAGGATCGTTGTTGAAAGAGAAACATTGGGGGAAAAAAAACAGATTTTGATGACGTGTTAACCAGTTTACGACAGTGAAATTGAAAAAATGAACATTACATTTGAATTTACATATACATATATTTTTGAATAAATAATAAATATATAAATAAATATAAATTTGAATTCACTTATCGTCACGCTAAAAACCGAATTGCGTAAGTCATTTTTGGCGGTTTTGAGTTTTTTCATAAAATAGGTATTTATGTAATGCTGCGCACCTGTCTGTTTACTCAGATTTTATTTTAAGACTTCCAAAACCCATAAAAATAGAGATTTTGTATGATATGCAAATTTGTTCAATTGTTCCGTCATAATGAATTATCTTTGTTTAACGCAGGACTATTGTGACGTCACAAAGGCAAAATAACCTCGGCGAAGGATTTTCGAGTTTTTGTATCTCAGATTCTAGCTTAGCGCCAATAATTTTCAATTTATACTACTGTATAGGAAGGCGTGCACTTGTGATATTCACTGTCTGAGTCCAATTCACCTTGGTTGACTTTTATATAATGGTACATTACTGTTTTATTCTTTATATTTAACTTTAGTCTTATTTCGGTGGATGTGCAGAGCGTGTTATATTGATGAAATATATATTTTTAAACATAAAAAATAATGTAATTGAAACAGATTAGCTATTTTGGATTGTTTGGTTTTCAGGACTGGTACATATAGTCAAGTTGCAAAATTGCGTATGTCCCAGTGCGCCATTATGACGTCACATGACTGCGTCATACAAATTAACTTAAATCCGGCTACGATCAAAAAGTTGAACTATGGCAAATTAATGGCATAGCAGTATCATTAGGAAGTTTTTTTACGTTTTCCTCAAAACAGCTAAATATGACTTACGCAATTCGGTTATTAACGTGACGATATATAATTTGTTTTTACATATACAATTAAATGCAATAGAAAACATGATTAAACGTGGGGGTCGGGGCGCCAATTTTATATTTTGCCCCGGGCGCAAAATATCCTGGCTACGCCTCTGACCTACAGTCGACATATATGTACTGGTAACTGTTAGTGGTGCGCTTTATAAGCCAAATTTATTTTCCTCGTTGATAAATACAAAAAACCTACCTGATAATGGTATTAATTCCGTCCGAAAGTGCCGTCTCGATATCCTCACTTTCATAGTCTTAAAGCTCTGCAAGTCGAACAGCAGACACATGATCAGATTGATGATTATAGTCATTCCTCATATGAACCAGTACCTGAAGGAGACACAGAAGTTCACGATTGACCTCTCCCCGACCTTTGACCCCCTAAAAAATCTTCATATATTTTACCATTGCAAAATATTCGGGGCTTATTTTTTAAGAGTGGTTTCGCAAGTTGGCGCCTGTAAAATGGGGTGTTTGTTTCAAACCATCATTATAATTCATCGTATACAACAATCTGTCTTTTAAAAGTACCGGTAAAGAATTACAACAATTTTTTACTACCGCAATTAAATTTAACTTCTGAGAAAACAGAGTGATCATTGAATTATCTGATTTATATTTGAATTTCTGAAACACAACCGAAAACTAATGGATAGAGTTAAAAAAAAACGAAAACGAGGTAATGTTTACGACCACGCCTGAAAATATGTCTGGGTGAGAAAAGTGTCTGAGCGGATGCGAAAAAGGAGCATTGTTACGTCACTTTTTGAATCTTGCTGATTGACCAAGGTCACTAAGTAAACATAAAGTCGATGCTCGGGGAAAGGTCCATCGTTTGTTAGACCACAATTTTAATTCTTAACAAATCTGATGGGACCCAGTTTTAACTTTCTAGTAATATTAGAACGCATCAACTCAAAGAAAGCTCGACGAAATGTAGCCCGCGGACAAAAAACAACTACGTTTAAAACTTTAAAATTCGCAAAAATTTGAAAACAGGGCCCCGGATGAAAGTCCGAATCTCGGTCCAGCCAAAAACGAAGATAGTTGATTTTATTTATCACTGGAGCCAGGGTCAAACTTTCCAAAGTTGGCGGTAAGAATTTTGAGTTTCGACTAGCTACTATCACTGGAACCAGGGTCAAACTTTCCAAAGTTGGCGGTAAGAATTTTGAGTTTCGACTAGCTACTCCACAGCAATGCTTAGAACCGTGATGGTTTTAATTCTCATCATTACAAAAAATGGCGACCCCAGTCATAAAATGTTACTGCAATTCTGCCATTTGTTATTAATTCATAATTAATATACTAGCAAAGAAGACAAACCAAACTCTTATATTGGACATTTCTCTTCAGTCTTAAATCAACACAGGCACCGCCATTCCAGTTGCCTAAATGTAAATTAGAGTGTATTTGACTATAGAGAAATGCTAGAGCACATGGACACTAAGGTGCAAATCAGAAGTAATATAATTCCTTAGCTGAACACACTAACACAGCTTGTCGAAAAGATCGTACACTGTGCCGGAAAGCTACAAAGTAATGGTATTCTAGATGCTTCAATCACATTTAAGTACGGGAAATTTGAAATCGATTGCAAGTTGAGTGGAGTGTATTTGACTATAGAGTAATGCTATAGCATATGTATATATAGCTATAGCATATATAGAGTAATGCCTAAATGTAAATTAGAGTGTATTTGACTATAGAGAAATGCTATAGCATATGGACACCAAGGTGCAAATCAGAAGTAATATAATTCCTTAGCTGAACACACTAACACAGCTTGTCGAAAAGATCGTACACTGTGCCGAAAAGCTACAAAGTAATGGTATTCTAGATGCTTCAATCACATTTAAGTACGGGAAATTTGAAATCGATTACAAGTTGGGCCAAAAAATGGACTAAGTGTTTTCAGAATGCTCTGCTCAGGCAATTTAAATGCTTGAGTTCTGACTTCGATTATCACCATCAAGTGTCTGAAATCCAGTCTCCGAAGAATTCACTATGGGAAGTTTGGAAATACGATTCCTACTAGAGCCTCACTATCGAGAAGGGATTTGCTGTGATTTCATCATTAGTATTATATCGTCGGAAAAAGTTTGAATTGTCAGTGATTTAATCATTATGGTTCTTTTAGCTTGAGTTGAGTAAACGTTACTCAAGTAATAGTGCAAGATAGGTATCTATATTTATATACGACTGAACTGCAATGATTTTGTTATACAAAAAGCTTACCATTGATAGCCGTTCCTTGTGGTTTATCTTTAAATTCGCCCATGCAGGTCCCCGTGCAAACTGATGGGTTCTTTAAAATTTCAACCAGTCGTCTTTCATTTCTCCATTGCATACTTCCAATTTTCGTTTGATTCATTATCTTCCATTTGCACTAGGGCCTACAAAAGGAATTGAGACTTAATATTCACTGTTTTATATTTATTATATATCTGCTTCAGCATGTTGATTCTGCAGCTAATTATTCCGAATATATTTTAAAATGATTTTTCTATTATAACACATATTGATATTAAGACTAAGTAATTCAGCCCGAATGGAAACAAAAATTTCATTCTGACAACCTCACTCATGATGTAAAAAATTGAATTGAAATGCTGATCCAAAAAGATTCTGGTCGTTTCAAAATAGCTGTTTAGTTTAGTAGCAGAATTAAAATCATGTAAAAACGCTGCACAAGAAACTGCATACCTGTAAAACAGTATGGTCGTCTGGACATGCAAAATGGGACCTTCGTCAATGTCTTTGATTTACCACAGAGGCACAGTCATTAATCTTATATTATAGTATGGCCTAACTGAATTCTTAATTTAATAGCCACCAAATCGCCTTCCCTGCTCCATCGCTGTAATTCTCAATGTTCAACATTGTCTGTTTGCTTGCATCCCAAAACAGTTCGCACTCCGCATAAATGAAAATTGTAGTCAAAACTAATATTTAGTTAAGATATAATATGAAGCTAAATAAAACACTGAAAAGGAAAAAGCAAAAACGTATATATTATCATATTCAACTATTCAATATATGAATTTAAATGCATTTACATCAATAGATGTTGTTCTGCACATTGAATCTTCTAGTAGTGGTTCCCAACCTTTCAGTGCTATCAATGACATTAAACAACATGATAGGCAACTCTGACGTCACTCCGTAAGACTACAGGCAAAACATTGTATTTCATGATACGCTCCAATGCACATATTTCTCGTCGCCTTTCGCGTCCGTTTTCCGCTCGCTTTTGCTACTCGGCGTCGTTTTTACGTGTAGTACCTGCCTTTTTGCGCCTGTAACGAAACAAAATAATCTCTATATCTAAGAAGTTTTGCTTACTTGGAAAGCTGGAGTAACAGGCAAGCTGTAAAGAGCAATTCTGGACATCATAGACGTTTTTTTTATCAGAGAAGATTACAAACGCGATAGCGGAAAGATTTGTGTGGAACATTTTGCAGATAATAACAAAGTTCAAAATTGGTAATTTTAATGTTTGCGCTTAATCATTGAAATTTCATTTAAAGAGGGTGTCATACAAAACTGTGCTGCGATACAATTCCATAACACAAAGTTTGCACCCATCGAACTTGCTTTTGTAGGTGAATTTATTAGACATATTACATATTCAGTTAATCGTAGGTAACATTGCTGGTACATAATGCATCGTAGATAGGTTTGTTTAAATTTAGGAATTTAGCTCATAGCCCACTAATTAATATTATCTTCTATGCAGGATGTTGCAGGGCTGAATTCAACTTGCAGCCTTACCGATCACCTGACGATGCTCATTTAGTTTGGCTCGAGCAAGTCTTCTTGAAATGCTTGTGTGGATGGAAACTACCTATATTTTTTGCCTTCCTCCGATTTTAGACAAATTTACTCTGAGGGATTTCGCATATAATTCTCACTGATTGTTGGCTGTTTATAATTTCTATTGATTGTGAATTCTGATTATAACAATGAGTTGAAAATTTTTTTACCTAATTTACTGGCACCTTTTTCTTGTCAATACTCCAAGCTGAGGTAATAAACATGACAATACATTTATGTCATCTGGAAGCAAAATATGCACACTAATTAATAGTTTGGCACATTGAGATAATACATCATGACAGAAAATACAAGTTAAAGATATGTATGACCATCACATGGTATTAAAATTAAAAAAAAATTAATAGGGGCTGTGGAGTATGGAAAGTTCAAGACGAAGAAAAGAACAAATGTTCATAGCTCATGAACTCTCAATTTTGCCTCCATTGCTTTGTGAAGGCCAATATATTTCGAGTGGCTGAATTGGTTTACCTTTAGATAGCAACGATTTTGTATTTAATATAGCGAGATTATTTCAATTTAATTAAAGTGATAGAATTTCCCAAAGCAATGCTTGAATCGTCTAGAATAGATCAGTGGTGTCAAGCTCATGGGTTTTCGAGAGCCGCATTGCATTTTGAAAATTGTAAAAAGAGCCGCAAACAGTTTTTGATAATGTATACTTAAAAGATATTTTTAAGATAGTTTTAGTTTGTGACATATATTGTGATGCAACTAAACAGTTATATTAAGTTTTATTATTTTCTTCAATTTCAAATGCAATTACATATTAATATTTGCATTCCACTATTATTGCAACATTTGCAAGTTACAGTATTTATTATAAAAAATCGTAAAATTCTATGTACAACCATCAAAATCATTTTTGAACAAGCTTTGAATAAGGAAAGAATAATACATACACTAAAAATAACTTAATCTAAATATATGAACCTAAAATTAACAAAAATACTACAGTATAAACTCAATGTTTTAATAATTACATTTGTCCTGGCGTTTGGCATCTTTTTTGTGTCACCAGCATACTAAGGCCAGTCTGAAATGATTTTATAGTACCAACTCTAACTAACGAGGCCACATGATCATGGGTTTATCTGGATCTTTACGAATGTTTAATTAATTCCAGTAATGCAGAAAAGTTACTTTTATCATTTCATGTATAGATCAGTAAAAAAACAAATGACAGATTTTTTCGACAAGACATTTCGCACTATATTGCGTGGCATAGGATTGCTTGAATTATTATTGATATTGATTTTTAGTAACTAAGTCGTTGTATAATTATATTAATATACAAACACATGGAAATTTTCTGTTTGAAGTTGGTCTTCGAATTTGTCATATTGACTGCTGAGCTTATTGTGTTTTTTGATTGTATTGACGGAAATATGACAAATTAAACAATGTGCTTCAGAATTTTGTGAAGAGCGGAAATGTTACAACTCCCATTTTCTTCGAAAATGCCACCTTCTTCATGTACTTTGCGTTTAATTTAATTACTCAAGTGTTTTATTCAAGTATTCTTTTGCTAGCTTGATGTGTATTCTTAATTGGGTCAAAATGTGGACAAAAAAATTAATATTCCTAAACTACTTTCAGTAAATTGTTTTCTGTGTGAATAATCAATTTCACTTTAGAAGGTTTGAAAAATCTATTACATTTAGATAAAAAAAAAAAAACTTCAGAAATACTATTACAATTATTGTTAAGCGTTCGAGGGCCGCACTGGAAGTTCTCTGGGGCCGCGAGTTTGAGATCCCTGGTCTAGATTGAAGTTGTTCAAAAAATATATGATAGTATTTTATCATGAATGATGATTATAACCCTTCCGGAATTTCTTCTATAGTACTACGAAAAGTTGATGAACCAAATATAACACAGGTGCAGTGAGGTACCCGTAATCCTCATTTCCAAAGCTGTTTTAAGTATGTCTGGCGTGTTTTGTGCCTTTTTACAAATAAGACCGCTTATGCAATCTTACACTTTGGAATTTTTAGTTATTTTCCTCAAGCCCTGCAGGATGTGGGGGCCATACACAACTCTACCGGAGGGTCAAATGTCTTTGCATGCCTCCATAGGTTGTTTTCCTATTGCAATTTTCTATTTTCAATTGCATTATATTTCTTGGAATCACACTGTCACTGATATGTCGCCAGACTTCGGATATCTCCCCGTCTGCTATAGTTGTCCTGTGAATAAATAATAGGAAATTGAGATTAGACGAATAGTTGAAAGTTTTGCTTTATGTCGGCTTAATTTCTTGATTGATATACTTACTATTTCTGCTATTGCCTCTTGTGCTGCAAGAGTCTCACAATGCTTAGACAGGTTTGTCCACAACTTTCACATCTGAAGAAAGAGAGGAGATTTATTAATTTTCGTTAAGAATAAATAAAGCAGTCTATATGATTCAGAATGGAAAAGCTAATAAATCCAATATCTCATGTTTTATTTAAATAATATTTTACTGAATTTGGTATATAAACCAACTAATAAAAGGGTTTAGTCAGAAAATTACAAGCATTCGTGGCTCCAAATACTTGAGAAATCAGACTATACAATATAGACCTGTATGAGTGAAATGTTAGGTGAACTTGTTAACACTTTGATTCAACACGCAAATAAAAGTGAATGCGTAATAGTATGTTACAATGAGCAGCAATCAACAATGAGTATATATCCTCACTGATTAAAAAATCTAACTGGAGGTGCATGAACTATTTGAAACCATAAGGGGTAAGTAAATATGTAATTTCGGCAAATGGGCAACTACGTGCCGTACTGAATTAATAACTTCGTAGTATTTGACAAAGGCTGGCTTTCCCACATGTACTTAACAGTGCGATGCCCGGGTGTGATATACAACAATAGTATTCACCTTACCTTTTACCGATTTCTTTTTACCCCAACTTTCAAAAATATCATTAAAATCGACAACAACTGTCAAAGCAGGCACGAACACCATTCGTGCTACGCCTTGAAAGCAGCACACATCCGCTCGTTTTCGTCTCGTCAAGTATGTGCATTGGAGCGTGCTATCGAATACGATCTTCGGACAAAAATGCCGGAGTTGCGCATCATGTTGTTTAATGTCATTGGTGCTATTGACACTTCTGAGGATATACATGGACTTTGTGGATCCCCTTTAATCAAAATTAGTAAATACTTTTATCCGTCTTGAATTTGGGGGGTCATATAATAATGTGCGATGTCGGTAATTATTTTAAACGGGATGTGAAAATTGGTTGATGATTTTAAACGTTGGGAATCACTGTTGCAGTAGAACCACTGATGCCACACTGCCATATCTAAGTACAAGAGAGCGATGCTCAAATATATGGACACGAATATCAAAATGAAATAGTACGGTTATGCAATTTGCCACAGTAGACTATCGGCAACGCGGAGTGCAAAATTTTTGATGACATCATCGCACACAAAACACGTATCCCATAGGGCCCACAAAAATTTTTGAAATAAGAAGTAATAGCCTTCTAGGGAATCTTCAGCAACTGAAACTTTCAAAGCAATTGGTCTAGTAGTTATTTTCAATAACAATAAAAAGAAAAATACCAACAAGCGCAACAACCTAATAAAACGATCCATATAAAAATTTCGCGTCCAAAAACTCTGATATTGTAAGATATATAAAAGGTGATACACAGTGATTTAATCATAATGCTCGCATTATTTAACATAGAGAGTCCATGGAAACAAATATATATATGTAATTATGTATTCTATATTAGACTGTGTCACTGTAGGCTACCTTATTACCCCTTGATTTCAGAGACATGGACTTGATGGTGGTGGAAGCCCAGTCTGGATCTTCACAAGTCATCATTTCAACACATAACGGTACCGATATACCGGCAGCAGTCGATGCCCATTCAATCTTATACTACATTACTATGGCTTAACTGAATTCCTAATACAACATCCATCAAGCTACAAGTCAATGTTCCACCCCGATAGTTTCCAAAGTCAAAATCTTGTTTGCGTCTAATCAGTTTGAATAAATACGATCCAAACTTCAATATTTAGCGATATACGGTTATATATTATAATAATGCATATGCATTGTACTTACGATTCTTAGTTGTTTTATCTTTTACATATTCTTGTTCTCAATCCAATCCATTTGTTTACGCCTTCGTGTGCAGATGTCACCAATCAGTATTTTAATACTATATTATAGCCTAACTGCATAAGTAATTATCTTTAACTAGTATATTACATTTTCCGTTTTCTTTCACAACTTTGACACCTGCGATCCAATTCACTCCGTAAACATTAAAACCAAAAATTGATGATCTTAATCTAACTGCATTAGAATAGGTGCTAGGAACTTAGAATAATATTGCAAGGAAAAAAAAACACTGAAATATAAAAGGATTAGTGAAACTTGGATGCGCACAATCGTTAATTAAAAATAATAATACAAAAAACAACCACAAAGAAAAGAGTTAGGAAGGAGAAAACATGCTGACCCGAGGGCTTGGTATTTTGCCATCAGGATACATGTGCCAGTAACTGAAACACTTCTGCAAGTATTAGGCAGCTGGGAACCCTCGACTGAAATATGAGGTTTAACCGCAACTACGTAATACAACTACTACCATACGCCAAGCCTATTGTGGAACGATTCCAGTGTTTTGAAACGTCTTGTCTCTTCGACCCAAACAAATAAAATAAAGCACCAACAAAATTAACTGTTTTCTGATTGCCAATCAATCGTTTATCGTGATCGCCCCAAGGTCGTAATGATTAGTAATGATGATACTGATAACAAACTTCGAATCATTATTTTCTCTTTATTTGTGCATTCTACTATAGATGCGGTGTTAAATTGAACAGTGTAACAACCCTTGTATACAAATCAAACAGCCAAATTGGTTATATATATCTTATACCACAGCCCAACGTTAAAAGTTCTATATGAACTTTTACCTGGGCAAAATTTATAAGATTGTTGACATATTTTGGCCTTTAGCAAATCTAGCGCCAAATCCATTTCGTGGGACTTATTCCAGATATCCATACTTACTTTCTTTCACAGAACCTGGGACAAGGACCTGTCATTCTTTGATTATTTTATTAATTTGTACATATCGTAGTTGAGTTTTACCCGTATGTCTTTGATATTTCGTGCATATTGTCCAATTATAATGTAACATTAGTCTTGAACTACTGTTATAATGTGAATAGTAGCCTACGTATCACACAACTGCGTCTTAGGTCAGCTCAGGCCAGGTCTTTTACATGTATATTGCTTCTGTTATCTTGTTTATTTAATTCATTTATTATTATGCAGATGTTGTTAAATTTTGAGGCAAATAAACACCCATGATATGTAGCGAAGAACAGAAAAAGAGACAGGCAGTCAGTCACTCGTTTCTTTACCCCAGAGAAGTGGTTCCCCTCTTAAAAGTATCATCAAGTAGCCCAACCACCAATACTATAAAACCAATGAACTTTATATCTTTTTATAAACATCCATTTCAAATTTCAGTCATCTGCGACAGCGCATGTGGCGTATTATTAAATTCCCATGGGGAAAGGACTAAATTTTTGACCTAATTTTATTCAAAAAATATCGATCGGGTTCTGAACGTTAGAAAAAATCGATGAACGATTACTATCGTACCACATAAACCCCATAGATAATCTATACGTGAGACGCATTTCATATATGGGCCTTCATCTAAATTGAAATCTACATAACCGTCTGGCAAAACCTGAACCACATCCTCTAATGCTATCCTGTGAGATCGTTGTTGTTAGCGGTGGAATACCATTCCATGACGAAATAAGATAATTAACCGGATTTAAACACTGATTACGTGCATTTGTCCACCCCGTGAATTTTAGAATTTAAATTATATATAAACTCTCCAATCAATTATTGATTTCCTATGTCCACCTCAACCGTTCATCATAAGCTCTCGACTAGTAATACCAAACAATCTTGTAATCCATGACATAATACACCAAGCATATGTCGATATTCAGAATTGTGATGACAATATAGTTGTGCGTGCACATATACCACTTTACGCTTGCCAGCTTCTGATTGGATAATACGAAACCAGACGCAAACCTAACAACCAATCGTGCCGTGTCATACCAGAGACAAATTTGGTTAAAGTTTATTACCGGTATCTCTGCATCTAAGCATCTGTCGATATTCAGCATATCCTAACTTATAAATTTTTAAAACAATCCCAGATCTCTTGACCAATAAACTGGTTCAGCATAAACCCAACCCAACAACCATTCGCGACAAATCAGACAAATTTCTTGGTATGATGGGTGCTTAGCATCTATTCATATTCAGCATAATAACCTTCTGGAATGGTTGATGCAAAACCAGACTTAACTGGTTTAACTATAACCAAACCAACAACCAATACCAGACACAAATTCTCAACATTTTCAAAGCAGCTATCATATTCTATCAACTGGTCAGGAAAATACCAGACCCGGAACCAAAATTACCATAACCAGACACAAATATGGTTATCACTTGGTGTATTTATACAATCACAACGAATAAATAAAAAAGATGATGAACGTGGGTCAAACAATACATGATGTAGAGAGTGTAGTACTTTATAATAAAGTTCCAAACGGCGATTTTCTTTACCATAACCATTTGTTTTTCAATAAAAACATATCTTAAATTGATATAACCTCAACAAAAACAAAAATAAACTCATTTCATTCTAAACCAATCTCAAATTGAGAAAAAATATTTAAAAGTATCCTTAACCATGAGTGGTAGTATAAATGAAGTATAAGCCATAACAAACATCAATTAAGGAGCCAAATCCTTTAGGAGATTATTAACTGGACGAATATTTTTTCAATTTTTTTTCTGTCTATTTTGGGGGACAAAAAGGTACAGCGGAAAGAGAGTAAAAACAAGAAAAAAATTAGCATAATATGAAGTATTCTTCAATTTTCTTCGTAGACATATAAAATGATAAAGTTAGAGCCATCCATACAACCAGTCGCACAGCATTACAGAGCCTGCCCATTAACATTGACAAGAGGATTAAGAACATTGGACAAAATCTATACTGTTGAAATTATTGAATAATTTAGTGAAATTTATAGTAATTCTATGCAACAAAGGCAAGAAAACGAATATATTCACACATTAGAGATAAAAATCTCAATACGGCCAATATGAAATTTTTTCGATCAACAAAGCAATGGTACTGATAAAGGTATTTAACCAACATTATTCCCTATAATGTGCGACGAATGGCAACACACACCATATTAAAGTGCTTGTAAACCAGGTGGTCGAGTTAACTATGAAACAACGCTACAGAAAAAGCACATATATCAATCAAATAATTTTGTACAATAATCGTACCATATCAATGAAATGACATGAACGAATAAACATGGTGCAACTCGAAAAGCAGATGACAGACGATATATTGAGTTAATTAAAGGTGTTAGTAAATTAGTAGAGAGCAATAGTCGTGGCATTACCATACAGTCCAATGCATACGGTAATAATTCAAATCTGGGTGAGACAGGGGTGCTCATTTTCTTTCTAACTATTCCCAACTAAATACAATTTCGAATAATGTAAAAGTATTTGTTTCAAGGCCAATTCATTGAAAAATGCCGAACTCATGCACCCATATCGAAAAAAAAAACTTTTTTTTGCCATTTTTTGTGCATCATATTAATTTTGAATTTGAAAATAAAATTGTCATAATGTGATAACTTTCAGATAATAAAAAGGGAATTTTTGGGAAATGATAATTAGTCAATTTAGCATTGAAGGAGTGATTGACCACCAAACGAGTACTAAACACTAAATTACACACCGTCCTATACCACAAAGACAAGAATATGGAACATGAATATATCAACCAATAGGATGAGTGCCTACTGAAGCATAACAGAAATTTGAATTTTTAACAACCAATAGGACAATTGCTCATTGAAGCAAGACGAAACTTGGTTTTGATCAACCAATAGAGTGAGTGCCTATTGAAGCATGACAAAAACTCATTTTTGAAAAAAAAAGAGGTTAGCATAATAATTAATTATTGCCAAAATGAAGGGCCCTTCCAAAAACATGATTGGACGTTACATGAACAATGACAAAATGATGGGATAAGCAGTATTCTTATTAGTAGATTAATTCATATAAGGCTAGAGAAATAACAGGCCTTAAAATATTAACACACTGGTACGTTCTAATGGGCATGATCTCTGAAATAAAATAGGGAAAAACCTTGAAAAACAATAACACTTGAATTGAAAAATGGAGGTTTTCCTTATTTTGAATATCTGTTTATTCTAGACTTCGAGAAAATTGTTGAAATGTTTATGAAGACAATCAAATTATACGACCCATGTTTCAATGTTTTTTTTTCAATTGAGGAAGTAAGATTTTATGCATTGAATAGTCCGTGTATTATCATGATTTTATGGCCAATGGTTTTTTAGCATCATATCGTAAATTCTATTTGTGGGTAGACTTCCAAATAGAGTAAAAAAAAGTAAAAAATAAGTAAGTACAAATACGTGGATGACGTTTATACAGCATCAGCTACAAAAATAAATTCCTGCCAGGTAGGGGAATAACGATAATAACGACAATGATGACAACAACGTGCGAGAATAGCGAGAGAGACACATATAATAATGCAACAGTACAAAATGGAGAAAAAGCAAAAAATATCCAATGGTATTTACAAAAAAAATAGTTGTTTATGAGAATAATAAATCCGAAATATGTCCAGTCAAAATGTGGACACAAATTTGCTTGTTGTATGATGACAACTTTCCTAAACTCACTCGAGTAGAGAAAGAGTAACTTCTCTAGAATGAATAATTTTCCTAAAACTCACTGAAGTAGAGATAAGTAACTTGCCTAAAACCCACTTGAATGAAGAGTGACTAATTAATTACCCTAAAACTCACTCAAGTGGAATATGAGTAACTTCCCTAAAACTCACTCGAAAGGAAGTGAGTAACTTCTTTAAAACTCACTCGATTTGAGCATGAGTAACTTCTCTAAAACTCGCTCGACTGGAGAATGACTATGATGTAATTTACTTAAAAATGTTGAGAAAAATAAAGGGTTTCAATTGAGTAGAATTCTCGATTCACTACAATTCATATGTCGACATCGAAAATATCTTTGCTGCAAAAAATATATAGGCAGTAGTAACGGACTTGTAGTACATATTGTTGGTTGAGTGAACTACCCGTTCTTACATACAGGTGGAAACATTTCAACACAGGGCAACAATTACCTGAAAAAGAGTAGAAAATATGAGAAAACCTAATAGATATAGAGTTGAACACGGAGAAAAACAATTTCAGAAAATTATCTTGAGAATGGTCATATTAATGAAACTGACAAGCAGGAATCACTTGCAGTGAATAATTTGCTAATCGGAATTAATTTTGAAATAATATTTTTAAATAAATTATATCAAATATTGGAAAGAAAAATAGTATTTACTTATCAAAACTTTTCAGAAAAGCCCACAATCCTTCAAGTTGTTTTTGATGATGACGTCAGTGACAGCGTCGAATACAAACTGAATGTTGTTTGTGTCGGTAGCACATGTGAAATGTGTGTAGATTTCCTTGGTGTCCTTGCGTTTGTTGAGATCCTCAAACTTGAGCTGGATGTAAGCGGCTGCCTCTTCGTATGTGTTAGATCCTGTGATTATGAATATTATTTTGTATAACTCGAATCTAAGAACTACTTTTTAATTAGACCTACCGATATACATTAATTACGCTCAATTTTAGAATCAGTTTGAGTGAGTTTTGAGCAAAAAATTTGAGAATTCGAGATAAACCTGGTTTGTTTTGCCTCCTTGCATCTGCGTTTGTTGGTAAGATTTTTGAGGGAGTTATGCAATAAGATATATACATTAAATACGTATAATTCTAGAGTCAATTTTTGAGTAAGTTTCGAGCAAAAAATTTCAAAATTTGAGAAATAAACCTGAGCTGTCTTGTCTTTTTACATTTGATTTACTAGTTCGTCAAATTTTGAGCAAGTTTTGAGCGGGAAATTTGAGATTTTAGTAAAAACTCGATTTGTTTTGCAAACTTGCCTTTGAGTAAGTACCTCAATTTTTGAGTGAGTGTTGAGTAGCAAATTTGAGTGAAATTTCCAAAAATGATATAAACATTCAAGTATTACAAATTCAAATTCAATAGTTTTCATTAAATCATTCTGACGTCAAGTATAAGTCAGCCAGGAATGTGGAAATTCTATAATACAGCAGACAATAATCAATGAATATTGACAGAAATGTCTGAGGAATTTAAGCACGAATGATATTCGGAGATAAATACAGTAAAAATAAAGCAGTTACATATATTGAAAATACAAGTCACTAAAAGAAGTTCAATGATTATATCAGACTACCTCATATTTGCATATTCAAATAGCATTTCAAATTTCAAACATTATAGATTTGTCTATTGAACAGAACAGCATCTGAATGCAATAATCCTATCAATAAAGGTCATACAACCTTTTGATATATTATAATTTATTATGAGAGATCGAACATTTGCAAAAATCAATAAAAAGAAAAGGGATTAAGAATGAATACTATTCATTTTAAATGCAACACGTATACAAAATGAAAAAAATATTTTTAATACAATTATTTGCGTCTTTCGCTCTGATCACCCCTATCTCCCTATTCAGCATTAATTCACCCTGCGAGAGGTAGGAAACAATTTTATAACCTTACATAATTCAAATTTTGTTCTATCAGTAAAATTTACCTTTGTGTTAATGAAATGAAAAACAGTAATTTGTAATACCCAGAAACAGTTGCCATATCAAATGATTTTTCTGGCCATAATAAATATACATCCAAATCTATTTTTTATCGAACAGATTCTGAGCAAGCATGGATCAATACTGTTTTTATCATAATTCAAGCATGATCACGATACAAGTAACACAGTGAAACCTTATCATTTAAAAGTCAATTTTATATCAATAATCAAGAACCATAGCAGGATATTAAAAATCAATTTGTAAAGAGGATATTGCTACTAATCACCAGGTTGGTGTCAATTTATGAAACATCTGATGAAAAACACTTTTAAACAATCTATATTTTTAACTTTACGATCAGATCATTAAGGAGTGGAAAGAACTACCGGTAAATTAACATATAGAAGTCTGGTGATATTGTCGGATCGCCCCATGCAAAGACAAAATTAAAACTTATACAGTCAAACGCTATCAAATTTAATATGACCAATAAAGCAGGGCCAGCATAAAATTATGTAAAATCGAAAAATGCATACACCAATTCTGTTTAGGAATATAGCACGAATTTTATTTTTTCACAATTTTTTTTTTATCAAGAAATTTTCACTTGAGCAATGTAATACGCATTCATGAAGAAGACTGATTGTTAGCAAAACCTATGGACTCCAATGAAAGGCCAAATAATACCGAAATTATGATTGCGCAATATGCGTTCATAAATACTGATTATTGCGAAATTTGAAACAGCTTACCGGTGAGTCAATATGTGATAAGGAAAACAGATATAATGCAGTGAATTCCATACATACGGTAGGTATTTGGAGAATAATTTTGGCGGAAAAGTTTTTTTTAAGTCTGGTAGCTACACTAACATTAAAACGACATGTAATATGCAAATAGGTAATTTATCTACATTCATCTTATTCTCAAATTGACGTAAATCGAGAACTGAAGATTGATTTATATCTTTTCAGCCAAGATTTGAACGTTATTGTTGAACAAGTTTGTTTTTTCACAAATCTACACTTGATAACAAAATAAGCCTATAATGCTATAAGTGAAAGATGTCGCTATTACTTTAGTTACATTCTAGACGTTCGATCAATAATTTAAAAGTTCAGGTTTTCCATCACTTTTACAGAAATTGGATTGAAGCATTATTTTAATTGTCAAAGACAGAATTTAGGATAAAAATGTTTCAGAATAATTTAAATAATCCTAATTATAGTTTTTATTTTTTGCAATTAATTATATGCTGCAACAAATTTTACTTTGCAGTTGCACCTAAATTAGAAAATCCCAGACTTGAATATTTTGACATGTATATTCCTAATTACTAGTTAGTCTTAAAATTATGTTGATAAATCATTAAATAAAATTACAATAATATTCCGCATGAAATACAGAATACTAAATGTCTAAATTGTCCTATTAAAAATGTCCCAAAAAAATATTTTTTTAATTAACAAAATTTAAAATGACTGCTGTTTCAGAGATTAAAAAAATCAAAATTATGACTTTTCTATCAATTTTACCATTTTTGCATAAAATCAGAATTTTTGTCATATTTTGTGATTTTGTTGCAGAAAGAGCTTCTTAGATTGAGTGATATTTTATAAATTACGAACAGAATTCTCTAGGCAATTTTGTTATTATAAATAATAAAAAGCACAAGTGAAAACCAATTTGTCATAGTATGGTCTGCTTGTAGAAGCCTATCACAACAAACCACAGTGCCTGGACCATATTAAAGACACGTAATTTGCTAATAATAACCATAACTGAGTATTATTATGGTATATCATGACACATGACTTAAATATCTAATAATAACCTGCATGAACAAACTTCCGCTTAAGACATTAGTCTTGTAAAAGGTGTCAGAAAGGCGTGATATAATTTAATTTCTTTGTCATTAATAAGTTTGAAAAAATTCCGAAATTATTAAAAACCGGTAGCAACAACTTGATTCCAGTAAGATTAAAAATTTAACAGCATAGGCTATAATATTTGAAAACAAAATTTATTTTTTAATTTTTCTCATTTGGAAATACAATTTTTTTTTAAATTTGTCAGTTTTGAAATAACCATGATTAAATTAAAATTGGCATGTATCTTGATAGCTTCCTTTCAAGTATTCAATTATCTGCTGAGTCCTTCTGCAGGCTTAATTCCATTCCACCGAGCTACTCGTATATCAACTTCCCTACCATATAGCACGGGGTGTTTCACAGGTGGCCCGCGAGCCACAACCCGGCCCACTAAGCCATTTAGTGTGGCCCGTGTCAAGACTCAGATTTATCCCCATCGAGCATGAAATTCGAATTCGACAGTTTGTTTAAAAAGTCCCTCACATGGGTAAAAATAAAAATAATAAATTTGTAGCTGCGTTAAATCTTTCACCGTTTTGCCCGGTGTCATTATATCTGCAAAGCTAAGCAATAGCCGCATTCTCTCCTTTTGCCATTCTCGCATGGACTAACTAAATTTTATGTGTAGCCCAATAGATATCTGAAGTTAGTTATAAAGCCCACCGACAAAAAATGTTGCACACCCCTGATATAGCAATCAATTATACTCAATGCCAACCATGAAAGTACTGGCATAGAAATACAGTCACACTGACAAAATTGGCATTATGTAATTTATAACAATTCCTTATATATTTTCCATATTCCTATATTGTACTGTAAAATCATAATATAAAAACTAAATTTTAATCCATTACACAAAAAATTACACAAAAACACATTTTAGTCGTAAAGAAATTTCTGAATCCGGAAAAAATAACTAGGCAATTATTCCAATACCCAACACTGACTGATAACAGGTCAAAAAGTTGTGGCTTTTCATTTGATTAATCAGTCTCGTTGTATTTCCTCTCCCCACATGAATAAAGGTATAAAAATAAATTCCTATTTCAACTGGGATCATTTTACTCAGTAGGTTATCCGGGAAATTAACCAGAGTTTAGCCATCAAGTATCAACATAGTGAATATAATCCAGCAGGAAGTCGTTATAGTAAGTTAATCCATAATACAGTATGATACATACATTACATAGGATAGGCAACACGGTCCTCAATTAAAATTAACATAATAAGCGGTAGAGTATTTTATCCAACATTATCTTTATTAAGACTTGACTGAATTTTACTATTATATAATCAGCTAAAATAGATTGATAATATTTAGGTAAACTACCCCCCCAAAAAAAAAATTTGAACTTAAGTAAACTACTGAAAATGGAATTTTCAAAAATATTATGATCCATTTCTCCTTACTAATAAAACTATAATACAAATTTCAAACAAACTCAAAAATAATCAGTAAATTGTATTAACATCTCCAATTTTTATTCCTTCAACAACGATACATACCTTGATATTCTGGGAAGCAGATGGTGAGAGGTGACTTCGAGATTTTGCTTTCGAACAAATCTTTCTTGTTGAGAAAAAGAATAATCGAGGTTTCTGTGAACCATTTGTTGTTGCAGATCGAGTCGAAGAGCTTCATAGACTCGTGCATTCGGTTCTAAATACGAGAGAATGGTATTTGATAACAAAGCATACTACATTGTTGACAAATATGGAATTGAGTTTATGCAAACATACAATGCCATTAATATCTGAAACTACGTCAATGGCATGTTATATAGATACGTCAATGGGATGAATAAAATCCTGAAATATGTCATGCGGGTTCAACAAGGGTCATGTATAGGATGATTCAGATTCTCTAAGATTCAGTCCTGTTACAATTTTAATTTTGTTATGAAGTCAGTTCTCAATATATGTTAACCAGGTTTGTTTAATCTTAATCAATGTTAATTTATTTAAATTTTTATTTTATTTATTACACCTGTGAGGGATAACAAATCTTATATATGGTATCGATCGATTTCCTTTGCAATATAAAAGACTTCATGAACATCCTAAATTTGATCGGATATGCAAATTGATGTCAATTTTCCCAAATTAATATGAAAACAAAAATTATTTTGATTGAATTTCCAGGCTATGAGTTTTGATGGTTTAGAAATTTAATGAATCCATGTTTTATTCCTATTCGAATATCATATTTAAATTGCTGATTTAACAATTTTTAAAATGAAAATTTTCTAAAATCTCTAAAATTTTAACAATATTCCATTTATAAAATAACCTTTCACCAATGTATTCATAACAAGTAGTAGACATCCCTGTTTAAAAACTCATTAATATTCAATTTCACATTTTGCAAGGGTACTTAGGAAATTTCACCAACGGAAAACGCCCTTCATGGAATTGATTTTTTATATAATGTGATATTTTTAGATCAATTTCAGCAATTTCTGGGTCAAATTACCCAGACATTGTACTTAGAACACCCTAGTATAGTATAGATAATTACATTTTAATTTTACATAATATGGTGTATTTGAGGATGAATAAAGACCGTAGATTAGTAGGGCATTGGAATTAGAAACTCTGATTCAATTATGGTAGCTGAAATACCCACCAGACTGTGGTTACTCATACCCGTATGCCTAGAACGATAAAGATATTCCGAAAACATCTGGCATATAAATGGAAATAAACGAGCATCTGCATACACCTACTTACTACAGCCTATATATTTACTGAGAATGCATCATTAAAACATCCTAGATTGCGTAGTAAATCGGCCTGCTCCATCAGCAAATTATGCTTTCAGTAGGAAATGAGGCAAGAAATGAAATTTTTTCCAAACGGTTGTTACACAGTTTTTGCTCTGAACAAGACCATGAACAAGCTGATATCTTTATACAACTTGGAATGCATAAAACATGAAGTACTTACTGCTTGATTAAATTACCCAATATATTGTCTTGTCTGAAAAAATTTATGTTAAAAATTTATCTAACGTAGCTCGCAAATATATTTGCTATTTTGTGAAAAGAGAGTTAATTTCAAATAAAACCATATAAATATGATCGGACAACTATAATTTTTCTAATAAAATATCCTGCAATTCATATCTTACCATTTCTTCATCCTCAGCCAGGACGAGATCGTACGCTGAAAGGGCAACGCAAAAAATAATTGCAGTGACGCCTTCGAAACAATGAATCCATTTTTTTCTTTCTGATCGCTGACCACCGACGTCGAACATTCTGGAAACGATAAATTAATTTTTTTTATGCAAATAATATAATAATCGCGATTTAGAAATACCAATTTGTCTAAGAATAATTCAAAGCTCGTTCTATTCATTTTAACCATCGATTTTTGTTATATTTTTATATGTGAAAGTCAAATAAACTCAAATATATTTTGTTACATGAAACATTCTATTTCTATGGTCTCAATTTTTTTGATTTAAAAATTATGTGGCAAATTTAAAGTTATTTTAAAATTTGTACTAAATGAAATTTCATTTACATCGGAATTTGAGAATATTCATAGGAACGATGGACCTAATAAACTACCTATATTTTTACTTTACCTTACGAAGGCGATGGTAGACCATCATTGACTCAATTATGGAAATTTTAGTTACATAAATATGACAAAAACAATAAAAACAAGATGCTTCTTCCGCCATAATAAATAATTTGAATAAGAATGGTAAAAAATAATACTGATTCATGCATTCATGACATGGAATATATTTAAGTATAATGATTAAATTCAAGTCAATAATTTAGTAATTAAACAAAAGACTAAAAGTAATTGTTGCATTTTGCTTCTATTATTTGATCCAAGTTGTAGAAGACATGCTTCTTCTAGGTTTGCTGCAAAATTTAACTCATCTTGAGGGATTTTAAATTGACTCACACTCAGCTCAGACATAAATTTTGACTCCAACTCCAGCTTCCCACTCATGAAAAAAAAAATAAGAACGAAGACTTTTGGTACATGCAAGCTTTTTCTAATTATCTGCTTGGAATACTTAATAATAAACACTTAAATGCTTTCATTCTGTAAAAAATGTTCTCTGCAATTATCATCGATATCAAATTTTAAACGTTTAACTCTATATCCCTGATTCATCAGGCCTTGGGCAGAGGAAAGATTGGGTAAAGAAAAAGCAATGTTCAGATTCCGGATAGCCTGAGACATGGCATTTCAAAATGAGTTGAGAAATCTAAAGTTACTTTTACAGTTTAAATTTGTATTATGTAGAACTGGAGATTTGTGTTTTAAATATTATTCAAATATTTGAGAATTTCAAAGTACAGTATCAATATTTCATTTGCAGGTTATCTTGACTTTGTTATACTCATGTATGGTATATTTGAGCTCAAAAATTTTTCAGAATTTTCAGAAATTTATATGAATAACTCAAGTTCTAGATGCAATGTTGCTTCATTATACTTGAAAATTTTTTTTTTATTTTTTTACCAAGGCCTCAAGTTTATGATAAGGTTGGGATAATGCTTAATATATATATGGAAACATGTTGTTGTATTATTATAAAGGCATTTAGGCAAGTTTGGTTATCGAAGAATTTTAGGAATTGTCACCCGTCAAAATAGGAAAAAATTCTGAAAAGGCAGAATCGTGATCTCTAATGGATATTGGATACTCAATTGAGGAACAGCATGAAATTTAAAATTTATGATAATATAAATTTCACGGAAGATTGCGAAATATTTAACTATAGTTGTATTTTAGGAAATTTATTCTTATATATTCACACTTAAAATCCCTCGAATAAACTTAAAAAAAAAAAAACATCAAAACACCAGACTAAAACGAGACCACAATAATAAAATCTCAAAATTACACCCACACAGACGACCACACAAAAATTAAAAACGAAAATAATCTTTCTCGAGTTGTAAAATTAATAACAAAGTCACTAATTACACGGCTATAGTCCTTTTTCAGTTATTAATAACTTTATATACCAAGGGAATCACGAGGATATAATAGAAGATTGCCACTTGTATTTATATAATCAAATCATAAAGGGTTTCATAAAATTGAAAAGTAGAGTATTTTTAAATCAAAGGATACCCTGAGGGCAATGGATGTTCCATTTTAGAAGTAATAAAATTCGAGGCAAATGCGTAATTTTATGTTGCGGGAGAACGTATAGATCATTACTGTACCAATCAATATACACTGTGATAAAAAATAACATATATTTTTATATGTGCACTATCATTAAAATAAAGAGAAATTTTTTAAAAAATCTTCAGAAATGTATAAAATAGTAATTTTTAACGTACGTAAACAAACGTAGATTCTTTCAGATCAATTTTGAAACTACAAAAATTTAGTAGAAAATGAATATTTTACCTTATTCCTGTACCATCTAAATAGTATGATGTTTAGACCAGACCGATCTATATATTTAGCATGCTTGTATTCATCGATTGGGTTCCTAGCCTAATATTAGAAATTTTACGATACATTTATAGTTTTAATACGTCTTGTGCCTTGTTAGCTACTCCAAAATATATTTGTCAACATAAAACGTTAAATAAATACTCAAATATTTAGGTGAAATGTAAGCAAACAGCTTCTTCGCAAATAAGGAAAAATTATTTTGTTGAGATACTACCAATCATGATTTGTAGATAAATCATGTTATTAGGACATACTTAATACATGGGCCATGTTCGGCAATGCTAAGTCTCCAATATTGTTTCAAATACACCATGTAGTCCCACAATTACTCATAAGGGCCATAAAGTATTGCAACAATATAAAGCAGCAGCTGCTCACTTATGTAAGCTCCATTTTCTGATAGACTTATATATTATTTATGAAGTCTCGAAAAAGTGGGATTTTTTTCCCTACGAATTCCAATGTCACATACATGGACTGTGTTTAGGTCTTAGGTTATCAGATAGCTGCGTTACGTTTTCTCCCAGTTTTCGATTCCCTACGGTATTGGATTACAGAAAGCCATGCTTTGTTTTATATTTCACAGGATTTTATTTCCTGGGTTTACATTGGAATACAGTAGCCCTAAAACGAGATAATTACCAAATGCAGAATTGACTGCCAAAAGGAAATTAATTAGCTTTTTTGTTGTTTTTTAATATAGCAAATATGGTATAATACTAGCAATCAAACGAAAATTTGAATTCTCCATTTGGATTGCTTTAAATTTTTGAAATTTAGAATTCGGATGTTTAGAATAGTATGGACAAAAATATATATTTTCATATCCAAAATTGTCTCTTGTATATTATTAAAGGCCATGAAAATGTTCTAATGAAGACTTAATACACAGTTTTGAAATTAATTACAGGGTGGATAATTGCTTCAAGGTTTTATTGATTTTCTTACGATCAATATTTTAGAAATAAACTATGCTATATAAACAATTTTATCAGAAGGACTGAATTTTCTTGCACTTTTTCTCCATGTGACGTATTTATACGCCTTTTGCTCCAAACAAGGCCATGCACTAGCAGTCACTGATATATATAAGCCATTACTATATTTTGGAAGGATTGTAACATCAATTTATTACACATGGGTGAGGTGGTGGGCTTGGGATTTGAACCCAAGATTACACCGTACAACACCATCACAGTTAAGTCTAACGCTTTAACCATTAGGCCACTTATTTTTGAATATTTCAAATCAATCCATTTCGAAATCTTATCATGATTTCTTTAAAAACAAAGACCCAAAATATTGAAAATTGAAAAACTTATTGAAAATCAAAACTTTAGCATACCAAAAGATATTATACATTGATAATCTTATAGTTCGTAATAACATGTACTCCCGAACATTCGGTACTTCCGAAGTATGTGAACCAAGATGGCGAAAACCGGAAGATAGTATGTGTACCAGGCTAGGGATAGGCAATAATTTCAGGTACAAATACTACGAGAGTCACTTGGCTAGTCCCTGAACTCGCAACAGAACTAAAATAGGGAAAATTGGAATAAAATTATGCTGGTACACATACTGCGTTTCGGTGTCTGCCATATTGGTTCACATACTTCGGGAGTACCCATGTTTCACAGTTTTAACTACAAAACAACAAAATTTAACTACGACTATGATCAATTATTAAAATTTACTGCCGCACGGCAGCAAAGATGACTGTGCATATGGATGAGTACTAAGACAACTAAAGTGGAATGCGGTGATTAAAAATTTAGTGAACAAATATATCAGTGTTTACATGGGTATTGGTAAAGCAAGCCACCGGTAGTATAATAAATCAAATTTATTTGTATCTTAGATTTTAATGGACCACCAAATATGTGCCAATGATGGAACGCACCGATAAGGTGCGGTCCATCATTGGGACGTATTTGGAAAAGTACTTTATTAGGAAGTTTAACATACTACTATACTATTGTAAAAAAAATTATGTATATTAAAAAAAAATCTTAAGATTTTTAACTGTGACATTACTGCCACACATTAAAACTACCCGAAATTCAATATCTGTTTTGTGCATTTTTGGAATTCAGTTTCCCAAATTTCAAGTGCGTATTACGCTATGATGAAAATTTAGGGAACTATCATAAAAATAATCCATAATTTTAAGATAAAAAGTGGGTGCTGAATAATTAATAACAATAGTTATGTTTCTTTAAAAAAAACAGCAACGTATTCTAGAATTCGGCTTGTGTAAGAGCCCTGTTCAGAGAGGAAACATTAGAAAAAATTTAATAAATTTAATTTAACTGCCAAAATAGAGAACTAAAAAAAATTATATATTCGATTGTTTAAAATCACAACTAAAAACTTATTTTCAAATTTCACTTAACTCCCTTGCGTCACAATTCCAATTAACATTCCTCAGAAAAGATGATTGCTTGTTATGGTTATTTTTATATGTAAAATACCTATCTAATATTACAGTGTAATAAACTGTAAAACTGAATGACGATGAACAACTCAACCATTTAAAGAGCTTATTTTCCATTGAGTGATTTTGATATTGAACAAGACCAGTTTTGAATTTTGCTTTTGTGGATTTAAAAATACTATCGATTTATTAGCAATTCATTTACTTTTTTTGAAAAAATTTCTCAAGGTCGCACTCACTCAGAAAGAAATGAGATCAATCTCTAAGTGTAGTTACTTACAGTTACAGGTAACCAATAAAGTGCCAAAAACTATGGTGGCTAGGAAGTGTTTAAGCGCAGAATTACGCTTTGATAAATGCTTCCATAAGAATTCGCAATTTAAGTTTTGGATTATAAAAAAATCATCAAAAAAAAATTTTTTAGTCTTTCATATTTCTCTCGGCCCCATGTTTCCCTCTTACCATGTACTCACTTGAAATTGAGTCCCTTAAAACTGAAGTGGACTTCTACAATGCCCGTAGTTTTGACTCTCGTTCTGAGTACGTCTTGTTGAGTAGGTACGTACTGTCTCATTGTGAGTCGTTCGAGAGAATCGAGATAACTACAACCATGCAAAAAAACATGACGACATGCAAGTAAAAAACAATAACAACAAATAAATTGAACATGAAAAAACGACGAAACAAACATGCAAGATGGACGTTGACTAACAAAAAAAATAGCTTTGAAAAATCCCGGCGATGGGCGGAGTCTAAATATGACATTTTTTGTGAATGAAAAATTTCTTTAATACATGACACCATGCAAGACGAATCGTAAAAAAGGACGAACAATCACTCGAAAGTCGAAACATAACCATTCCGCTTGCAAATACGTTTACGACAAAGGCCTCACTTAAAATGCAAGTCTTTAAATTCGAAATGCGTCTCGACGATACCAGTTGTTTTTACACGAGATCGCAGGACGTCCTGTTCTGTCGGGATGTAGTCTTGCGCCACCAGACGTTCTAACGCGTCTAAGTAGCTACAGAGTCAAATAAAACAGTATTAATTTCAACGCAATATGCATGCTAATACATGAAGTCTTGGAATTTATTTATATTGTGAAGGGAATTTATCTAGACGATAATACAGGTTGTTGTCCCTTGCAAATATAATAAGTGAAATGAAATTACCTAAATAAACACTGACTAAAATAAAACAAACCTGGTTAAGATATATTGAGAACACCTTGTATATTTTGACCATATTACAGTAGAAATTTTCTTTTTCATATTCCAAAATTTGACTATAATTTTTTTCCAATATTTTTTCATCTGATACCAAAACTACAGCCAAATTAAAGGTATTTTCTTATGAAATTGCTTATTTATTCAGAATGTTAATTTCAAAATTTATGTAACTCGATCTAAATAAATCAAAAAATTTTCTAATCGTTATACTACGTATATACATGGGTTCTGAATAAAGCTTATCAAAATCAAGATTTATTCATAACCCATGTTTGATCTACAATAAACTTGACAGAAAAAATATACGATCATGACATAAGCAAAACCATAACTCACTATTGTGCTGAGTCGTTAAGTTGGTATTCTCTCGACCGACTGAAACAAACTTGGACTCCTTTATCTGTCCAGAGTCGCTTCATGCAATCTCCGAGTTCTATTGTCATTTCACCATCTTCAAGTGAACTTGCTAATGAAAAGAGCTGGCGTGCATCATCCTGACAGAAGAAAGCGAAGAATTTTTATAGTCAGGGTTCATAGCGATTAGTCAAAATGACATTTTTAATTATTTTGAGCATGGCCAACTTGGAACGATTTTGAAATCCCAAATTTATATATTTTTGGAAACGACCTAAACAAAATTATTTAAGTTAAGATTACGCAGTCGTTCGAGTATAAAAAGCACTGCAAATTAACCTTGTTTAACCATGGTCTGATCGTGCATTATCTAAGAGACAGGGGAGACTAGATCGTGTAATTGAACTAAGATAACCTGATGAGTGATAGCACACACAATCTAATTCCAATTAAAGAAAGATTGAGATAAAAATACACAATTACTCATACTGACTGATGACACTTACCGCTCTATCTGAATGACCGAAGTCTATTTTAAGGTTTCCCATAGCTCGTACAATTGTAATAAGGGATTGTAATGTATTGCTGTATACCACTGCTTTATATTGAATACATTCTTCTTCAGAATAACCATCTTCGTGAATAATTCTGAAAAATGTGAAGTGTTTGAGTTAGGAGTATGAAAAAGACGAGTCAAAATTTTTAGAGACAAAATAATAATAAAGCACAAAAGCGAGGGCTTTAGGTAAAAAGAACAAAACTTGAAAAAAAACATATTTAAAAAATGATGAAAGAATATATTTTTAACTTTTAAACTTTGATCAAAAAATCAGTTCAAAAGGAAGCTTTTTTTTGTAATTTTTTTTTAAATTTCAACATTTGCACTAAGATTTTATATTTTATTTATCATTTCCTGAATCAAAAGCAGTTTTTGTATGAAAACCATAATTGATAGTAAAATCATCATAGAATCACAATTTTTTTTTCACTTTCTCACAACAAAATTTTTCGAAATTTTTTTCTAGATAGATTAAAATAAGTTACGGTACTTATCATCAAAAAAGTATAAAGAATTGAGAATTTCAAATTCCTGTCAACTGATCAGCAAACAAAATAATCTCAGTGAAAACTGATATGTTACCATTTTGATAATCGGGAAAAATTTGATGACGTTTAATAACTACGTCAGTTAGAAACACGATATCAGATCCATAATGATATACGTAATATAAGTCATTTGAAAAAATTGAAACCTTAATAGTCCTCGAAAAAATTAAAAAAACTCAGGTTGTGTACCAGGTTAGGGTTCAGGTTATGCGAGATCTTGGTGCGCATACTTCAGGAGCACCATAATTTTATTTCAAATTTCGTATAATTCATTAATTATTTTTTCAGGATTGAATGTACTATTATATATCGAAAGATATCTAATGATGAAATATTAACTTAAATAGTTCAAGAAAGTACAACCTTACAATGAGGTTCACAGCAGTGCATGTTATTGATAATATACAAATGGGAATTCCCAGAAAATTTACATTTCAAACCAACTTACTTCATTTGTTTAACAATTGTACTTTTTCCAGATTCACCAGCACCTAAAAAGAAGGACGAATAGTATTGATTAGTGACTGTCGGTAATCAATATCAGTTGCCTGGAGCCAAAAAAAATTAGACGGCACAATTAGATATGGAAAGTAGGTATTGATTGCTGTCAAATGCGAAAAAAAAAAATTAAACCGTAATTATTTCCTTATTTTAGAAAGTATTCGCAGAATAAGTATATATTCATGGTATGCAACTAAAATTATTTTATTTTGGTATACCAGTCCGTGTTCCTTAAATTGTGATATTATATTCTGTGATAACATAACATAATTGTGGTTATATATTGTTAAATTACATGTGAATTTAGGCTACAAAGTTGTTCTTCGTGATAGTATTTGATCGTAAATTTGACTAAATTTCGCAACAGTCTTGAAAAGTTGAAGCAATTCTTTATTTACATACCAGAAAGGTATTTTTAAAAATTAAGGTCATTTTTATAAGTTTATTATGTGAATCAAGATTTTGTACTATAAAAAATAGATTTTCCAAGCTTAAAAATAAAAAAATCAAACATATGCAATTGTCTGTATTTTTCCAATAATTTATCAATAGCCTATTTCCTTTTTATTAAATCTCATTTAGCATGATCATTTATAATCTATATCAGTGTCGAGAAATAACAGTAATGCCCTTTTATTATGGTTGATGAAATTCAATACCTTAAAACCTTTTATACTATATTGATTTTCAAATCCCCAATCATTTTAAAGCAAAGGAAATATTGATTAATGAAATTGATGTTTTATCAACCATGGTCATTAGATATTATCCCTCTTTTATATACAGTTTATCTATGATCGGTGATAAATAAAAAGAGCTTTATCTATATCTGTAAAGATAGATTAGTGCATTGGGTATTCATGTACATATTAGATACGCATCATGGACGCACAATCTGTTTTGATCAATGTGAGGTATTAACTTGTCAGTCCGTATGCAGCATGAAATTGTTAATATTAAATTTCAAGTGACGTCATCGGAAAAAAATACCAGCCTTTTCGAATGTTTGAGAAGATTACTATTAATATAAATATAGATAGAAATTTTCAATCAATTCGTTTTATGGACATTTTTCCTATTTTCAGTCACCAAAATTCTGTTCTAGAAAAATGAAATTTGTGATAATTTACCAATTTATTCATTTTACAATTTTTTCTAAACAAGCACTAAGAATTGATCACTTATTTTTTGGCAAAACTGAATTTAGAAAATTCACAAATTTGGAAAAAAAGTATTTTAGCATGTTTAATCTAAACAAAGCCCTAAACAAGAGCCAATCATCGAAAAAGGGCTTAAGCCACTTATATATAGAAGGCTGTAATATTTTCGGAATATTGAAATTCTTGATAATACACTCCAACAAGGCAATATGTTGCTTAGATTGTTTTTTGTACACACATAAGACGCACCAGGCCATAAGACACAGTGGTATTTTAAAGAGTATCGGGTTACTGTATGAAGCTCATTGAACAAAAAAATACTCAATATTTTTTTTTATGGTTATTGTATTTTATTCAAAGAAAACGTAAAACTGCGGTTTGATTATAAAACAGCAGTACCTGTACTGGTTTCAAATAGGCAATAAAACATATTGCGCTACTTGTTCCATACATTAGGCGCACAATGGAGCTTTGAAAAATGATTTAAAGTGTGCCCTATAGTCCATAAAATATGGTAGGCTAAAATGTAATTTCGGGAAAAAAATTCTGAAAAATCACACAATTTAATATACTTGGATAATATGGGTCATTTTACTGGTATACAACAAAAAACATATTTTACCTAAAAGTAATAACTTGACTTCTCTCGATGCTTTTTCTCCATCCATTCGTAAATTACGATCGATAGCTCTGGACCGCTCATTGGCGGCCTTATCTTCTGATGATACAGCGCACCCCATTTTGCTCTCCTGAAAATTTTTTTTTTATTGATTACCAAGATTTCCTATAAATATACTGAAATGGAAATAAATGTGTTGAAACTCTTCGATGACGAGTTATAGACTCAAAAATGTATAAAATAAGATTTCTTTTAGTAGGGTAGGTATTGTGATTTTAAGACAAAATCGACTGAATTTCAAAAATTAAAAATTTGAGTCTAACTCATAATACAATTAAATTTGATTTTTCTCAATGAAAATTTTTTTATTTTTTTATATGATGCCTATCACACTCCCCATTCCGATACAGGCCCCGAATAAGCATCCACCAGTATGCCCCGTTAAATTAGGAGGCGCTTCCATTTTTGTTAGGACAAACATTTCTGGCACGGCATCGCCAATCATGGAATTCAAATTCAAATTTATACTCAATAACAGTAATTCTAAACACCCTCTTAAAGCTGAGTATTCTTGTGTATTATAAAAGGAGTCATTTTTCATCAATCCCAAATCGATGATGATGGACGGTCGAATGGGCGCTCCAGAAGTGTGTGTACCAATATGGAGGTAACTAATTTTGTTCGCCTACTTTACATCAAGTTGTGTAAAGGGACGGAAGCCTATGGGCAAGTATATTCACTTAGCTCACAGACAGTCCCCGAACGCTGAATAGAACAAAAAAAAAATGGAAAATCGGAATGAAATTATGGCCTAACCCGGTACATACACTACGAGAGTACCATAGGATGAGTTATAAAATGAAGGCTTCTTAAATTTTATTGTTCATTTTACATTCTTCTATATAATGTAAATGTGAACTTCAAAATTTGACACCGTCCTTTGAACAAAGCATTTCTAAACAATCTGGCTTATATCAGATTTATAAAGCCGTAACAATAACAAAACGAGGTTTGTTAGGTAGTCTGTAATCCATTCAACGTCAAATGAATTATTTATAACCAATTCAAATCCAATTGCATTCAGAAAATAACTTGAAATGAAAGAACTTTTAGTCTTTATCACAATAAAATATACGATTTGCTTTTTTGTATTGATATTTAAATTGGTGAATCATAAATAGAAATGCTATGGATACCGATTTTGATTCTGCTCATACTACAAACACATTCATAACAATAAATAATTTCACATTGAACTGAGAATAATGGCTTATTTGGGGGGAAATAGAAATAGTTGAATGATATCACATAGCATGAAAAGTACAATTTGACAAAATTTGTACTGAGTTACATGGATTTCAAAAAATGAAACGACTATTGTCCAAAAATGTATTCCTTCAAAAAATTCCTTTATAATAAGATATTTAAATTTTTTTTTCAAATAAATTCATTTTAAATCAAAATAGGCATCAGGCATAATATACATAAATCGAATTTTGCCCTTGTACATACTGTTTACTTTAAATTTACTTTATAATATTGCAGCTTTGAAACTTGTAATAATTAATTATTTAAATTCTGTCATACCTGCCTAAGGTAGTACTTTTGAAATTGCAAACAATGGAGAATGACACAAATAGCATGGTTGGCCATTATACCAGAGCCAAAGTGGCATTTTTCTACTAAAACAGTCATTAAATTTTAATAAGAATCGCATTAAAATGTATTACTCAGTGTTAGAATTTTTGTAAAGCCACTCAAACCATAATTTAAAAGGTTTGCCTGCCAAAATTAATATTCAAATTAACTAATTAATTATAATTAATAATAAAAATACAGACAAAAATGGAACAAACAATATTACCTTTTCTCTTATTAATAACCCTTGGCAGGGTTCTCCAAAAATACAAGTGTAGTATCCGTTTAATGCAAGATTATTGTGTCACAACAAGTACGAGGCGTACGCACGCTCTTTGATGTTACGAATCTCAAAATACCATTAATATAAAGTATTTCACCGTCGGACTATGTATACAAAATCTGCGAAAAAATGAATTTATATTATATGTTTGGGTATCATATTAAACAACGAATAATATAAAATTCAATCTTATATTATGGTCTCCATTGCTATTCGAATGACTTTCTTTGTATGGAGATGGGGGCGAACATGGACACAATCATACCAAAACACTTAAAAAGACGGATATGGCCCCAAACGCTATCTGAATGGCATTTTTTGTACAGAGCTATTAGGATGCTATATACAAAATCATACCAAAACAATTAGGAATGTGAATGGATATGTAGTCCTAATTTGAATGATTTCTATGTTAGAGGGCTGGCTATCAGGCTAACATATCAACACCACAGCTCAAATCTACAATATATTTATCTGTTCTGTTCTTATGCGTCTTTATACCAGTTTATTTAGAAATAAAATACAGTTTCATTGCACAGATGGCCAATTCTATTACAACTACAAGTAGCAGAAGCAGGGTAAGCAAATAAATTGACAGATTAATTCCCCTCTGATTATTAAGCAAAGATTAATCTTCCAACTAGCTTTAAGTAAATACACAATTGTGGTACAGGTAGACTACTAAGCTGACAGAATTATCAAATTTAAGTTGAGCCAAAAATATTCCGCCAAATGTGATTACAAGAGTTCTCATATAAATAACTTATTCTATAGTTGAACCTACAATAAGACAGTTAAATAAATATGGCCGACTATCTAAAATAAACTATGTATCATCATAAAACATACTTCAATATTTTATTTTCTATTTTAGTATATTTTCCACATGAACTCACAGTACCTATGGTCATTCATAAATTCAATCTAATGCTGACCTATGACCTCACATAAATATTGCGCAACAATACGATAAATGTGGATGGCCCGTATCGTGAATAATTGAACATGTACCACATTATAGATTTTCACAAATGATTGTCATCCTGATCAAATATTCATGACCTAATTGCAAGAGCCCATTTCCTCTCATTAATATACTAGTTAGCTTATTTCCTTTGTTTAGAAGTCAGGCTGCTTTATTGATTAGTAATAATCAATTACCAAGAGAAGTGGGTTACAAATGGTGGCTCATTGATTAGTACTGCTGCATAATATATTAATAATTAAACATTAAAAAAAGAAAAAGTATTAAATGCTTTAATTTGGTATCACACAGGTGTTCAAAAGGAAAAAATTATGGTTATTTCAGAAATTGTTTTATTCTAATTCAAATTAATACTCTTGAAAGAAAAATAGTAGATCATTACGTTTACAAGTGGCTGCTTATACAGAGCCTTGTTCGGAGTAAAGATACGTAAAAAATATACATTATTATGACAAACAACTTTACCTAAAACTTGGGACGCAAAAATCTTTTTTTTGTAATAATCCGACTTTTTTGATCAATTCATTACTTCATATGATTCAGCACATTAGTTTTCAAAGTTTTTAACCATGCCGCGCCCCTTTTTGAAATTTGTCAAGTCTCGCACCCCACCTCAAAAATAACTACATAACAATAAGCTACAAAAATAGATAGTCAGGTGAAAGTATGTTTTATTCAAAAACATTTTGGAAATACGTGGATGGAACGTAAATATTCAAAATAAGGTAGACAAGATCAAATATTTTTATTTTCAATGAGCTTCACGTCCCCTCACAAAACTGCCCCTTGTGGGGCGCGCCCCACCGTTTGAAAACCACTGATTCTGTATAGGGATGGATATAAATTTTCATGATACCCATATAAATCTAATCACTTCAACTGGCAAGCCTCCTGCTTACAGTGTTTATTTATATCTATAAATATAGTTCACCAGACTCTCAAGAATGCAAAGTCTGAAAATGTAATACATGTATGCTTTGTATATACAGTATTAGCAAAGCCTATTTTCAAGTAGGTCATAGTCCACAAGCAAATTTATCTGAGAATTATTAGGTACACTAGGATGCTGCTATGAAATCATTTGATTTTAAATTTCTAAAACTAAGTCAATGTACAGTTTTATATCATATATTGACTTGTCAAATAATAGTGCTACCTTTTAATTTTCATCCTATAATATAAGCTTATCCTAAAATTTAACAAAAACATATGGCGGAGGTTGTCAACCACAGTCTGTTACTGTTACCCTTATAGTGTTGAAACAAAAACGTCATCGACGGTTACCGAGGTTAACATTGAATGAAAACATTATGTTGGCATTATGGATGTCTCTTTCCTGTATATACTGAATGAATAGGGGGAGAATACCACAATGCATATGAAACGGTGCTTTTCATTTTTGTCGCATCAACGATATTGAATATTTATAGCATTAAGATCGAAAAATATTCTGTATTCCTATATTAAATCTGCAAAATGGATATTTCCCATTGCTGATTTATTAATATATGTAGTTGAATATTAATTATATATAAAATACTACATTATACTGTTGCCACCGCATGGCTTGGCAATTTACAATTTGTCATTATACAAAATTGCTTTTGCTTTTCCCGCCTACTTTTAACTAAAATAGAGTACAACGTCATTATCAGTCACCCTGTATTTTGAATTCATAAATATTAAACGTTCTGATATCACAGTATAAAATAATAGGTAATTTAAAAGAGTAATTTGCTGCACACTAACACAAATCACACCTAGCAAGACTTTTAAATAAGATAGGATAGTCATCTTCCCACTTGCGTTAAATGAATACGAATCCAGGAGCACAAAAGCATACAGGAAGAACTCTGATTGAAATAAAGCAGACCTGATTAAGATAAATTGAGAATTGACTTTATAACAGAATTTTCATATAACACGACTTCATGAACACGCTGTGAATGCAAGTCCTTGCATCTGAAACAAAACTGGTTAACTAATCACATACCAACATGGACTGGTAACCGGACGAGTGCCTGTGGTTTGCCATATGATTAAACTGTCTCATCGACTTTCCTCTTTCATGGGATAAATATGTAAATCCTGTCCTATCATCAAACTATCTATGATCAGCTTCCACTGCCTAAAATATGATATTTAACTAATGTAAAATAAAATATAATAGAGCTTCACTCCCAGACCTAGATCAATCTTTTGCTAGGAAAGAACAACCTTGCTATTACCTCATTGATTTGATTTATAGATTTTTCAGAGGTTCACATACTCCAATTCCAATATTAGGCTACTTATATTATGAGCACCAATTTGAGCATAATATTGTAGAGATCAATACCCAATTTAAATGATAATTACATTTATTTAGTGTTCCAAAACTGTTCCTTACAATATAGGCACTGCAAACAGAATTGAACACTTTACCTTTAAGTATGGTAAATTCTAATAACATTTTCTAATTATTACTGCTACTTTTAACAATTCTGGTTTGGAGTGTCATCATATTTGTTATATAAAAATATAGATTTGAAATGATTTTTTAATCCAAATTCAAATTTGTGAACGTTTGATGTTAATAAGGTTTATTTCAGGTTTCTGACTTATATCATTCACCATTGAGCAAGGGAATCACTACAGGTAGAATAGTAGCCCACACTTATTGAATAATCCAAAATAAACATTTACCAGTAAACTAAACAAAAAACTCGTAATACAATATGGGACATGCTAATCTCAAATAAAAAAAATCAGGTATTTTTTGTTCCATTTTTAAAGTTTCTTATAGTCCCCTTTTTAATCGATTTTAATGTACTTTATGAGAATAAATTTTCCTTTCCCAAATTCGAAAGCATTTTGATAACCCAGATTGTCCTTTATTATCCGTCCAAATTAGAACCACCAATTTTGTTCCGTGCATGGTGCATACAATTATTTCAATGACGTGATTCAGATTGAACAATCAATTTCTTGGTGCAATTTTAGTCAAATGTACTCATAGTCTCAAAGGGATAACTTAATGAATAATTCAGTAAGTTATCTTCTTTCAGACTGACCAAGTAGGCCTACTTTTCAAGCATAGTTGAAAAAATTACACACAGAGAAATTTAAACTTACAGTAATAGCCTACTATAAGATTTTAAAATATTCCTACTCAGTATTTATTAAGATAGTTTATTGACATATTTCCTCGAAAAAATAATATTTGTGGAAACAAAAAATACTGTACTTTCATTCCAATAATATGAGTATAAAGCTACAATAGTATATTATGGTGTTTACGAAATGTTTATATATCCATGATTCGATACCCCAAAATTTTGACTTGTAACTGATTTTAATTTTTATTCTCTGAAGAGATTTTATTTTGCAGTAAAACTGAGTTTATTTAAAAAAATGATCAATTGTTTCACACAGTATGGCAAAAAAGATCTTTATGTAATTTGTTAAACTGTAAAAAAATAGAAAACATTGTTTATTTCAGCTTTCCTGTAATTTCAAATTCAAATAATATATAATTAATACTATGTGTTCTGTGTTAAGCATGATCCAATTTAGAAAAATTATTAAATTCCTATTTCAGAATGTACTTAAAATAATAGATTATTATGACCATCTAACAGTCCCTTATTATAAGTAACATTTTACTGGTGAGGAAATAGACATTATATAAATGGCAATTTTCATAAACATTTTCCTAATTTTTTTAATCTCTCGGTATCTCCAACTCCATAATGCTTAATTCGATTACAAAAAAAATAAGAACCATTACAAATCTTTTTGCGTAATTAGTAATTACAGTCAGTATTGAAAGAAATTTGATCAAATTCCTACTTCCTAATTTCGTAGAAGGTGAAATAATATATGATGTCATTATGGCAGACCTTAAAAACTTGACACCGTCACAGATGGACAGGAAGGTAATGTTTCCTGGTGTTCAGACATGCGTAATTCGAGAATTTTTCGATAATGATGACTATAAAAGGTTTCAAGGCGCTGAGTCATGAATGGGTGCTTGTCTCAGACTATAACAAACAAAGCATCAAAATAAAAATAAGGAATCAAAATATTTACACTATACACATTGAAAGCAGACAATGTGAAAAAATAGATTATGCTATCAATATCATGTTATAT